CAATTTTGTGCCTAAAGAAAAAAATTTGGGTGAGTGACCCAAATAAAAACTTACCCTATATTCATAATCAGATCCTCTGCAAATGTGTCCTAAAAGTGTTCTACTATTGTTATGGGTTACTTCTGTGTTTACCGCGATCGTTTTTGGTCACATTAAAACAGTATTTTTGTCATGAAAACTTGATCCTCTGTGCACGTGTGTTGATAATGTACATTCTTAATTTTCAATTATCTGATTAACATTTAAATGTTGATTGATTGATATTTGTGTTATTGAGCGTTGCTAGCTTCGATAGCTTCTCTCACTCGGACAGAAGTAATAAGTGACAGCCGCTGAAAGCCCGTTTGGACAAAGTGTGCAAACTACTGTCATAACTAATCTTAGTATTTTACACACCTTAAGTACAAGCACAGAGTTGCCAAAGAGCAGCGACCATTATTGGTTTGAGAGTCTGTTATCAAGAAATAATGATCGGTAGAAAGTTTTGTAATTACATTAAAATCAATGGAGCATTCTTCTGTTGCTGTGAGGAGCTGTATGACAAATTATGATTAAATATTCGAATATTTAAATTAACAATCTCTCCTCTGCACGTCTTGGACCATTGACCTGGCGTGTGCACGGAAAAGTAGACCAATCAGAAAGGAAGGGGGTGGAAGCTTGGGTCGTGTTTTATTTTTTCAAATCATGTACTTCTCTCTTTTTTCTGACAAACTCCAGACTATCACTTTAATTCATAGTTTTGATGCCTTCTACAATTTTCATAATCATGAAAATAAAAAATTCTTTGAATGAGAAGGTGTGTCCAAACTTTTGTATGTGACAGAATGGGACACACCTGCAGCAACAGCAGTTGAGTCTGTGGCAGCAGTGGCACAGGGAGCAGGAGGAGGGCAGAGATGTGAGGGAGGGTCACTTTTTGTCCTTGTGTGTACTGAAACTGTTGACCAAAATTAAAAACTTTTTGTATTTTGCAAATATGTCTCCACTTTTGTTCATACTGACAAAAATAGACTAATAGTAAATAGAAGTAAAAGTATACTGTAGGAAATCTCTTTAACCTTTTTCTGCACATGTTCAGACAAACAAATGAATATGCTTAAAAAAAACCTCTAAATTACTTGCACACACTTCGAAACTTGGAAGTTTCTAATCTTCTTCATATGAAATACAATTATCTGTGGTCAAATCAGACACGTGGATGTTGCGCGTGACGTGGACCACGTTTGTTGCGTCGATTTGCAAACATAGTGGTGTCCCCTAGATCCATGGATGTCCCATTTCTTAGGGTGAATAGCAACAAGTGCACTTCCCTATTGGAGGGCACTTTTCTGTTGAGGGCACTCATAATTCAAGTGCCCTCAGAATTTGAACGAGCCCTTTTTTGTCGCTCTCTGTAGCCCCACCCCTACATTTGCATTTAGTTAAAGAAATAGAGAAAAGAATAATGCAGGCTGAAATACTGAAACAAAAATATAAATAAAAGAATAAAATGAACCAAAACACGTTGTATAATAATAACAATCTTATATTTATTAAATCTCATAACTTATCATTTATTATTGTGACAGTTTTAGTCCTCCTAATGTCCCCCACCTACTAATCTGGAGGCCCACCTACATTGTTAACCTTTTTTTCCCCCATTTGTAAACCTGCCATTGCTAGTGGTACATAATTGTAGTACATGTGTGCATTACATGTGTGTAGTATATGTGTGTAGTACATGTGTGTAGTGTGTTACATGTGACATAAACAGACAGATGTTGCTCCATCTGCTCCAGAACTTAACCCTTAGACAAACTGCAAGTATAAGTACCATTCCGATACTTCTGTAAAACCACTGTTCTACTATCTTTCTATCTACCTGCTGTGTGTGTATTTACACAAATGTATATGTGTGTGTGTGACGTCACAGTCTGAGAAGTGTAATGAGTTTGAAGAGCGAAAATTCAGACAGAAGGGGCAGGGGTTTGTGTGGGCGGGGCTGAAGAGGCGTGTGGGCGGGGCTAAACACAGTCGCAGGTCTGAGGCGGTAAACAGAGAAAAGAACATTTTACAGAATCAGGATCTGATGCAGTTTCCATGGAGCCGCCCACTCACTTTACATACAGTGTTACTATAGCAACAGGACCAGGTCTGGATCAGGTCTGGACCAAGAGTGGACTACACTGTGGCGAAAGATACTGTTGCAGCCACAACAGTATCACACACACACATACACACTCAAACAACACACATACACACATACACACTCAAACAAAGACAGAGATCTCCACTTTGAAAACTTTTCTTCAAGCTTTAGATTCCACATGTTTGTTATCAGCATCTGAAAGTATTCGAAAAGGTGAAAGTTTATTTGTATGGCACTGAAATATACTGTGTCCTCACTTTCTCCTCCTTCTGCTCCTCTCTGTCTCCTCATCTCGAACTCCTCCTTCTAATCCTCACTGTCTCCTCCTTCTACTCCTGCCCTCCTACCCTCTTCTCACCCTCTCCCTCTCCCTTCCTGTATGTCATTTTTGATGTTACTCTGATGAAGATTTTTCTCATATATTTACTTCATAAATTACGTCACATTCTAAAACATGAATATTGTAGTTCATATTGTGAGAGTCTGCCCCCTGCTGCTCACAGTCTAAATTACAGCAGTCTGCCCTCTTCTGCTCACAGTCTGAACTACATCTGTCCCCTGCCAGTACTTTTACAATGCTATACTATTCCATGTTCATTTCTGGTACACACTCGGTATTCATGCACGTGTATTATAATGTGGTGTTACAACAAATGAACCGAATCTGAATCTAAATAAATACTGCTGTAAAAGTATCAATAAACTAACTAATGTATTAATCTGACCTGACCTCATGATAAACATCACCCTTTTTATTCACAACAGCATTTATTTCAATATAGTTTCAAATTAGATTAGTGTACTTAATATTTCATATATTTACTTTTCATATTTTAACTTAATATAAAGCATCAGTTTCCCCCTGCCCCCCCCCCCCCCCCCCCCCCCCCCCCCCACACAAGAGACGGATTCTGAAACATTTGACAAAGTGTACTGTTACTGTTAAAGTTTATGGTATTTATTTTGTACTTGACCATATCTTTGTAATCCGGTGGTAAAGCTGGGGTACGTGACTTTAACGTAACTTGGGAGCAACGTGACTGTTGCTTTGGAACGTTCTCACGCTCTCTCTGCGTTCTATAGGTTTTGTTGAGTCCTTCAAAAGTCAACTTAAAACACATTCATTTGTTCAGGCTTTTGCATAATTTTGTCTTGCTGTTTTTACATGGTTGTCTTGGCCTTTGATAATATGTCTGTTTTTATACTATGTGAAGCGCTTTGTGACCCTGGTCTGTGAAAGGCGCTATATAAATAAAGTTTACTTACTTACTTACTTACTTATACTTTAAATCTGGAAGCTGGGGTACATTACAGCTGAGGTATGTGACTTTAAATCTAGGTTATCTAACATTAAAGCTGGGGTACGTGACTTTTGTTTTTATTTAACCAGGAAAGTCCCATTGAGATTAACAACCTCTTTTTCTAGGTAGTCTTGGACAAATATTACATACAATTACAGATTATAAAAACAGTTACATGGCAATGAGTGCTCAAGTGCTCTCGATTTGGATTGAACAGCATTCAATGAAATATATTCAGAAATTTCCAGCATTTTTGCAAGACGTTCCATGTAGTAGGAGCAGCATACAGTTTGGGGTCCTTTTTAGTGTTTGAAAACAACATTAAAATTGTCTTGTCAGAAATGAGGACAAGTTTTAGCTTCAAAAGAGTGTGCTGAACCAGAGATTCAACCGCTTTAGCTGGAGTAATTCCAAAACGGTAAATAACTGTGTCATCAGCAAAAAAAAAAAAAAGGAAAATTAGCATCTGACACATTTTGTCCTAATTCATAATATACATGATGAACAGGAGGGCTACTAATATTGAACCCTGTAGCACCCCCTTGTGGACAGTCACAAAGTCGGAACACTGACCATTAGATTTAATGCACTGCCGTGCGTCCTATCATTCAAATAATTTGTGAACCAAGAGACCATGAGACCAAACAAAGAAGCCTATGCTTTAAAACAACATGGTCCACCGTTTCAAAAGCATTTGACAGATCAATGAAAAGTGAAGCTCAATACTGCTTTTTGTCAAGAGCAACACGTTTAGATCGGTTTGAAGCCGCAGTGATGGTGCTGTGCTTTTACCTGAAGCCTGATGCAACTTTCATTTGAGTATGGAAACTCTTTTAGTTGGTCAGATACAAGAGATTCCAAGTTGCGGTAAAAGGCTTGTTCATCTAATGTTTTAAAGTTTCTTTTGCAAATAGTGCGTGGTTTGCATTTTGGGATTTTAGTGCTTCTCCTAGTGGCAACAACACAGTAGTGATCACTTCAATCATTGCAGAAGACACCCAAAGATGAAAATGTATGAGGAGTATTTGTTTTGAATTAGAGCTGGTGGCGGGAGGGGCTGATGGCACAGACTGGTTTTCTCGCTTCAATCAGTCTGCCCCAGGCCATTAATGAGACTAAAGTTTATGCACCTTTAATTAACCATGGGGTGGGACCAACGCATATGAAGAACATGCAAACTCCTACACAGTGTTTCTACTGAAAGGGGACAATGTTGGAGAAAGAGAAAAGAGCGTTTACATGTCGCCAAGGAATTAGAGCTATAATCCAATCAGAGCTCATTAAGGATTTGGCCCCGCCCCCACACCACTCCTAATGTTTGACTCTGAACTGGAGAAGTGTGAGGGATGATCCAGGTCTGGACTAGGTTTAAAGCAGGTCTAAAGCTGGTCTGAAGCTAGGGCAAGTCGAGAGAAGGACTAAAACAGGGCTAAAAGAGGTATAAAGTAGGTCTAGAGCATGTCTGAAATGGGTCTAAAATGGATTTGAACAACAACAGAACAAGGTCCATAAAGGTATATGGCACAGGACTGGATGTGAACCAAATCTGAACCAGGTCTGTGGTGAAGATGGGAGCAGCCAACGGGAAGAAGGTCAGTGCGACATCACAGGACTGAACCAGGACTGAACCTGGTCTATATATATATATATATATATATATATAGATATACACATATATAAAGTGTAGAGACAGGGAGAGACTTGAAAAAGAGAAACCAGAGAGAGATCAGAGAGAACAGAGTGAGGCCAGAAAGGGCGAAAGAAAGAGTAGACATGTGTCCCAGGGCGACTCAACACTCAATGGAGCTAAGCTGTGAATAAAAGAGTGTTTATTATTTAGACCCAGTGTTTTTTTTATCATAAAAGACAACTGTTCCAGAATGGTTCTATACAGTGCCTAAAAGTACTAATACACCTTGAACTTTGTGTCAGGTTTACAACCATAAAGATTTAATTTTGTAAAATTATACAGGATTCTGTTATAATTTTAAAAATAGAAAATAGAAAAGTAGGGCCTGCACAAGTTTCAGACTTATGCTAAAATCTGGAACAATCTTTTTGAAAATGTGAGACAGACATCCACATCAAATCCAGGTTTAAACAGTTCTGTTTAGCTATGAGTACAACTGAAGGATTTTATCTCTACTCTTTTTAATGCACTGTTTTTTTTCTGCTAGTGGACACTTGAATTTCTTCTATGGGGATCAATAAAGTATCTATCTATCTATCTATCAAGTGGGCAGTGGAACTTTATCACACAACACACGCGACCCCCAGCAGTACAATCATTTCCTCAACAACATCCTCCTCAGGCCACAGCAAAGACGTGAAAGAATGCACCGACATCATTCTGCATTTACCAGTTGCAGCGAAAATGGAAACTGAAGCTTTGCGTGGTTTTGTTTAAACGGACGGAGTAGAGTTCTCCTCCTTGTAGTGCAGGAAGCATACATAGCATGAGTTCACCCGCCGCCATTGTTGTTTGCGTTTGTTCTCGGCTACTGCGCATTTCCAAATGTATGTGTAGGGAAGTGGTGAGGTCATTGCAGGCCGAGAATTCACACAGCTCTGAAACAGCCCCCCGCCACGCATTGTATCTGTTCCGTTCCACTCTGGAGGCTGTTTCCCAACGCTTGCGTTTTCACCCACTGAAACATTGTCTCCATGTAAACAGAAGGCCAAATCAATACCAACTCTACTATTTTACTGTCGCAACGTCCTTGTATAAACAGCACCTGTGTAAGTCACACCCCAAGACCCCCTGGCCAGGAGCCAGAGACAAAGGCCCAGGCCAATAAAGGTCTTAATTCCTAAAGATTCTTAGTGCTAAGAGTTGCTCCTAGTAGCCAAATTCTAAGAATATTAAGTGGAGAGTAGATCCTAGATAAGAAAAAAGCTATTCCTAAATAATCCTAGCTCTTAAGAGAGGTGAGATCTCTCAAGTAGAGAGGAGGACTTTTAGCAACTTAAGAGTTCCCTCAGAGGACAAAATGGTGGACGGAAGAGGCAGGAGAGATATTCTACAAACACTGGATTACAGTGGGGCCTCTCAAAACACTCATATGCTCATTCACCAATTGAGCCGGACGCAAACACTGTTCCTCTGTCCAGTTGAGTTTCCTCTTTCTTTTCTCCATTGCTGTTCACTTGTTTGTGGTATATTTGACCAACACGGCTTCTTATAGGCTGGTCAGCAATCACAGCTGTGTCATTTTACCCTCATTACACCAAAGTGAGTATGAATGGTAAAAGTTGAAAGTGAAAAAAGGACCAGCATGCCAATTAATATAAGCAATTAAATATAACTATCACTGTGTTGATACTGTGCAAGTTTTCACACATTCTGTAAGATGATTTAAAAGTATAACTTACTATAACTTACTATAACTTACTATTCACAGCATTCATTTTATATTGACATATCTATCTTTCTATCTTTTATGCAGAAAGTTATTTACAATGACAGCCTACCTAAGATTTGATTCCATGATTAAGTTTGTCCAGTTTTGACCGTTATCACCAATAGGATGTTTTCTCTAGCTTTTAGGATAAACCAATCACAGCGTCTGAGAATGTTTGGAGCTCTCTGAGAGGACTTTCAGAATCTTTAGGCATACGGTCCCTTGTCTTCAAACAAGTCCAGAGTACTTTTGGTAAAATTGATTTATATACAACCTCAAAATTCATTAATAAGAGACCTTAAAAACAACATTTTATAAACATTATGATTTATGTGATCTGGATTGTGAGGCGCTTTGTGTTGCCTTGTGTAGGAAAGTTGATTGATTGAAGTTTTGCATTAAAGAGTACATTAAAACATTCACATGTTCACACCTTGCCCTGATGATTAAATTGCACCACTGTGAATTTCCGACACGCCTGTCGACCTAAACTAACAGATCGAACAACAAGAGCACTGCTCAGAAAGGCAACCAAGGGCCCCAAGAGCTGCAAAGTACTGCCATTGAGCTGGGGGAATCTGTACATGGGACAAGTACACTATACAAATCTGATCTTTATGGACAAGTGGCATTATTGGTAGGAGGCCACAAGAAAAACTGTTTGAAGTTACCAGAAGTCATATGGGGGACACAACTACCATGTGGAAGAAGGTGCTTTGGTCAGATGACACAACATTTTTTTTTTATGTATGACAAAAACCTAACACTGTTCATTGTCGAAAGTGCACCATCCTGGTTGCCAAATGTGGTGGGGGGAGCATCATGCTATGGGGCTGCTATTCTTCAGCTGGGACAGGGAAGATTGTAAGAACAGCTGGGAAGATGGATGGACAAATACACCTGGTAGAGTCAGCAGGATAATTAAGGCTGGGTTTAAGATTCACCTTCCAACATCTGTGGAAAGACCTGAAATCTGCCATTCACAAACGTTCTCCTTCTAAGAGAGCAGGGATACATTTTCTGTCTCTAGATGACGTGGAAATAATAATAATAATAATAATAAAAGTACGTTTTATTTAAAAGCGCCTTTCTAAACACCCAAGGACACTGTACAGAGCATAATAAAAACATTAAAAACAGGATCAACAGAATAAAACAGTAAAGTACAATATGGAATGGTGGGTGTGTGTGTGTTAGGTGGGGTAGGACAGTCTGAACAGATGGGTTTTGAGTCTGGATTTGAGAGAGGCATCTGGCTGCAGACTCCCCCCCCCTCGCAGACCTCCCTGTTCAGCCCCTGTCACGTGACCTCCTTCAGGAGCCCCTGTCACGTAACCTTTGCCATGAGCTACTGTCACTTCACTCCCTGGGACTTGAAAACGTTTTTCTTCACAAAGTTATAAAGCTTATATTTAACATATTGTATATATTTTGTAACAAACAAAAATAGTGACGTTTGTTCCACAAATTGTGACCAGGTATTATGTATATGAGCGTTTTCATCTGGGCATTTGGGATGCCAAAGGACAATTCTGTTGCCATTTGTTTACAAGAGCGCCACCTACATGTCACCCATAGTATAGAACATGAAAATACGTCGAAAAGACAATATATATGGAGATACCATGGCGAGGCTTCATTATATTAAGAGCTGCAACTTCCATTCATCTATATTATTCTCGCAACAGCAATAAAGTTACATAGGTACCCAATATTTCTTTTTTCTATTATTTTCTAGAGGAATAAGAGTTAGCTAGACCTATAGGTCTACTCACATTTTTGATTTTCCTAACGTTCTGTAACCTGTGATGCAATACTGAACATTCCCCGTTTGTGGTGAATAAATTATCTCAATGATAAAGCCGTTCAACTATTTATTATGCATTCACAATAAAACACCCCTTTTATCAACACATTCAACAGAAAAGAGTTCCATGTCCTCAATCTGAGAGAAGACAAACTTGAAGGGCTCCAAGATGTTCTCATGCTCCTCACTGTCCGGGTCAAAGTCTCCCTAAACTGAGAGATGTCTGCTTGTGTCCAGTAAAGGAAGTGAGGTAACAGGGGCTCCTGAAGGAGGGGCTGAACAGGGAGGTCTGCGAGGGGTGGGGAGTCTGCAGCCAGACTCTCTTGGGATTTGAAGAGTGGAATCTTATTGAGTCATACCTTAAACACTTGCTGCTGTTATTGAAGGGGGTTCCACGAAGCTGTGTGAATACGTGTGAATGCCCAACTTTTCAGTTTTCTATAAAAGAATGATGATGATGATTTTGTATTCATAAATAAATATGACAAAATTGCAAAAGTTCAAGGTGTATATAGATCAAAGAGAGGACCACACTTACTGAATATATATAGTGCCTTTCGAAAGACCAGAGAGATACCAGAGTGACCAGAGAGAGACAAGAGCCCAGAGAAAGAGGCAAGAGAGAGAGAGAGACCAGGAAGACAGACCAGAAAGCACAAGAGATACCATGGGCGGCACGGTGGCTGAGTGGATAGCACTCTCGCCCCTCAGCAAGAAGGTCCTGGGTTTGAATCCTGGTCGGACCAGGTCCTTTCTGAGTGGAGTTTGCATGTTCTCCCCGTGTCTGCGTAGGTTTCCTCCGGGTACTCCGGTTTCCCCTACCACTAAAAACATGTACAATAGGTCCGGCATGCGCCTCCTGTACTGGCGACCCCGCTCCCATCTCTGTGTGGAGTGAGAGACAAATGCCCAAAAATGACAAATGCAAACCGCTTTGTGACTCTGGTCTGTGAAAGGCGGTATATCAATAAAGCTTACTTACTTACTATCTTACCAGAGAGAGCGAGACTATGAGACCAGAGAGAGTCAAGAGACCAGAGACCAGAAGGAATGACCAGAGTAACCAGAGAGAGAACAGAGAGACGCCATATTAACACCAGAGAGAGAGAAACTAGAGACCAGAGAGAGACCATAGAAAGATACTCCAGAGAGAGGGACCAGAAAAAGAGACCAGAGATTGAGACCAGAAAGAGACTAGAGAAAGGGGCCAGGGAAAGACCAGAGAGACTATAGAGAGAGAGATAATAGAGGGAAAGACCAGAGACCAGAGTGAGACCAGAGAGACTAGAGCCCTTGCCCGATTTGAAATCTGTGACTGGTGCTTGGAACCATAGTTTGAGCTAGAGTGTATTCCTAGCCCAAGTTTAGCTCACAGACCAGAGGGGTGAGGGTTTGTATTTTATTTAATTCAGATGTTCAGACAAAATTTGAAAAACAAGTCGTCTAGATAACTCCACAAACTCGGTGTAAAACTATAAAGTGAGTGTAATACAAAAGTGCTGCTGTAGTGACATGCCGCCGCCACACGATGGCGCCATGTGCTCAGAGGTCTGAGGAACAGGCGCAAACCACACAATACCCCTTCTGTTTAAAGCTCGGGGGCGTAACATTAGTCTCATTAATAACATGAAGTTTGTCCAACAGAAAGAGTGTCTTCATCTCATTAGAAAACATGTTATCTTTTTGGGTAAGTAAGAGCCCTGAGAGGCACTATTTGACTCTTTGGGCTAAGAACTGACTGGCTGAGTGAGGGTGGTCCTCTCTTTGATCTAAAGATGTGACATAGGGCAAAAATACAAATATAAAAACTATAAAATAATACATATATATATATATATATATATATATATAAAAAAATATATCATATACATACATATAGCCAGGAAGTAGAGACATGGGTTGTATACAGATTTCTATAAAATTATAGACCCCGGCTGTAAAGTTACGTGCCCCAACTTTAATGTTATGTATCTGTGACTTACCCCACCCAGCATTAGGAGAAAGTAGGGGGGAGGGCTCTGTGGGGTTCAAGTCGTGAGCTGAATTTGAAGCTTGCTTATTTGTTGTTGAAACAAAACAGTTTTGGAAACGGAGACTTGGTATCTGAGCAACAGAGAAACTGGGCCAGGACTTGGCCGGGACTGGACCAGGACTGGGCCAAGAGTGGGCCAAGACTGGGCCAGGACTGGACCAGGACTGGACCAGGACTTAAATAGATCTTAACCTTCAGATTTGGTTGGTTTAAGTGCTTGGTTGGTTTAAGTGCTGGTCCAGTCCTTGTTCAGACCAAGTCCTGGTCCAGTCCGGGTTTAGACCTGGTCCTGGTTCAGACCTGGTCATGGTTCAGACCTGCTCCTGGTTCACACCTGGTTCAGATCTGGTCTATCTGTTACAGAGGGAATACACTGTGCAGCAGTCGTCTGGGACCAACAGAAATGTCCGAGGTGAGTCACCCCGACCCTTCTGTCTTAATGTTCTGGTTTCGAATTTGTTACAGTGTGATGTCACTGTGAGGCGCTGTGATCATTATGTGGACAGAGGAGACCAACACTAACTTTATCAGTGTGAAGGAGCAGCATCCTCAGTCCAGGCCTACATTTGTGAAACTGCTGTTCAAATGCTTTGATCTAATTGTATATATTTGAGGAAAGGCGAAACTGTCAGTCTCTGCATCAGACCCCCAAAGACAAAAGGGGTTTCACAGTCCTGCTTTAGACCTGCTTTTATTCTTCTTGAGACGTGCCGTAGTCCTGGTTTAGGTCTGCTTTAGTCATGCTTTATAGACTTGCTTTAGACTTGCTTCAGACCTGCTTTAGTCCTTCTTTAGTCCTGTTTTAGACTTGTTTTAGTCCTTCTTTAGTCTTTCTTTAGACCTGCATCAGTCCCTCTTTAGACTTGCTTTAGCTCTGCTTTAGTTCTGTTTTAGTCTTGCTTTGAACCTGTTTTAGACCTGCTTTAGTCCAGGTCCAGTCCTGGCTTTGCTCTCTGGATCATTGGGGCGAGGGGAGGGTGAAGGGGGGGCTCCCTCCCGTGAGAAACTCTTGGGTCATGTGACCCAAGCGCTGCAGCTGAGGGGAGGAGGCTCTGGTCCCAGTCTGAACGAGAGACCAGAGAGAGTCAGACCTGGACTGAAACCAGGGCTGAGACCCAGACTGAGACCCGGACTGAGACCCGGGCTGAGACCCGGACTGAGACCTGGACTGAGACCCGGACTGAGACCCGGACTGAGACCTGGACTGAGACCTAGTAGATGGATCCTGAGCTCAGGAGCTTCAGACCTGGGGGGATGATCACCTCAGGTAAGAGTCTGTAAACTCTTAGAGAGAGAGAGAGAGAGCGGGTCCAGGTCCAAGGTCTGTGCAGGAACATGAGGAAGAGCAGATCAGAGGGTCAGTCCTGATTCAGTCCTGGTTCATTCTTAGTCCAGTCCTGATCCAGTCCTGGTTCAGTCCTGATCCAGTCCTGGTTATGTCCTGGTCCAGTCCTGGTCCAGTCATGGTTCAAACCTGGTCCAGTCCTGGTCCAGACTTGGTTGGACCAGTCCCAGAGTTGTCTCACATTGATTTCCTCAGTCTCCTCTGGTTTCAAATCTACTTCCTTGGACCTGAACATCTCCTGTTTCACCCAAAGTCAATGTTCAGCCTCAAACCAGGGAGATCAGACCAGAGAGAGACCAGAGAGAGACTTGCAAGAGACCAGAGAGAAAGATTAGCGAGAAAGAGATCAGAGAGAGACCAAATAGAGACCAGAGAATGTGTCCAGAGAGAAACCAGAGAGAGAGACCAGAGGGAGACCGGAGAGAGATACGATAGTGACAACCACCCAAGACTCTAAGCTGTTGAATAGCTGTTAATGGGAAACACACATTCCTGAAAACTATGGGATGAAGACTTATGAAAACACAAGAACTGCTAACAATACGAGCAAAAATATTTGTATATGTGAAAACCACCTCCAGGGTACAGGACTGAACCAGGACTCGATCATGACAATACTAGGTCCATAGAGAGTCTCCAAATCTGCCCTCAAGTCACTGGTCCAAAGATCAGCTGATAGACTCTACAAACATTTCACAGAATTGACCAGTGACTAAAGCAGCACTAAAGCAGGACTAAAGCAGGACTGAAGCAGGTCTAAAGAAGGTCTATGCCAGGTCTATGCCATGTCTAAAGCAGGTCTAAAACATGTTTAACTCTTGTGTGATTTTAAAGGAGCATCGTGTTTCACTTCATTGTTTTATGAAACCGGATCGGGATGAGTGCAGGACTGAGACCTGCTTCATATGAAACTTGAGACTGAAGGAGACTGTGCTGTTTGCTCCACTTCCTCCACTTTGTTTTAGATATGGAGAAACATATTCAATGGAATAAGAGATGACCAGGATGAGAGGAGAGTGGAGAAGAAGATAGAGGAGGAGAGGAGAGAGAGGAGAGGAGAGAGAGTGGAAGACAGAGGAGGAGAGGAGTGGAGATAAGAGAGGAGAGGAGAGGGGACAAATGAGAGGTGAGAGAAGAGAAGCTAATGGTGTGGGAGAAGCTAAACGTACATGTGGGAGGGGCTAAATGTGTGGGAGGAGTTACAGGCACATGAGGGAGGGGCTTCAGGAATCTGTAGGAGGAGCTAAATGTGTGGGTGGAGCTAAATGTGTGGGAGGAGCTACAGGTACATGTTGGAGGGTCTACAGGCATCATTGGGAGGAGCTAAATGTGTGGGAGGAGTTAAATGTTTGGGAGGAGCTAAATGCACATGAGGGAGGGGCTACAGGAATCTGTGGGAGGAGCTAAATGTGTGGGTGGAGCTAAATGTGTGGGAGGAGCTACAGGTACATGTTGGAGGGTCTACAGGCATCAGTGGAAGGAGCTAAATGTGTGGGAGGAGCTAAGCTTGTCTCTAATTTTTCAGTGTCGGCGCACGCGCAGCTGCAGCGCTCTGACCGGAAGTCCTCTCCCCTCTATGTCCCGCCCCCCGACTACGAGTCCCCCAGTGATGACATCATCCAACCACGCAAACTCAGCAATCCAGTGAGAGAGTCCAAGAGCCACAGAGAGCTGCATCGAGAGCTCCTGACGCAGTGTAAGAGGTATGAGAGCACCGAGAGCTACACCGAAAGATCCTGACATAGAGTAGCTGTGGAGATGTGGTGGAGGTGATCTGGGTCTGTGTTTGTTCATGGTCTGGTCCTCCTCAGGTCTGGAGATATGGTGGAGGTGAAGCCGGAGCTCCAGCGCGTCCTAGACTCTCGCCGCAGGGAGCAGAGGCTCTCGATAAGGAGGCAGGAGGAAGAGGCCCACAAGAAGCTGTCTCCTCTAGAACAGGAACTGAAGAGGAGGAAAGGCATCCTGGAGGAGGTACGTGAGCACCGAGTGTCAGAGGTAGGGGGGCATAGAGAGAACAGGGACAAAAGATCATAAACAAATCACTCCCAACACTTCTGTCCTCCACTACAGCTGTGGCCTGGGTCCTGGTTTGGGTTCGGCCTGGGTCTGGTCTGGTTCAGGGTCTTGGTCTGGGTCCTCAGATTAATGCTCAGATTGTGTTTCTATTGCAGTTGGAGCAGGAGGAGCAGCGGCTGAAACTAGAATCAAGTCGAGCTCCAGAATTCATCAAAGTCAAAGAGAATTTGAGGAGGACCAGCCGAGACCTGAACCAGGACCAAGAGGAGGACCGGGACTAGACCAGGATCTGGATAACCTCAGACCTAAACCAAGACCAGGACTAGGACAAGGACCAAGACCAGGGCTAGACCAGACCAGGACCAGAACTAGGACCAGGACCCATGGATGTATTGCCAGGACCAGGTCTGAACCTGGACCAGGTCTGAAGCAGGACTCGTCTCTCCGCAGATCTGACCTGGCCTCTTAACTGTTGTAGATTGACTTTCAGGTTTGTGACATAGCTCTTCTGTAGCAAAACTCTGACCACTGGTGGCAGGAAGAGGAAGTGCTCTGACCGCCTCTGGTAGACAAGGAGGAGGAGGTCTGACCCCTGGTGACATTACTGGTCAACTGATCAGCTGAAGTAGAACATAACTTTATTAATAGAAGAATCCTGTTTTTAATGACGTTGTTGCACTAATGAACACTGACCAAACCTTTCATAATAGAAGTCCTTTATTGTGAAAACCTCTTTTGTACAAACTGTGAAAATAAGTGTCTAATTTCTCATTTTTATTTCTCGTTTTTAATTTATAATAAAACATAATATTATGATGATAAATCTTTGTGGGCTCCGTTTGTTCTTCACCCAATTTTAAGATTTTTGATAAATTCTTTGGAAAATCTTTTTTTCAGATTTACAAGATTTTCATCATTCATAGTTTTTTAGTGATTTAATATAAATATTAAATATTTATTCGTTTTAATTAGGATAGTACATAGGTTTTTTTTAAATCTGTTAACCAGTGTAGTTGTTTATCCGTCAGACACACAGACTATAAAGTTAGACCTGATCTCATTCTGATTGAATTTTTCTTGATTTTTTCCCTCAAAATTGTCTTTTGACTGTTTTTGTATATTTCATTATCGATTCTGTCTTTTTCAATTGTTTGTCATATTAAAACCATTTAATTTTTCGTATTTCTTAAAAAAAAAAAAAGAATCTGACCCGTATTGTGTCTGTAGGAGCAGACCTTGTTTGAGTCAATACCATGGGCTCCTCCACACAAGAAACACGGTTAGAAACATACTTTAAGAGACCTTATTGTGAAGGAGCAGTGAGCTGAGCTCTTGTTGTGTAGGCGAGCGGAAGTGCGACTGCTGTTTCTTCCTGACTCGTGTGTTTTGCCCGTTCCGCTCCTGTTTCCCCAGTTTTCCTCTCTTCCCGGGACTTTACCGGGGTTTACCGGGACTTACTGAGGCCGTACCGGGACCTGGGCTGTGTGCGGGCTTCGGGCAGGCCGGGAGCTGGGGGAGGCCGCCCCGAGAGCCGAGTGAGGGCAACACGGGGACATGGCTCCAGCATCAGCACCAGCATCATCAGCCCCGAGGAGCTGAAGGAGAGACAACCGGACCAGACCCGGACTAGAGCAGGGAAGAACCGGACAAGACCAGGGAAGAACCGGACCAGACCCGGACTAAAGGAGGGCAGAACTGGACTAGACCCGCGACCAAACCTGGGAGAGAACAGGACTACCCCCGGAACAGACCCAGGAGAGAGACAGACCTGGACCTGTAGGCTGAAACTACCGAGCATCTTTGAACTAGAGGCGTGTCGCGGTGCAGCCCTGCAACAGTGTAACAGGTGAGTGTGTAATAACTGTGATGATAATGTAATAGCATAGTAATAGTGTGTAATAACTGTGATGATAATGTAATAGCATAGTAATAGTGTGTAATAACTGTGATGATAATGTAATAGCATAGTAATAGTGTGTAATAACTGTGATAATAATGTAATAGCATAGTAATAGTGTGTAATAACTGTGATGATAATGTAATAGCATAGTAATAGTGTGTAATAACTGTGATAATAATGTAATAGCATAGTAATAGTGTGTAATAACTGTGATGATAATGTAATAGCATAGTAATAGTGTGTAATAACTGTGATAACAGTGTTATGGGGAGTGTGTAACAACTGTAGTAAGTTTAATAACAGTGTATTAGGTGAGTACAGTGGCAGCAACTTTGGGCAGGAGGGCTAATGAATAAATATTAGTATTGGACAAACAATACTGACAAAGAGAATTACTTTGATCTTATTCAACCTAACAAGTTATTATAAGTTATTATATTATTATGTGAGAAGATGAAACGTATGATAATGAAACCACATTTTTTATGTCAATTTCAGCTTCAATGATTAAATGTGTCCACTAGATTTCAGTGTTAAAAGCTATTCTGAGCTCAGGCTCCGACATCTTTGAAAACGTGTTAAGCCATGTTCCCACCGGAACATGCGTTAAGGTGAGTTTTAATGCAAAATCATTGGTGCACGTTTGTCCTGGTGGGTACGGCGGCTAGATGCATGCAGCGAAAGCAGGAGATGAGATTCACCAAACATCCTCGCTCCACGTACGTGCGGCAACCAATCAGAGAACAGCAAATTGGTCACGGGGACACAAGCCGGTGTTCTGCCTCAGCTGTTTTATGATGTAATGCAAACCTGCGCATGCGTGCCTCACGCACAACTGTAAATATTAATTAGTCATGCCTATCTCCGCCGTTGAAATTAATGTGCCACCCCTTTCGCTGTTTGTGGGCAGTTTCAAAATGGCCGTGTGTTGGGCCAAGAGCCAACTTTTTGACCATTCTATAAAGCCGTTTTCGAGAGGTAAGAGGATGCTATACATTAGCATTGTCTAATTCTTATTCCGAGTCCACCCCTATCGGCCCGGGGTGGTATGTAATTTTGGCCTTTTTTTAGCCAGGACTCGCCCCCACTGGTCCTGCCCCATTCCACTGGGCACCAGTGGGAGCGGGTCCTGGCTCAAAAGTGGCAAAAATGACGTGCACTGACATGCTTGCAATACCACCCCGGGCCGATGGGGGTGGACCCGGAATAAGAATTAGCCAATGCTAACATATAGCCTCTTCTTACCTCTCGAACACAACTTTACAGGATGGTCCAAAAGTTGGCTCTTGGCCCAAAGCTCCGTTCCACATGTGTGTCAATGCTGAGGGGAGTGAATTTTTTTGGACCACTCTAGTTTACTCGCTGTGAATTTTTGAAGTCAACCGGAAAAAGGTGCCTTGCCCTCTCCAAGTGTGTGGAGAGGTCCTTCCTCAAGTGGAGGAGTTCAAGTCTCTCGGGTCTTATTCACGAGTGAGGGAAGAATGGAGCGTGAGATTGACAGGCGGATCGGTGCAGCGTGCGCAGTGATGTGGTCGCTGTATCGGATCGTCGTAGTAAAGAGGGAGCTGAGCCGAAAGGCAAAGCTCTTGATTTACTGGTCAATTGTCTTCCTTTCCTCACGGTCATGAGCTTTGGGTAATGACCGAAAGGACGAGATCGCTGATACAAGCGGTCGAAATGAGCTTCCTCCGCAGAGTGGCTGGGCGCTCCCTTAGAGATACTGTAGTGTGAGGAGCTCAGACAGACGGGAGGAGCTCGGAGTAGAGCCGCTGCTTCTCCACGTCGAGAGGAACCAGTTGAGGTGGCTCGGGCATCTGTTCCAGATGCATCCTGGACGCCTCCCTGGGGAGGTGTTCCGGGCACGTCCCACCGGGAGGAGACCCCGGGGAAGACCCAGAACACGCTGGATCTCAGCTGGCCTGGGAACGCCTTGGGGTCCCCCCGGATGAGCCGCTGGAAGTGTTTGTGGATAGGGAAGTCTGGGCGTCTCTGCTTAGACTGCTGCCCCCGTGACTCGGCAACGGATGAAGCGAAAGAAAATGGATGGATGGATTTGTAAATGTTTTAAACAACATGAATAAATACAAAATTATAATCATAACGTCAATCAATAACACTTTTGGGAGTTTCTTCTTCTACTTCAACTTCAGGGGTTTGTGAAAAATCCTTGATTGTCTGATCGTTACTATTAGGCAAACCAGATCACTTTCAGTATTTTGCACTGTCCTCAATAGAGGACAGTGCAAAATAGAGCGTTAAATAGCAAAGAAAGGGTTAGAGAGCTGTTTGGGTCACACAGCAGGATGTAGGGACAAAACCTGTGGGATCCACATTATTCATGAATTACGTATATGGAATATGAGAAATATTTAAATGACTGAGGTCGTTTGTCTATACCATACAGTACAAACTATAGGGTCGAACTGCGATGGACCTGCAGCTCTGTCTTGGTGGGGGAGGAGGATGTGGAGGATGAAGAGCGACAGCTGCAGATGGGGCTGACTCCCCCTCATCTGACCCCACCTCCTCCCACCACCCTTCCCACTATCTGAACACAACCACTGCTGCGTTGTCACATGTGTGCAACAGTTTTGAAGAAGATGACAAAGTCTGGGATCGTGTCATAAATTCAGACAGAAGACATGTTTTATTGTCGATGGTAGAGACAGCACGAACAGCACGAACACAGATACAGCAGAATGCAAGTGTATTATACAGAGCGGAGGCATGGAGACCTCCAATCAGCAGCTTCCACAGTGCCATGTAGCTTGGCCTTCAGATAGACAAAACAAGGGAAAAGTACTGGCTTCTGCACATTGATAGAATGATGAGCTTAACTTTAACAAAAGTTGCTTAAAAGTGTTATGAAATCTCACATTCCTCCCTCTGGTCACACATTCCCGTGTGACCATCAGGATCGATAAACGGCAACATAACATCATAACAGTTTCAATACTTAAACTTGGTACTTCACTCGGAATACTTCAAAAACTCGGAAACTCATAAAACATGTTTAGATCTTTCATAAAACTTGTCAACAATCTTTAGTAAAATACCAAACTTCATCAGTCGATGGTGGTTCCAGATATTGCTTTGAAAACAGTCTCTCCCACTTCTCCTGTTGGTTTCTTCAGGCTGCATTTGTGTCGAGCCATGAATTCTTCTGTGACGTGTCTTTCAATCACACGTTTCAGCTTTAGTGTCCAGATTCAGCAATTCAATTCAGTCCAAATTATGTCCAAATTCAGAAATTCAATTGTTCCAAATTATGTCCATGCAAAAGAGGACGATGGTGTTGTCCATGTCTCAGCAGCTCACAGCCTGACTGGAATCAGGGGCTGTGCAGATTGTCCATGTGCTGATCCAGATGCATGGTTTCTCTTGAGGTTTTTCAGTTTTGGCTTGAAAAAAAAAAAACTTTTTTGTGTAAAAAAAAAAGTAGTCTTCTGTTCTCTAGATGTTACAGACAAGGCCCGCATCCTTCCACCACCTGAAGAAGATGACAAAGTCTGGGATCGTGTCATAAATTCAGACAGAAGACATGTTTTATTGTCGATGGTAGAGACAGCACGAACAGCACGAACACAGATACAACAGAATGCAAGTGTATTATACAGAGCGGAGGCATGGAGACCTCCAATCAGCAGCTTCCACAGTGCCATGTAGCTTGGCCTTCAGATAGACAAAACAAGGGAAAAGTACTGGCTTCTGCACATTGATAGAATGATGAGCTTAACTTTAACAAAAGTTGCTTAAAAGTGTTATGAAATGTCACAGTTTATACAGCAAAATGTGGCCTTAAAGCTTGGGTATTTAACTTTAAAGCTGGGGTTCATGACTTTAAAGTTGGGGTCACTAGTTCCTGGCTCTAATGTAACTTGTCTTAATGAACTCTATAGTATTGACTTTAAAGTGTTATTGTGTCTTCTGTCCTCTGCCTTCTGTCCTCTGTCTTCTGTCCCCTGTCCTCCAGGTGAGGTCATGTCTATGCAGCCCCAGCCAGAGGCCCCCGAGGCCGCCTGGGGTCTGGAGTCCCTGGGTCTGTCCCAGAAGGAGCTGGTTCTGGCTGAAGCTCTGCAGATGGAGTACGATGCTCTGTCCCAGATCAAACAGGATCAAAGCAAAACCAGTCTCCCCATCCAGAGGCCGAGTGGAGTCCAGGACCAGACCACGACCACTGCCCCATCAGTCCAGTCCATCCAGAGACTGAGTACAGTCCAGGACCAGACCAGGACCACCGCCCCATCAGTCCAGTCCATCCAGAGACCCAGACCCACCACAACCAGAGCCTTCACTGGAGACCTGACCGGTACGACCTGAATGAAAGCAGATAGAAGAGCTGTTTTAACTGGACGCGACCCTTTTGTCTCATCAGGATTGGTTTCAGGCTCAGACCTGGTTCTGGATCAGGCAGGGGGCTCCCAGCACACGCTGACCCCAGCTCGGGTGCCTCTCTCTGGGATGAGTGTGTCCAAAGGGCCCCTGTACATCCTGGAGGCTCCGGAGAGCACTGACTTCCAAGAGAAATGCTCCCAGAGTTTTCCGGACGACGTTCCCCCAGCTCTGCCCCCCCGGCTACCCATCACCCCTGCACACCCAGAGCCCCTCAGGTACTACTGTTATTACTGTGCGGTGAGGGGAGAGCAGCCGCTGCAGTCAGAGCTCTCCAATTACAGAGAGAGAGACCAGAGAGAGAGACCAGAGAGCGAGACCAGAGAGCGAGACCAGAGAGCGAGACCAGAGAGCGAGACCAGAGAGCGAGACCAGAGAGCGAGACCAGAGAGCGAGACCAGAGAGCGAGACCAGAGAGCGAGACCAGAGGGAGAGACCAGAGGGAGAGACCAGAGGGAGAGACCAGAGGGAGAGACCAGAGAGAGAGACCAGAGGGAGAGACCAGAGAGAGAGACCAGAGAGAGAGACCAGAGAGAGAGACCAGAGAGAGAGACCAGAGAGCGAGACCAGAGAGCGAGACCAGAGAGCGAGACCAGAGAGCGAGACCAGAGAGCGAGACCAGAGAGCGAGACCAGAGAGCGAGACCAGAGAGCGAGACCAGAGAGCGAGACCAGAGAGCGAGACCAGAGAGCGAGACCAGAGAGCGAGACCAGAGAGCGAGACCAGAGAGCGAGACCAGAGAGCGAGACCAGAGAGCGAGACCAGAGAGCGAGACCAGAGAGCGAGACCAGAGAGCGAGACCAGAGGGAGAGACCAGAGGGGGAGACCAGAGGGGGAGACCAGAGGGAGAGACCAGAGACCAGAGGGAGAGACCAGAGGGAGAGACCAGAGAGAGAGACCAGAGAGAGAGACCAGAGAGAGAGACCAGAGAGAGAGACCAGAGAGAGAGACCAGAGAGAGAGACCAGAGAGAGAGACCAGAGAGAGAGACCAGAGAGAATAACATTATAATGGACTATGGCAAGTTTTTCTTTCAAGAGGAGTATGTCAAGTTTAAACTCCCAAAGCTTTAGATACACTTATGACTGATGTGAGTCTTGGACCTAACTCTTTAAGAAGCAGATTTTAGAGTTTGGTTTCTGTATACTTTACTGAATGTGTTTGTGCACATAGAGTTTGACCTATAGGTTTGGGTTCCCTCCTACACTTTCACATTGTCAGAAGAGAAGTATGGTGTGGATTATTCCTGTTTGTTCTTTACAGCAGCAGCTCGACCTCCAGGGCCCCCCCACCTCCACCCCCTAACCACCCCACACGCCTCCCGCCCCGTGACGTCAACCTGTTCATCCCTGAGGGAGACCTGCTCAAAGTCCAGGTGAGTGACCAGGGGTTAGCCTCTCCCTCTCTCTGGTCTCTCTCTCTGATCGCTCTTGCTGGTCTCATCCTTCTTTCACCTTTCAGCCCAAGTTTGAACCCGACTTCGACAGCATCAACCAATCACTACTAAGACTCAACGAAAGCCCACCCCCCAGGCCACACAGGGACCAATCAGGGAAGCCCGTGGCCCGCAGTAAGACCCTTCCCCCTCAGGTCCCGCCCAGAACCTATCTCCCAGCGGCAAAGACCAATCGCAGCCAGCGCAGAGTGTCAGCTGACCCGGTACGTCTCTCTCTGGTCTCTCTCTGGTCTTTTGCTCTGGTCTTTTGCTCTGGTCTTTTGCTCTGGTCTTTCGCTCTGGTCTTTCGCTCTGGTCTTTCGCTCTGGTCTTTCGATCTTGTCTCACCATGGTCTCTCTATCTTGCCCACTCTCTGTCTGGTCTCTCTCTGGTCTCTATCGGGTCTCTCTTTCTGGTCTCGCTCTGATTTCTCTCTCTGGTCTTTCTGGTGTCTGGTCTGATCCTACACTGTGTTCCTCTGTAGGTTCCTCTGGTTGCTTCAGGCTCTTCTCACACCAGTAGTACCAGTACCAGTACCAGTAGTTATGAGCTTTTCCAGGTCTCTGAGGAGCGGGACGAGGAGGTGGCTGCCTTCTGTCACATGCTCGACATGTGAGTAAGATTCAAACACAAAAGCGTTTTACAATATGTGAGCGACAGTCCAGCTGGTCTCTCTCTCTCTGGTCTCTCCTTCTGGTCTCTCTGCTGACCCTCAGAGATGTCTATCTGTGTTCCAGTCTGCGCTCAGCTTTCCCGCACTCAGACCTGGACTCAAATCAGGGCTTTGTCTGGTCTCCGTCTCTCAGTCCTGACCTGATCCAGGGTCTTGGAGTTTCAGTCAGAGTCTGTGTGAACTATGAGGGAGCGAGGGAGCCGCTGGCCTTCACTTGTGACGGTAAATATTCAACTGTTAGAACTAGTGCTACTGCTATTACTACATTTCTAGTCTCTCACTGGATGGTCTCTCTCTGGTCTCTATCTCTGGTCTCTGGTCTCTCTCTGTTCTCTATCTCTGGTCTCTCTCTAGTCTCTCTCTGGTCTCTACCTCTGGTTTCTGGTCTCTCAAAGGTCTCTCTCACTTATCTCCCTCTGGTCTGTGGTCTAACCTGGTCTCTGGTTTCAGGTTCCTCCACTGTGGACCTTCTCATCTATCAGACCCTGTGCTATACTCAGGACCAGGAGGATCTGGACGTGGACCAGTTCCTCATGAAAGTATGCGGCCTGGACGAGTATCTCCCCAAGTACGTTCCCCCACCCTTTCTGTGTAAATGCTCTGTTGTCAAATGCTCTCTCTTCTCACTCCTCTCCTCCTTTCTCTCCTTTCCTCCCCCCTCTCTTCTCCTCTCCCATAGCGCGCAGACACTTGCTGCGCTGGAGTATGTGCAACAGTGTCTGAAGTTTGACTGGGATGTGAAGCTGCGGCTCGTGAGGAGAGCGGAGATCAGCATCGAGCTGCGGAGGACAGTAAGTGTGAGAGCCACAGCCGCCCTGGGGCAGTACTAAAGCCATGTCTGCCCTGGGGCGTGTTAAAGCTCTTGATCTTATGCACTGTCAGCGGTACGTCAGGGGAGATGTCTGTGCCGCCTTTAGTTCTGGAATATCAGAGCAGTGGTGTCTGTAGGGACAGTGTGATCTGAGCGGTGTCTGCAGGGACAGCCCTTGTCTTGTTTTTTTGATGTTTTCTGGTTCTCACAGAAAGAAGATGATGATTCTTCTTCATCCATGAACCACGGAATCCTGCTGCAGGAGCGGCCCATCAAGCAGACGGTCACGAGGTGTGCTAGCATACCCTGTTGCATGTGTTAGCGTGTGTTAGCATGTGTTAGCGTGTAGTACCCTTATTCACTAGCAGGGGGGCTCTCACACCATATTAGCATGTGATAGCATTTGTTAGAATGCTATCACAATCACCAGGGGGGCACTCTCACACCATGTTAACACGTGTTAACCTATGGTCTGAGGGTGTGCTCTCAGTGTAGCTGTCACATGTTTTACAGAGAGGCGCTGACTCTGCTGCTCGACACTTTTCACAACGAGGCCGAGTGCTTTCTGCTGCAACAGGTAACCGCAAACTGGGTCAAACTGACGAGAAATTAGAGCGATATTTGATATGAGTGTTCAGTATTTCGATAACGATATTATTGCGATATTTTTGTCTTTCACCAACATTAATGACATTCAAATAGAATGGGTAGAGTAGGGCTGGGGGAAACACAGCTTCTGTGTCCTCTAGTGCAGTGGTTCTCAAAGTGGGGTACGCCAAAGAATCACTGAATTTTGGGGTTGAGATTAACTCATTGTCATTGACATCAATTGACTTCAACATTGTTTTTCAATCTTCTTCTGTCCGTATGTGTCTGTGTATCATATATGTCTGGGGTTTGGCTGTAGACAGTATTTTATTAAGCCAGCAGGTGGCAGCAGAGCTCTATGGGTGTCTTGGTCAAAGATCACTGCCTGAGAGACAGAGGTGAAGCAGACATGGAGTAATATTGTCAGGGTCAGGCTACATTTGGAGGCAGTTTGAGCAGTAAATGTGTCTCCAGAGCTGACAGAGACCATGTGGAGCGCACTTACATGCGCGCCCAAACACACAAAGACACACAACAGTATTCTATTGCACTAATAGTATAAGTATATTGTCTGTTCACTTGATTTATTGTCATTTATAGTGTTTATCATTGTAATTTTGCTTGTCTCTGATTTACTCTTATTGACATAGATATAGCGCCACCTAAAGGATGAATACTGGCCATTCTTTCTGCCATAGTTTGTCACGGGCTCTACTTTCAATATGTACATTTTGATGTTTTTTGGATGAGTACATTTTGAAATATTCGAGCAACACTTTGTGCATGTGGGTGTGTGTGCCATAAAACATAATATTTTGCATCAAAAAAACTTTCTCAGAACTTGTTGTTGCTGTTTTCTAACATGTAAGATCCTGGACATGTTTGAGGAGAGGCTAAAGTTATATTAAATAGTGTTAGTCACTTTTCTGCAGGTTCTACTGTTTTTCTCAACTCATTTTCTCACCTTTTTGTCTAAGACTGGTGCTTTTTGTCTCTCTCCCCTCTTTTCCACTGGAGATCACAGGAGTACGAAACAAGCTAAAAACAAACTTCTTTTTGCTTCTGAAAGTAGACAGTCCTGTATTTCAGAATCGGGTTTCATATTATTCATAGCACACAATATTCTGTGAGTCTTAAAAATCAGTGAAGTCATCAAAAATGGCTGGCAGTCAATGAGAACCTCTCTTTCCAGGGAGTCCTGTACAAAAATTACATACAATTGCAGATTATAAAACAGTTACATACAATTTTCATAAAATTACTGACTATAAAACAGTTACATTTCACTGAAGATGTCTCAAGTGCTCTCAATCTGGATCTGAAAACATTCACTGAAATACAGTCAGATCATTTCCCGTCTTTTTGCAACACGTTCCATGTAGAAGGAGCAGCAAATACAAAAGCTTCTTTAGGAATGAAACCTCTGCCTTGTATTTGATGAATACTTAGGCTTATTACACTACTGTGTGGTGTTGATCATTTGTGGTGGTACTTGGAGAGGCAAGTATTTCCTGAGGGGGTACTTGGCAGAGGTGTGGACTCGAGTCATGTGACTTGGACTCGAGTCAGACTCGAGTCATGATTTTGATGACTTTAGACTCGACTTGACCAAATGTAAAAAGACTTGCAACTCGACTTGGACTTTAACATCAATGACTCTGACTTTCACTTGGACTTGCGCCAATTGACTTGCAAAGACTTGCGTAACCCGGGCCATTTTTACCTTTCTCCGCATCTCTCTTTCTATCTATGCCGTCTCTGAAGAAACAAAGCCTCGCGGTAGTTGTAGCGCTCGCGCGAGAGTTCAAACCGTAGGACTTGGGACTGACTTGAGATTTGTTGGCCTTTGACTTGGACTCGACTCGGGACTTGCCTGTCTTGACTCGTGACTTGACTCGGGACTTGAGGGCAATGAATTGAGACTGACTTGTGACTTGCTAAACAATGACTTTGTCCCACCTCTGGTACTTGGTGTAAAAAGTTTGAGAACCACTGCTCTAGCGGGAGATAACAGTGCTCTCTGTCCTCTAGGGGGAGCTATCTCTGCACACTGAGCGCTTGGTGCAGTCAATTAAAGCTCTGTGCAGTTCTTTGGCTTCGATAGAGACGCCTGAAGTCACAGCTGCCCTGAACCTCCTGCCTGCCTGTCCGTGCCGTGTGACACCCAAGGCTGCTAAGGTGACTCAGCTCCGCCCCCTACAGCACAAAATGGGGAACTACATTTTTGTAACTTCTGTTTTCTGTTTTTCCAGGACGCATCTGCACTGGTCCTGAGAGAGAACAGAGGTGAGTGCTGGTCCTGCTTTAGACCTGCTGTAGAAGTGGTTTAGACCTGGTGCAGTTCTGGCTTGGACCTGGTTAAGTCCTGCTTTAGTCCTAGTATTGGTTTAGACCTGCTAAAGTCCTGTTTTAGGCCCGCTGTAGTTCTGCTGTAGTACCTGCTGTAGTCCTCGTGTAGTTCCTGTTGTTGTCCTGATGTAGTCCTATTGTAGTCCTCACAAAGAATGTACTCTTTTAGAGCTGGTGGTGGAGAAGCTCACGGCAGCCATCTTGGACCTGGTGCACTTGTACTGCAGCACGTTTAATGCTAACTTCCAGCCGTGTGCACACACGCTGAGTGCTAGTGCGCCTGTGCAGGAGGCGGGGCTTGTGTCCACGCTGCTTTCATTCAACGTGTACGCCGCCCACCGCGTGCCCATCACCTGGGCCGCCAGGTAAAACCACCACTTCTATGTTTTAAGAGCCCGTCCCGATTCTGAGGGCCCTCAAATTGTGAGGAGCCTCAGCAGAAGAGTGTCCTCCCATAGGGGAGTGCACTCGCAGAATACTCTCACTAAGAAATGGGACACCCTTGGATCTAGTGGACACCATGCAAATCGACGCAGCAAACGTGTTCCACGTCACACGCATTATCAATGTGTTTGATTTCACCACAGATAAGATATGACACAGATATGACTTTATCAAAGTATTTATTAAAGTGAGATGTTTTTAATTGTATTTCATATGAAGATTTGCTATAATTACCTACAGAACTGCTCCATATCTCACACACACACACACACACACACACACACACACACATAGAAATAGACACACACGTACGCACAGAGAGGCAGACACACGTACACACGTACAGCGACAGACACATGTACATACACGTACGCACACAGAAACAGACACACGCACGTACCACACAGAGAAAGACGGGTACAGCCGCGGCCCCGCGGATCACAAAGCAAACTGTATCAAAGCGATGCTCTGAGCTACATCATGGATCTATAATAAAAACATGGATCCACGTTTCTGAAGCCTCAGTGAACACCACACATGGCACCAACACATGCATTAACAACTCTGAATGACTCACACACGCAGAGCTTCCTCATGTTCACCACAAACTTGCGCCCGTGTTGTTTTCTCTCAGTGTGGCGCGGCTTTGCCCGACAGCTACTGCCAACTATCGTAATGCATCATGGGATCACCCTCGTGCACAAGAGAGCTCTGGAGCTCACAAGGGTGGTTTTTAAGTGTGTGAGGGCACTCGCCTCTTCTCCCTAAGTATTGGGACACCCTACAACCCCCGCGGGCATATGCCAAATTTAGGGCAAGGGTGAGAATTGGGACAGGGCTTAAAGCAGAGCTGATGGACAGAAGGGTTGAGGGTCTAAACACATGTTTTGTATGTTGCAGTTACGAGGGCTTCTTCCTCACTTGTTCTCTCACTCACGGAGGAACGGAGCTGTGCGCGCCTCAGCACACCTCCAAACAGCCGGTGTCCAAATACCTGTTCCACCTGGTGACGTGGGACCACCGGTAAGCCTTGACTTGAACCACACCCACTTAGCCGTGCTAATGTCTCTTCTTCGGGGCCTCGTCTCACTCTGGTCTCTCCGGGATATTTGTTTTCTCTCTGCTTTCTTTGATCTCTCTGCTTTCTATCTCTGGTATCTCTCTCTGGTCTCTCTTCCTGGTCTCTGGCTTCTAGTCTCTCTCTGGTCTCTCTCTCTGGTATGTCTCTCTCTCAGGTTTCTGGTCCATCTTTCTGGTCTCTGGTCTAACCCTGGTCTCCTCCTCTTCAGGGTGTGCTTCCCCGTGCAGATAAACCAGCTCCCTCGTGAGTCTGTTCTGACAGTGACCCTGTTTGCGAGTGTTCTGCCGCCTCCTGGAGGAGCAGAAGAGAAGAGCAGAGTGAAGAGACCGGTGGAGGCGCTGGGCTCTGTGTGTCTGCCGCTCTTCAGCTTCAGGCAGTAAGACCCCTGACCCTAACACCCTGAATGTCTATTGTGTGTACTTTGTACACTTGTATATTCATTGACGTTTATAAGAGGAATTTCCGAGGTGGTATATAGTAGACATTGTTTGTTCATGCATGCATTTATATAGTTTTCTCTTACAACTGATTTGCACCATGAGCCAAAGCAAATTCCTAGTTTGTGACTACATACAGTTTTAATAAAATAATTCTGATCTTGAAAAAAAATAGTGAGGAGGTTGTGGTTACAAGAAAGTTTCAAATAAGGCCGCACATCCCTGTAGTCTGGGCTAACGTGCTGGATAAAAAAATTGCAAAACGTAAAGACAGTGAATAAAATCCGCACAGCTGTGGTTACAGCCTCTTCACCAGTGTCTCTGACTCCGTGGTTATAGCCTCCTCACTCGTGTCTCTGTCTCTATGGTTACAGTGTCCTCACCTGTGGACGTAAACTTCTGGGCCTGTGGTCGAGTTCTGGTCCCGGCACTCGCTCCAGTGCCGCCAACTCCAACCACAACTTCAACCACCCAGACAGCGTCATACTACAGGTAGGGCGGCACGGTGGCTGAGTGGATAGTACTCCCGCTTCTCAGCAAAAAGGTCCTGGGTTCGAATCCCAGTTGTAACAGGGTCTTTCTGGGTGGAGTTTGCATGTTCTCCCCGTGCCTGCGTATGTTTCCTCCGGGTACTCCGGTTTCCACTAAAACCATGCACACTAAGTTAAATCCTCCAGCTCTGGTAGTGCTGACCAAGCTGAGCATCAACATCTGGAGATGGGTTCTCGGGCGCTGTACTACGGCGACCACTGCTCCTGACATAAGCCTTAGCGGCATCAGGATGGGTCAAATGCAGAGGATGAATTGCCCTACGGGGATCAATAAAGTGCACCTTTACCTTTACCTTTAAAACCACCCAGACAGTGTTATACCACAGGTACATCCACAGTGTCATACTACAGGTGCAACCACCCAGGCAGTGTCATACTACAGGTATATCCACAGACCACAGTGTCATACTACAGGTACTGTACCAGGGTGGACTGTCTGTTTAAGGTGGACAAGCTGTTTGAGGTGGTCTATTTGTCTCCTTAAGGTGGACTTCCCGACCTCCGCCTTCACCGTGCACTTCTCCACCCCTCCAGCCGCAGACTTCTGTCCTCAGTATGACTTCAGTCGATTGGACTCAGCTTCAGCAACACAATTGCAGGACGTACTACACAAGAAGGCGGCTTTTTGGTAACAACACAACTCCCTCTCTAAAAGTTGGGGGACGAAACTTTAGCCCCATAAAGCCACCCTGTGTCATTTTCCATGTGTTTCTTCTCTTCGCACCGCGTTTGTAAAACTATATATTATAATAGATCCATGGTTTGCTAAAATCTGGAACAGTCTTCCTGAAGATGTGAGACAGGCCTCCTCTCTGACAATGTTTAAAACCAGGTTAAAGACAGTTCTGTTTAACTGTGCATACAACTGAGGGATTTTATATTTTTATCTTTCTTTTTAATGTTCTGTGATAATTTATGATTTTAATGCTTTCTTGTTTTGTTCAGCACTTTGAATTGCCTTGTGTATGAATTGTGCTATATAAATAAACTTGCCTTGCCTTGCCTTGCCATGGTAAAACTCAGTGCAGCCTCTGTGCAGCGGGTACCGCTTCAGAACGCGGTCTTGTTTACATGTTGCCTCCACGCGACTGTCAAGTGCCCGAGACGTTTGGAGAGATCCAGTCATTTATCAAACTAAAGTATTCTTTCCTTGGCAGTCCGGTGTTGAGGAGCACTGTCAAAGACACATATTTAAGCTTCCGTAGTACCTTGGACTGCAACAATCTCAACGCTAGATGGCACTAAAAATTACACAGTGTACCTTTCAAGCTAGGGAATGTAACTTTAGTCTCTTTAATAACACATGTTTAATGCCAGTGTTGGGTAATTTACTTAGAAATTGTAATAATTACATTACTTAGTTACTGCTGCAGCGAAGTATCTAAGTTACATTACTTTTGGATTACTTTGTGTCACAAAAAATAGAACAAAATCATGTTTGTATGTTTGCTTTAGTAAAGTAATTTAAAGGTGCCATATTTTGCTTTTCTTCATCTTTCACAGCTCTAAAAAGCTATACTTTAGAGATTTAAAAAAATGTTTTTTATGCCTTATTCTTCTCTAACTTTTGACTTGATTGGACCCAGAGCCAAAGCAATTTCCTAGTCTGTGACTTCCTGTTACTTACATGGTAATAAAAATGATTCCAATTCTGATACAACACTCAGAACCTGTGAAATTATAGCCATTTTGTGCATAGAGGTGATGTCACCTCATGTGAAACACTTGGATCTGTGCTCTTGTGCCTGTGAGCCCGCCTCCCACTGCCTCCGCGGTGACGTAGCCTCTCGCTAAGTTTGAGGTAAACAAAAGCTAACTGTACAGCTTCATTTCACACCTGAGAATAAACTTTTTCCAACAATGGCAAGCCGTCACATAGAGCCCTATGTCCTTGATCCAGGATAAGACCCTAATTATTTAGTTTAGTGAAATACGGCAAGTTAGTTGCATTGTACTCACAGAGCAAGGCTCCTGTTAGCGTCTCTTTGGGAATAACATCAGGTTTCCAGATCAGCTTTTGAGTTTTTTTTTCAAAAGCTGATCTGATTTTTTCATATTTTTTCTCCAAGTTGACATGAAGCTAACACAAAAAGGCACGGGACCACACGCTGTACTCTGAGAGAGGCTGCATGCGCTGACCATTGACGGTGCTGATTCACTGGTTCAGTTTCTCACCGCTGTCTCTCTTGGAGACGGGTTTTCTCGAGAGGCAGTTTCCGTGCCTCTCGAAAATGAAAGGGAAAATTTGCTCTCTAACTAAGGCTTGAGGGAATCAATGAAAAAAAATCATTGCAAAAACTACTCAGGGCATGTTTATGAAGGCCAAATAGCACTGCAATCATGTCTATACCAGAGAAAAGTCAAGTCAAGTGTAATATGGCACCTTTAAATAAAGGTCAACTCCAAATAAGTTGTTCAAAACTGGCTCGAATGGCAGAACATTAACATGAAAGAAAATGACTAAAGTAGCCAGGACAATTCCTGCTGTAGCACTTCTCATACAAATGTTTTTTCTGTCACTTGTACTGTCCAATCCATCCGTACTTTGTGTTACTGATGGTAGCCTTTCTTACTTTGGTCCCGGCTCTCTGCAGGTCATTCACTAGGTCCCCCTGTGTGGTTCTGGGATTTTTGCTCAACGTACGTAACCATTTTGACCCCACGGGGTGAGATCTTGCGTGGAACCTCAGATTGAGGGAGATTATCAGTGGAAGGGCTCGCCATTAACGGTTGTCCGCTTGCCCGGGGCAACTAAAGATTTGAAACGGGCAAGTGCGCTGTTTTAGCGAGTTGCCCGGTCGGGCAAGTGATTATTACTTTAACCCATTCAGGCCGGGAACACATTCCCGCATTTCTTCCTCTGGAGCCTGGAGCAAACACGTCTGATTATCTTTTTTTGACCAATTCTCTTCAAAATTGTCCACGGATCCGCAGTTCACAACTGTTTTCCGCTGACAATGTCATTTCTCTGAAATATGTGACCACGGGAACTTTCTGTTGTTTGCTGCACGGACTTGAACAGGATTTACATCCTCCGCTCTGACCCTGGGAGCAGCTGCGGCCGCTTTGTAATGACAGCCGCTTTGGCAACAGCTCAGTGACGCACAGCCATAACGTGGTACCGAGCGCGGACCATAGACATGCAGACAGAACCATAGATGCATGGACCATGGACACGCGGACAGGATCATAGAAGCGCAGACCATAGACACGCGGGCCATAGACACGTGGACAGGACCATAGATACGTTTGAGAGCATTGTTAGCAACCTGTAGCTCAGCGCAGGTCGTCTCCAACTCTGAAAGGCGGACATCTACCTGGGAAAATGTCACGTCCGTCTCTTCCATGCGTTGTTGTGTTTGGCTGTGGCCTTTTTGGAGAGTCGTGTCCAGGCACTTTCGGACCCTAGCTTGTTAAGAGCAGCTAATATAGCATCGCTGCTAGTCGCCGCGACTTCTGGCTCTGGCTCATTGTCTTTCTTGGGAGGCATGATCCCCAAAGCGGCAAGATCTGTCTTACAACTGTTTCACCTTTAGTGTATATGGACAAACTGGAGAAACAAGCCCTGGCCTCTTACCAAGGGACAGTGCCAAGCCATTGGTTTTGATATATAGACAATACATGGGTTAAGTTAAAAAAAACAGGAAGTGGAACCATTTTCATCACACATTCACTCTATGAAGCCTTTCATAAAATTCACACTTGCTTGCTAATGAGAGTGAACTCGCCTTTCTAGATTGTAAGGTCATCACACTTGAACGGACCATTACAGACTGAGGTCTTCAGAAAGTCCACTCACACTGACCAGTACTTACCCACCAGAGGGGTGAAAGAAGCCATTTTTGTGATGAAACACAAACCATCCCTTATCAAAGGAGGCGGTTTTAGATTTTTCTTTGCATCCTAAAAACAAAGACCAAACAATAGATAAGGTCAGTGACATGCTATTGAGTTAGGATTGTTAGATCTGCACTCCACCCGAGCAATCTCAGCAGACAATAGGTCAGTGACCTATTGATGGTTAGCCCTAGCAGCCCTGCTAGTTAGACCTGCTCCCAACCACATCTTAGCAGACCTTAGATGAGTTAGCCTCAGGATCATGGGGTCATGGGGTGTAAAACCACACACACAGGTTATAAATCTCCAACTCACAGCTGAGCTCTCATTCCCATTAGAAAGTTCTTTGGATCAAGAGCAAAATGTCGGTATAACCTTCTAACTGAAGTACAGATGATGGGTGAGCAACCTTCCTTTGTTTAGTCTCATAAATAACACATAATTTATTTGACAAAAAGAGCTGCCGTGTGTGTTTTCTATAAGGCCATGAATGGTAATTTAATGTATTAAATAATATTGTGTGTGTTAGTTTTGTCAAAACCGTCTAAAAACAACACAACAACATATACAGTATACTGATGGTATTACAACCATATGGCTATAAGATCAACTCCAGTAAATTACAAAAAACAAATGCACGGCTGTTACGCACATCAGCTTTGACCCTGAAAGACCGTTTCACCACAGAGTCTCGTCTCTCTGGTCTCTCTCTGGTCTCTCTCTGGTCTCTCTCTAGTCTCTCTCTAGTCTTTCTATAGTCTCTCTATAGTCTCTCTATAGTCTCTCTCTGGTCTCTCTCTGGTCTTTCTATAGTCTCTCTATAGTCTCTCTCTGGTCTCTCTCTGGTCTCTCTCTAGTCTTTCTATAGTCTCTCTATAGTCTCTCTATAGTCTCTCTCTGGTCTCTCTCTGGTCTTTCTATAGTCTCTCTATAGTCTCTCTATAGTCTCTCTCTGGTCTCTCTCTGGTCTTTCTATAGTCTCTCTATAGTCTCTCTATAGTCTCTCTCTGGTCTCTCTCTGGTCTTTCTATAGTCTCTCTATAGTCTCTCTATAGTCTCTCTCTGGTCTCTCTCTGGTCTTTCTATAGTCTCTCTATAGCAGGCATGTCAAAGTCAAATACATCAGAGGGCCAAAAAAAATTTTTTGCTACGCGCCGAGGGCCGGACTGGTTCAATGTTTCTCAACATCCAGAGGCAGTATCGGTGACACCTTCTGGCTCGATAAAATATGCTCTAAAGCCAATCCTCATACTGTACACATTAGATGTAATAGACATCTGAGAACATGAAAATAGTAAAAAAAAAAACAGCTCAAACTCGGTGAAATGTAAAAGAGCTGTCTGGACCTCTTTTCGGGGCGTTTTTTGATTAAATCTGCAGAATGGATTATACTTTGGGAAATACAAGTGGATGTTCTTCTTCAATGAACAGTTACGGAGAGAAATAGACTAAGCAAGGATGGGTAAAGTCTAATTTGTTGGAGCAGCAGAAGACGAAAGGTAAAAAACGAATACAGACGTGATTTATTTTGTGCCCATATTTTGCGTTATATCTTTTTAATGCAAAGTCTGATATCGTTTACACTTACATATAAATATAGCTGAGAAAATAAGCTTTAAAATGATATATAGCTTGTGGCTTATGAAATTCAAAATACATCTGGTATTGCCAGCAGATGTATTTTTTTCCTCGTTTGCTCCCGCCGGCGGGGGCTAGCGAGCTTAAGGGGTCAATACATTGCCTCAATGGCGGGCAATGTCCCGGGGGCCATAGATAATTCATTCGCGGGCCGGATTTGGCCCGCGGGCCTTGACTTTGACACATGTGCTCTATAGTCTCTCTATAGTCTCTCTCTTGTCTCCCTCTGATCTCTCTGGGGTCTCTCCCTCTGGTCTCTCACAAAACAGTATTTTTACAACAGACTGTTGTGTGATGAGGTCTCTCTCTTGTTTCAGGCTGACCGTGGAGGACAAGCGTCTGTTGTGGGAGAAGCGTTCGTTCTGTCAGTCCCAGACTTCTGCGCTTCCTCTGGTGCTCAGTAGCGCCCCCTGCTGGCAGTGGACATGTTTACCGGAAATCTACGGTCTGCTGCGCCAGTGGGCGTGTCTAGGCCCGCTAGACGCACTGGGGCTGTTGCACGCACAGTAAGAACTCATAATCCTATGTTTCTGAATTTCTCCTACGGGGATCAATAAAGTATCTACTGTACCTACCTTCCTTCCTTCCTTCCTTCCTTCCTTCCTTCCTTCCTTCCTTCCTTGAAAACTTGAGCGCATTGATTCAGCTTGTGTATGAATTCCGGCCGTACAAATTGCTGAGTAGAAACTTAGCGTGATGCTGTCCACTCACGGAACGAGGAGGCGCCGCCTGTTACGAGCAGGCTGCGTCCTTTAGCCTCTACAGCGCTGCTAAAAACAGTAGCATAGTTAGCAGAATTGGCTATAACTGCTCTGGCTGTAACTGTATACACAGCAAAACAGCCCAAACGATACAACAGTGAGGAAGAGAAGAGGGAACTAAAGCGAAAAAATGATCAAAGAAGAAATCAAGCCCGGGTGAACATAGCTAGCTTACATCGTATCCTCTGGAGAGACTTGTCTATGGGAGAGACCTGCGGGACCGCCTCGGACTATCTATGCTCGGACCACATTCGGACGCAGAGCTAGCAGTAATCTTTCAGTTATATATTTTGTACCATTTCATCAGTGATAGTTGTACAGTTTAAATTGGGCTAATGCTAATGTTAGCATCAGATCGCAAATATGACTAGATGGCTCCGTGGATGAGAGTGTAGGGGTCGGTGCTAAACATTCAAACCTTGCAGAAACGGGTATAGCTCCTTTAATTCCATGTTTCTTTCCATAATACCATGCTTCACTCCTTAATCCCATGTTTATTTACATAATCCCACGTTTCACTCTTCCATAATCCCATGTTTCTTTCTGTAATCCCATATTTATTTCCATAATCCCATGTCTCACTCTTCCTTTATCCCATGTTTCTTTCCATAATCCCATGTTTCTCTCTGTAATCCTTAGGCCTGTCGCGATAGTCAATAAATCAATTAATCGCACGATAAATAAAATTTGCTCAATAACTTTTCTGGCCGCGATAAATCCCATTTGCATGCTTGTTTGTTTCCCCCGTCTCTCTCGGGTCAGAGAGCCGCAAAGTGGTCACGGGAACATTAGCGGTCTAGCAAGCAGACGGAAATTACTCAAAAATACAAAATACAGCCAAAACAGGACCTAAACCAGGACTTAACCAGGATTGACAATGGGGGACACAGTAGTTGTGAACATATGCCGGCAGCTGAGTTCTCATTCAGGCTTGATTAGTGACTATACTAGCGCAGCTAGCGTTAGCGTGTTCGCCGATGCAGAAGTACCGTACCAATAAAATAAACTTATGGCGCACCTCCGTGAACACATACTGCTGTTATATAAAGTCTCTAGAAGGTCTCTGAACACAGAGATGCTGCAGACTTGCATTCTTGGAGTAGAACTTTACACAAAAAACCCGCTAGCTAAGCTGTTAGCATCAAAGCCCGCCCCGCTACTTCCGGTGGGCGCTACCGCAGCAGGACTTCTGTACGCCCCATTGGTGAACCCACATGTCAGTCACTTGTCATTCGCCTGGTGTGTGGGGAGGTGGGACTACTCCTGAGAGATCCTGTCTTAAGCCACACAAAGTCAACATGTTGGTATTTCTTTCTCGTAATCTGCCATAAAGTCTGAGAAATTATTGACATTTGAGGCATCTGTTTCATATTTTCTTTACAAAGGTCCTGGCAGTTTTATTCCTGGTCATTTTTTGTTAAGAGACTGAGTCTATTTTATTTGTTTTTGGTTGTTTGTTAATTTATTGTGTTCTAGCGTTAAATATTTGTTAAAAATAAAAGTTTATTTCTCTTTGAAAAGGTGTACCTGCATTATCATTGTAATCGATGCAAATGATCTCAGAACGGCAATATAATCGCTTATCGCAATAATTTCTGAGACAATTAATCGTCCAGCAAAATTTGTTATCGCGACAGGCCTAGTAATCCTGTGCTTCTCTCTGTAATCCTGTGTTTCTCTTTGTAATCCTGTGTTTCTCTCTGTAATCAGAATCAGAATCAGAATCAGAATCATTTTTATTGCCAACGTAAGTAACGGGAGGTCACAGACTTGGAAATTGCTTTGGCTCAGTGCAACAGTCAAAAAGAGATAATAAAAATAAGAATAAAAAACACTTCTAAAGAATAAATTTAAATTTAAAATAGAGTTACAGTTACTATTTACAATATACAAGTGCACATGGTGCACACAATGCGTTCTCACTGTAATCCTGTGTGTAGGTTCCCAGATCAGGAGCTGAGGAGGACCGCGGTGCAATGGATGGACTCCATCTCAGACGCAGACCTTCTAGACTTCCTCCCTCAACTGGTGCAGGTCTGAGCCACCAGGGATGACACATGACATTCAGACCTGGTTCAGACATGGTTCAGACCAGGTCCAAACCAGGTCCAGTCCTGGTCCAAACCAGGTCCGGTCCTAGCCTAGTACCAATTACATTTCATACTAAGGTCTGGATTTGCTCCATTGAGCTCCGTGAACAGGTGGGAGGGGTTAACTCCTTTTGCAGATTGAAACGATTGGATCTGAGTTTACCGTGACGTATGTAATGCGACCGAGTCTGTTGTTAGCATTTAGCCTAGCCATCTCCTTTGCCGCTAACGGAGCCCGTGGGGAGTAGCGCCACAATTTTTTCCAGCGATTACAATTGCTAAAACTTACTCCTGCTCCGGCTTCAATTATTTGATAGAACCAGACCTGATTACTTTACTATCGCATTTTCGCCATTGCCAAACTACAACCTGCCCGTTCGACGCAAACTCTTGACATCACCCACAACTAACTACAGCACCCGCCTCCCACGCTCGCTGATTTGTCGGTCGAAATTCAACCGATTGTATTCGCTAACACAGGGACCAGACCCAGACGTTACATGCAGTGAAATGATGATTGAGCGGAGTGTACGGATGGTTAAGGCCAGGCTAGTCCATACCTATTCCAGACCTAGTTTAGACCTGGTTCACACTTGGTTTTCCTGTGACCCTCAGGCGCTGAAGTACGAGTGTTACCTGGACTCTGCTCTGGTCAGATTTCTGCTGCGGAGAGCGATTAGAGACGTGCGCATCTGCCACCACCTGTTCTGGTAACTACTACTACTACTACTTCTACTACTACTACTTCTTGTACTACTCTTGCTACTACTTGTGCTGCTACTACTATTACTACTGTTTACTACTTGTAAAGCGCTTTGTGACTCTGGTCTGTGAAAGGCGTTATATACATTTGTATTACTTACATACTTACTGCAAATAAAAATACTGCTGCTGTTATACTCTCAGGTTGCTCAAGGATAATCTGGATGGTCCCTTCTCTGTCCGGTACCAGAGTTTTCTGGCTGCTCTCCTCTGCTGCGGGGGCCATGGGGTCCGGGACCAGCTGCACCGGCAAGCCCACATGGTGTCTGTGCTGACCGGCACGGCACATCGGGTCAGAGAGGCCCCTGTGTCCAGCAGACAGGTGAGACCCAGACCAGACCTGAGACTAGACTGTCACGATTGTCTCAGAAATGTTGTCAAGTATATTGCGATAAATTTTAAAATAGCCATTATTAGGCTTTTTCCACTAAATAAAGGCCAGACGGCAAAATAATGGCAATAGACAATTTGAAAGAACAATAAACTTATACTTCTTAAAACATTTAACACTGTTCTGAAACTGGAAGACATTTAAACAAACTCAGATAACCAAAAATACTCAATAAATAAATAGTAACAATTGACTCTTTGATTTCCCTGATTAGGGATGAAAACCTGTGTAGCTTGTTTTTCTTTTGGACACAAGTTACCAATATGCATTATTAATGCAAGGGAAAATGTAGGCACTCCAGCTTTAATTTGTGAGTTTTTGTTTCAGTGCTTCAGCAGGAGACATAGGGGGAGACATCGACACGAGCAGCATTTCCATGTCTTTTGCTTGCAGCAAGCAGGGAATGCTCCTGTCTGCGTCTAATGGTGCTTTCAGACCGCCAACGCTGAAACGCAAATTCTCTAGTTTTCGGACGCAGGGGTCTTCAGACCAGAAGTCCTGAAGTGGCGGAAGTAGCCGGCGGGCTCTGATGCTAACAGAGTTTAGCTAGCGGCTTCTTGTGTAAAGATCTTCTCCAATAATGCAGCTTCGCAGCGTGTCTGTGTTCAGAGACCTTCCACGGACTTTATATAACTGTAGTATGCGTTCACGGAGGTGCGCAATAAGTTTGTTTTATTATTAAACGGTACTTCCGCATCGGCGAACACACTCGAAGCAGTTGCATAAAGTCACGGGAGCATGAAAACGCATATATTCACAAGCACTATGTCCCCATTGTCAGCCCTGGTTTAGTCCTGATGTAGCTCCTGTTTTGGCTGTTTACGAGTATTTTCAGTCTGCTCGCTCAGAACGCTAATGTGCTCGTGACCACTTAGTGGCTCTCTGATTGATCGCTGCACGAACGTCCCGAGGAAAGGCTCAGCAAAATGAATCTCCTGCATGCGTTGATTTTCCGCTCCTGCTCCTCCCCTTCGACTTTCCCGCGCAGTCCGTGCGTGCATTCCGAGACGCTCGTGTGTTTTGACGCTCGAACGTGCGTCACCATTGACTTTACATTGAAAGCTGTCCGCTGTCATTCACTACAAAGCGGCCGCAGTTGCTCCAGGGTCAGAAATCTGCAGCAACAGGGGATGCGGAATCTCACCTCCTCCTCAAGGTGTACACACATGCACGGGTCACAGGAGCCAGACACAGACCCCAACCAGGGCCAGACCCAGACCAAGGTCCGATCCCAACCCCGACCATGGTCAGATCCAGACCCAGACCAAGACCAGACCCCGACCAGACCTCAGACCAGAACTGTGACACTGACTTGAGACCAGATACCCTCGCCCTTAGACCTGAGACCAAACTCTGAGAAACATGGCTCCACGGCTCATTACGCTGTTGTTGCGCAGTATTGTGAATGGTGTGACGTCCATATTTAGCGCTTTCTCCCTCTGACCTCTGATTCATGTCCCTATGGTTTAGGTAGTCCTCCGGGACAGCCTGGAGGACCTGGACCACTTCTTCTCGGTGAACCTGAGCTGCCGTCTGCCGCTGAACCCAGCTCTCGTGGTGAAGGGAGTCAACATCAAGTTCTGCTCCTTCTACAACTCAAACGCTGTCCCCCTGAAGATCAGCTTCATCAACCAGGATCCTCTGGGGGACAACATCAACGTCATCTTCAAGGTCTGAGACCAGGGTCCCTGGTCCCTGGTCTGAGACCAGGGACCAGAAAGAGACCAGGGACCTTGAAGACAGGGACCAGAGACCAGGGACCAGAGACAAGGACCAGGGACCAGAGAGAGGGACCAGAGACCATAGAGGCCATAGAGAGACTAGAGAGAGACTAGATAGATAAATACTTTATTGATCCTGAAGGAAACTGTGCATTAGTCCCTTGCTCAAATTTGCACAAACACAGCAGGATTAGTTAAAAGGTGATCATTAAAAATGACAATAAATACATAAAAAGAGAGAAGTTAAGGCACTGCATAGCTTTTTTCAAGACATCTCCCTCTCTCCTCCCTCTCTGCTCCTCCCTGAAGTGGCTTATTTATAAAGCCTGATGGCATCAGGGACAAAATAATTTTTAAGTCTGTTCTTGGAGCACCTCAGAGAGAGGAGCCTGGAGCTCACGATGCTTCTCTGGCAGGAAAAAAATGAGCTAAGGGAATGGCTCTGATTGGACAAGATTGCGCTGATCTTGGAGAGCATTCTCTGCTCCACCACCTCCTCCACTGAATCCAGACCCAGTCCAACCACAGAACCCATTTCCTAATGAGCCGGTTCAGCCTCAGTGTCCCTCTTCTTAGCACTGCCCCCAACAGCAAAAATATACAGTAACTTATCACAGACACTGAATGATGCCAGTTGCCTCAAAAAGTACATCCTATTCTGCCCCTTTTTGTAGATAGCGTCCATGTTGGCGACCCAGCTCAGCTTATTGTCCAACTGTAGCCCCAGGTACTTATAGGTGGAGACCACTTCTGCCTCAGTACCCCTGATGTTAATGGGCTGCAGAGAGGGTGGTTCCTGGCGGAAATCCATAACCACCTTTGGTTTGACTGAGTTTAGCAGAAGTTATTCTGCTGACTTCACAGGCCTCTATACTCCTCCCCTGACATATGCCACAATTGCAGTGTCATCAGAGAACTTCTGCATGTGGCATGTATCAGAGTTGTAACAGAAGTCAGCAGTGTAGAGGGTGAAGAGGAGGGGTGAGAGCCCAGTGCCCTGAGGTGCTCTAGTGCTACAGGTCAATGTTGAGGGTTATGTTTAGGCCCCCGCCTCGAATGTACTGTGGCCTGTCGGTGAAATAGTCGGAGACTCAACGCACAAGAAGAGGGTCCACAGCCATGATGGTGAGCTTCTCCTGGAGAAGGCTGAGATGGATTGTATTAGAAGTCAAGGAATGGCATCCCCACAGTGCACCTTCCCAAATCCAGGTATGTGAGGGCACGATGTAGCAGGTAGAGGACTGCATCCTTAACCCCCACTATCTCCTGGTAGGCGAACTGAAGAAGATCCCTCATCATCTCCACTTGAGGCCACATAATCTGCAGGACCAATTGCTCCAATGTTTTCATTGTTAAAATAGTTACAAACAAGCAAAAAGCGCCATGGACTAAAGCAGACTCGGTCAGGGCACAGAAGAGAGAGTGCCGGAAGGCCGAGCGGAAGTGGCGAAAGTCAAATCTCAAAGTTGACCATGAGATCTTCAAAGATGCGTTGTGCAATTTTAACAGGGAACTACGTAGATTGAGGGAAATGTACTTTTCTGAAACTATTGAAGGCTGTAGCAACAATCTACGTGTTCTGTTTTCAACAGTAAATAGATTGACGAATCCCCCTGTTAAGATGCCATCAGAACTTACTTCCAAATCTAAATGTAATGAGTTTGCTCAGTTCTTTAATGACAAAGTCCAAGGTATCAAAAACGCCATCACCTCCACGATAGAAATAATAATCCAACCGCCAGTGAGGCTTTTTGGGCTGACGCACTTTACACCAGTACAAATTGAAACTGTCCAGGAGATAATCACTAGTCTGAGTTCCTCCACATGCAGCCTGGATGTATTACCTCCTAGATTTCTCAAGTCAGTTCTGAGCAGTCTTTTACCTTCACTTACACAAATAGTTAATATGTCTCTTGAATCTGGAACATTCCCAATGGCCTTGAAAACGGCGGTCATCAGGCCCCTCCTAAAAAAGAGGAGTCTGGAAGCCCTGGCACTCAAAAATTATCGGCCCATTTCAAATCTGCCTTTCATGGGAAAAATTCTAGAAAAAGTTGCCTATCAACAACTTACAGAATTTTTAATAATCAATAACGCTTATGATATGTTCCAGTCAGGGTTTAGACCCCACCACAGCACTGAGACCGCGCTAATAAAGGTAACAAATGACATCAAACTAAACACTGATGCAGGAAAAGTCTCAGTCCTTTTTCTGTTAGATTTAAGTGCTGCTTTTGACACTATTGATCATGGCATCCTCATTCAGAGACTTGAGGACTGGGTTGGTGTTGCTGGCACCGCCCTAAGCTGGTTTAGGTCCTATTTACAAGACAGAAAGTTTTTTGTGGAGATCGAAAACTGTACCTCAGACCACTTGGCCCTGACCTGCGGAGTGCCACAGGGGTCAATCCTGGGTCCTCTTCTGTTTAATATTTACATGTTGCCTCTAGGTCAGTTGATTCACAGTAATAATGTCTCTTATCACAATTACGCTGACGATACTCAGGTCTATGTGTCCCTGACAGCAGGAGAGCATGAACCAGTGGACTCGCTCCTTCACTGTGTCCAGCAAATCGGTGATTGGATGCAAAATAACTTTCTCCAACTAAACACCGAAAAAACTGAAATAATTGTTTTCGGACCCCAGAAACAAAGAGAGAGCGTTATTTGTCACCTCCAGGCTCTCTCTCTACAACCCTCAAATCAGGTCAGAAATCTAGGAGTGATAATGGACTCAGACTTAAATTTCAAAAGCCACATAAAATCTGTAACATCAGCAGCTTATTACCACCTAAAAAACATTGCTAAAATTAAAAACATAGTGTCTAAGGCAGACTTGGAGACTCTTATACACGTTTTTGTCTCCAGTCGGTTAGACTATTGCAATGGCTTGTTCACAGGTCTCTCCAAACAGGCTGTAAAACAGCTGCAGTACATTCAACATGCAGCAGCTCGAGTCCTGACCAGAACTAGGAAGTGCGACCACATTAGTCCAGTTCTCAGGTCTCTGCACTGGCTTCCTGTTCCTCAGAGAATAGACTTCAAAGCAGCTTTACTTGTGTACAAGTCTCTCCATGGTCTCGCGCCAAGGTACATCCACGACATGTTTGTGCCATATGAACCGACCCGGACTCTGAGGAGCACAGGGACTGGACTCCTGTTAGTGCCCAGAGTCGGTACTAGACATGGGGAAACTGCATTTCAGATTCATGCAGCTAGAGTCTGGAACCGTCTTCCTGAGAATGTGAGACAGGCGTCTACTCTGGCATCCTTTAAATCTAGGCTCAAAACAATTCTGTTTAGCTGCGCATATACAACTGAATGATTTTATCTTTTCATCCTTGTTTTTATCTTTAATCTTTTTAATGCACTGTGACTATTTATGATTTTAGTCCCATCTGTGATTTTAATGTTTAAAGGTTTTTAATTTTTGTGATTTTATTTTTAATGTTTTTAATATATCCTGTGCTCTTAATGTGTTTGATTTATGCATGATGTGATAGGGGATGTGAAGCGCTTTGCGTTGCCTTGTGTAGGAAAGGCGCTATACAAATAAACGTTGATTGATTGATTGATCACATGCGATGTGAGTGACTGGCCTATAGTCCTTCAGCTCCAGAGGGTGTCCCTTCTTGGGGATCTGAACAATGAAATATGTTTTCCATAGAGAAGGAACTCTCCCCAGCCGCAGACTTAGGTTGTTGTAGAGGGTCTCCCAGCTCCGCAGCGTACGTTCTCAGTAGCCTTGGACAGACCTGGTCAGGACCCGCAGCCTTCCTTGGGTGTATGAGTTGCAGCTGCCTTGTCCTCTGGTCCGCTGTGATGGTTAAAGAAGTTGTGGGTGTGACGGGCACCTGAGGGAGCTTGAGAGAGGCAAGAGGATTAGCAGCGTGATGATAGCGGTCAGACGAACCAGGGAAGGCCTGTGGGGGCAGGCAGGTGGTCTAAACGTGTTTAGCTCCGCCAGATGCTAACAGCTCCAAGTCCTGGCTGCATAGCACAGATTTCACTGTCAGATGGTTCGGATGGCACCACCGCTTGTTTGAACAGGATAAGGCCACCCCCCTTTGCTTTTCCCACTGGTCCTGGGATCCTGCCCGCATGGTGGAAAAGCCAAAAAGGTTTACATTGGCGTCTGGTACATAGCTAGTTAGCCACGTCTCAGTGAAAATGAGTGAAGATGAAGATTGAAAAACCAAACACAATATTCAAAACACTCAGCTGAGCAAGCAGACGTGCAGTCCCTCCACGCAGGTGCAGTAATAAGTCATTTTAGTGAGTGATCAGAGTGAGAGCAGAGAGAGACTCCTGTGACTCAGTACTATTTATATTAAGACCATTGAAAGAGTGATCAGTGTATGTTATTCCTTACAGTCTGGAGACGACCTTCGGCAGGACATGCTGACGCTGCAGATGATCCGTATCATGAACAACATCTGGATTCAGGAAGGACTGGACATGAGGATGGTCCTCTACAAGTGCTTCTCCACAGGCCGAGGACGAGGTGAGTCCAGGACCAGACCAGGACCGAGACCGAGGCCTGGTCACTAAAGATGAAGATAACATTTTGTGTTGCGTTTTTCAATTTTTTTACTCTTTGTGTTATCTATGAGGGCAGAAGCTACTGACCCTACAGCTGTGCTGCTTCTGAAGCTCAAACTTTTGCCACAGGCTATTTATTAGACGACAAAAACATGTGCATTATTCAGACGATTCCAAGATTCTATATGGTCCAAACCATTCTCCTGTTGACTCGCCAGTTAACATGTAACGTAAAAGTTTTTCCACTGGCATACATTAGCTGACAAACCAAAATTGTACTTGTCTAAGCACATTTACAAACATGGCAACCAGTGACCTCTGGCATAGTTACCTTATAAACCATTCATTCATTCATTAAACTTGTTAAGATAAACTTAAACCTCTACTATCAGAGAGTTACGTACCCCAGCTTTAAACATGGGGTTGTAGTACTTGCAGTATGCAGTAGTTTTAGTAGCAGTGCTGTAGTACTTTGATGTACTTTCAGGTATGGTGGAGCTGATCCCTCAGGCTGACACCCTCAGGAGGATCCAGGGGGAACACGGGGTCACAGGGTCGTTTAAGGACAGACCTCTGGCCGACTGGCTGCAGAAGTACAACCCCTCAGAAGAGCAGTACGACAAGGTACGAGTACTATATACTACTACGACAGCTACTAGTGCTACAGCTACTGAAATCATAATGAAATAATGTATATTCTTGTGTGTCTGTCCGTTTCTCTCTCTCTCACTCTCCGTCTCTCTCTGCCTGGTCTCTCTCCCTGGTCTCTTTCCATCTCTGGTTTCTCTCTCTCTCTGCCTCTCCCTCTTTCTCTCTTGTTTCTTTCTGTCTCTCCCTCTTCATCTCTATCCCTCCCTCCCTCCCCTTTTCTTTCTCCTCTGGAGGCGGTGGAGAACTTTATCTTCTCGTGTGCTGGCTGCTGTGTGGCCACATACGTCCTGGGCATCTGTGACAGACACAATGACAACATCATGATGAAGAGCAGCGGCCACATGTTCCACATAGACTTTGGGAAGTTCCTCGGACACGCACAAATGTTTGGGACCATCAAGAGGTGCAAACACACGCACATACACACAGAGACACACTCACACAATTGCTCTACATCTTGATTTGAGACAACCTTTGGCATTTAAATTTTATTTAACAGTTCTTTCTCTCTGTTGCCTCGGTTACTACAACCGTATACCACACATAAATACTGCATTGAATTTATGAAAGTCAGCAAAGAGAAGACTGTCAGCTGTGCATTAGATGCTACACACGTAGATTACTAACGCATTTCTTCCGTTCCTTTTAAGGCATTTCCTAAAAATTGACACTTGATAGAGAAATACATTTTAGCAAAATAGAGACTCCATAAGTTCTCCATTTACTTCCTGTTCCTCACGCCGCTGCATGACGTCAGCTGCATCCCAGCAATGCACATTGGTTGTGGTTATCGCCCAATTTTACTCATCGGTCCGATGCTGTTTATAACATTATGAACATCGGCCGATATCAATATCTATACCGATGTATCTCTAATATATCTCTAATCTGGATTTATAGACAATATCACAGTATAAACACCAGGATCACAGAGAGCGCTTTTAACCACAGATTTAATCCAAAATGGTGAGTTTGACACAAATGGTTACTTACTAGAGGAGTTTACTTTCACATGTAGATCATTAGGAGCCAGAGAGAGTTGGAGCCAAACGTCACCATTTGCACTTCACTATAGGGCTTCATTGAGTTAGCCGGTTAGCATCGCCCATCTGTATACAGTCTATGGTCCAGACCTAGTCCTGTCCTTATTCCAGACCTGGTTCTAACTGGTCCTTGTCTGTCCTCAGAGATCGCGCCCCCTTCGTCTTCACCTCGGACATGGCGTACGTCATAAATGGAGGAGACAAACCGTCGAGTCGCTTCCATGACTTTGTCGATCTGTGCTGTGAGGCCTACAATCTGATCAGGAAACATACACACCTGTTCTTACACCTGCTGGGACTGGTGAGACAAACACACACACACACACACACAACACTAACACTGTCATCAGTGTGAGGGAGGGGCAGCATCAGTGTGAGGGAGGGGGAGCATAATCCTGTTGGGCTGCTTTTCTTCAGCAGGTACAGGGAAGATAGTAAAATGAGTGGGAGGAGCCTCAGACAGTGGGAGGGGCCTCAGTAACTCCCTGTTGTCTCTCAGATGGTCTCCTGTGGAATCACGGAGCTCTCAGACCTTGACGACCTGAAATATGTGTATGACGCTCTGAGGCCGACCGAGTCTGACACTGACGCCACCATGTACTTCACCAGGTAAGTACTGCTACTGCTACTGCTACTACTACTGCTACAAATACTGCTGCTACTGCTGCTGCAACTGCTACATCTTCTGTTACTACTACTAATACTGCTTCTATTACTGCAACTGCTACTTTAACGAGTCCCTCTTCCAGACTGATCGAGTCGAGTCTTGGAAGCGTCGCCACCAAACTGAACTTCTTCATCCATAACTTGGCTCAGATGAAGTTCACCACCAATGAAGAGCGCCCCCTGCTGTCCTTCTGTCCCCGAGTGCACACAGCCAGAAGTGATGGTGTCATCAGGAGTCTGTACATCTGCAAACACCAGAGAGATAGCAAGGGATATGTGAGTCCAGAGACCAGAGATAGAGACCAGTGAAAGAGAGACCATAGAGTAAGAGACCGGAGTGAGAGACCAGAGAGTAAGAGACCGGAGTGAGAGACCAGAGAGTAAGAGACCGGAGTGAGAGACCAGAGAGTGAGAGACCGGAGTGAGAGACCAGAGAGTAAGAGACCGGAGTGAGAGACCAGAGAGTGAGAGACCGGAGTGAGAGACCGGAGAGTAAGAGACCGGAGTGAGAGACCAGTAGGGAAGAAAGTACAGTATTTTCTCATAATAAAGACTTTGTTCTTGAATGAATGAATTAATGAGTCTTCATTCGGACAATACAAAATAATATAAACAAATACAAAAAAATAAAAACCTATATGTGTACAATGTCTGTACAATTTGTTCCCTCAAGGAATAAGTAAAATATACAATCAGGTCCGATTGTATATGTCCGAGAATGTAGTTCTCATAATTTCCTGCGGATGACTGTTGTTCCCAGGTGTTTGTGGTGAAGGTGGAGCGGGAGCATGAGGCGACAGTTGTGCGCAGGACCTTTGAAGAATTCCACGAACTCCACAGTAAGCTGAGGCTCATCTTCCCCTCCAGCAAACTGCCCAGGTGAGACAAGCCGACAGTAGAGCTATTTAGTTGGACACGACCGAAGCCAACAGGAGAGAAGTGTGTGAGTCTCTGTGTGTTTCGATGTTTGCAGGTTCCCAAGCCGCTTTGTGATTGGTCGGTCCCGAGGAGAGGCGGCGGCGGATCGGAGGAAAGACGAACTGAACGGATATGTTTGGCATCTGCTGCACACAGAGCCCGAAGTTGCACAGGTCAGACCCCAGACCAGAGAGAAAGGGACCAGAGAGAGACAAGAGTGTAAGATATGTTCTTCTTATGTCCAGTGTGACCTGGTGTACTCGTTTTTCCACCCTCTGCCCCGAGACGAGAGTCCAGCAGAGCGAGCAGCAGCCAAACCCGCAGGTTTGTGTGTGTGTGTGTCTTTCTCTCTGTGTCTGCCTGTCTGTCCGTCTGTCTGTTTATAAAATATATCCTTCTGTTTGTAAGAGCGCTGGAGTCCGCTGTCGGGGGCGGAGCTTGGACAGGTCAAACTTTCAATCTCCTACAAGAACCACAAGCTCTTCATCATGGTCATGCACATACGAGGCCTGGTGAGTCAAAACCACAGACAGTAGATATTAACAGACGTAGTGACGCCTATTTCCTCCGTTTAAATGTATGTGTGATTAACATAGCGAGTAGCCCCTCCCGCAGGAAAATGGTGAAAAAATGATTTTGCGCATACGTTAGCTGGCACGAGTCACTTTCGGAGCGGAGGCTGCGCATTGGGTCCCGCCAGTTGATTTTTTTTTTTTAAAGTACATTATTTCAAGTATAAAGTAAAATTTTCACCAAAAGTGATTTGTAAACAGGCAGGCGCAAGGGCGGCTATGTACGCAGCGAGGTTCTTTGAAGCAAACTTTACGGAGCTGTCAAAACAACTTGTGGTGTCTAGACGAGACGTGTGTATCAGAGACAAGGAAAGAGACGGGAATGAGCATGTACGGAGCTATAGATGCACCCGTTCAGCTGCTCACACAGAGCGAGACGAGAGCGCAATGACGTCTGTATGTGAGCCAGTGGAGGAGCAGACAGGTGTGTGCGCTGCCACAGTGCCACTTTTAGTGCCAATTTTTAGTCCGAATGTAAACACCACAAATATATGATAAATGCATGAGCAAACAGTGTATGCAGAGCTGGAATTAGTAAATGGACTGCACTAGGCAGGCTGTATTTTTTGGCCCCCCCTCCATCTTCATTCATTTCGATTTATGAATTGAAATCTGAAACTTACCAAAGTTACTAATAAAAGTTAATTCACATTTTACATAGCCTATTTGGCAACAAGTTGGTTGTTGGTATGCCAAAATAAGTCATGTGTCGTGTATCATAAACTATGTAAACAGAGCAAATAAGTTTGATATTTTGTATATATACAGTACAGACCAAAAGTTTGGACACACTTACTCATTCCACGACTATTGACTCTAGATTCACACCCATGCTGTGTAAAGGCTATTTGACCAATAAGGAGAGTGGTGGGGTGCTGGGCCAGATGACCTGGCCTCCGCAGTCACCGGACCTGAACCCAATCCAGATGGTTTTGGGGTGAGCTGGACCACAGAGTGAAGGCGAACGGGCCAACAAGAGCTAAGCACCTCTGGGAACTCTTTCAAGACTGTTGAAGACCATTTCAGCTCACTATCTTTTGAACCTTATCAAGAGAATGCCAAGAGTGTGTGAAGCAGTAATCAGAGCAAAAGGTGCTACTTTGAAGAACCTAGAATGTAAGACATATTTTAAGTTGTATCTATATATACATTAGAAAAGATATCAAAGTGTTACATGAACGGCACCCCAGACTTCCTCGGAAAATAGAGTATTACAGCCTAAAGGTGCACAAGAATATTAACCAGAGTTGTGGACTCGAGTCATAAATTTGATGACTTTAGACTCGACTTGACAAAATCTTAAAAGACTTGCAACTCAATTTGAACTTCAACATCAGTGACTCGTGATTGACCCGTTTGACTTGAAAAGACTTGCTACTTTCCTCGAACCCAAAGATGAAAAAGTATATTCACGCGACCAGGACTGTCGCAAACAGGCAGGCGCGAGGGCGGCTATGTGCGCAGCGGGGTCCTTCAGAGGGAACGAGCTGTCAGTTAACTTTAGCAGTGTCTAAATCTGAGTGAGCTAGAGACGAAGAAAGTATCGGGAATGAGTCCAGTGCACGGAGAGATGGACATTCGCGTATTCTGTGTGAGGAGAAGGAGGAGGAGGAGGAGACAGAGGTGTGTGAGCAGAGGAGGAGGAGGAGGAGCGAGACAGGTGTGTGAGTGCTGCTATTGCCAATGTATAGTCTGAATGTACACATCAAAAACATATTATAAAAGCATTAGCAAACAGCGTATGCCCAGCTTTAGTACCCGCTGCAAGTGCAGTGGATTTTGGGCGTAAAACGCCTAGTTGTGGTCAGAGTGTGTGGGGGCAATGGCAAAAACGTTATTTGATGGGGAAAAAATACAACAAATATTGACTCCGCCTCATAGTCATTTTGGCGCATTTTGCCGTAAAGCCTGGTTCACACGGCAGGATATTTAGGCCGATTTAGACCCGATTTACCCCTTACGACAATCTTAAGAAACGCTCCGATTTCCGTAACAAAATCTTACAGATTATCCTGCCGTGCGTGGTGTGTTAAAGGAATAGTTCACCGTTTTTACATACTGACATATGTTCTTACCTTACCTTAGACTAGTTAATACGTAGCTGTCTGGTCTTAGTCCGTGCGCTCTGTCATGCAAACGGAGCAAAAACGGGAGCACAAACGCAGCCTCCTCTGTATACTGTATAGTACCCAAAAGGTAGCTCCCGCTAGAAGCTACCAAACTCTTCCAAGTGTTCCCTATTAAATGTATATAGTTACGTGACGTGTTACACTGCAAAGTATAGTAACACAGAAATGTAACTGTCGATTTTCTCAGCGGATAAAACGGGTACTATATTGTGAGGCGTAGTAATCTGAGGAGCGCTACGTCCGCGCACTAACTTCTCTCCGTACTACAAGTCACGCTGCTTCTATTGACGGAAGTGAGCGAGAGAGAAGTCTCCGGTATATAGAGTATACAGAGGAGGCTGCGTTTGTGCTCCCGTTTTTGCTCCGTTTGCATGACAGAGCGCACGGACTAAGACCAGACAGGTACATATTAACTAGTCTAAGGTAAGGTAAGAACATATGTCAGTATGTAAAAACGGTGAACTATTCCTTTAAGACTGCACTCGTCGCTCGGAAGGACATCGGGACTGCTCCCGATCTCAAATCGGGGATATCCAACATGTTGGATTGTTTTGGCCCGATTTCTCGTCGTGTGTGGTGTCCTCCGAGGACAAGCGAGCGCGTTGCCATGACTATGGCGTGTAGCCAATAAGAAGACGAGGTGACAAGCCGGTGAGGAAACACCGGAAAAAAAACAAAACACAGCAGCATGGCTTTGACCATTGCCTTTTCTTTGGATTACGTCTCTTCTCTGTTAATGTCACAGTTTAATAGCAACTGTATAAAATCAAGCCCGGGCCATACAACACAACTCACAAAATAGGAAAAAATGAACAGTTTTATTTTGTACAAGTTGAAAGAAAAAGATAAAAGTCAGTTATAAAATGTATCTAAAAAAAGGAAAGGTCCGATGCCGATAGCCATGCTAATAGTCCCGTCACCTCCACCAGTCCAGGGAGCTGCGGGGAGAGGGCTAAAATTGGTGTATGCACAATAAGTTAAAATCAGCAAGTTCTGCGATGCAGAAGCCCGCGTGCAGACGTCCCTTCACTTAGCTGTTTTTCAGGCGTATCAGCCGGCTCCACTGCACGGCTCTACTGCACGGCTCCACTGCACGGCTCCACTGCACGGCTCCACTGCACAGCTTCACTGCACGGCTCCACTGCACGGCTCCACTGCACGGCCCCTCTGCACGGCTCCACTGCACAGCTCCACTGCACGGCTCCACTGCACGGCTCCTCTGCACAGCGCTTGGTCAACCTTTTGTTCCCCGCTGGTGCTGGGGGGTCTGGTGTCAGTCTAATCCAGTGTCCACGGTCCACACGCGCACCGGTGACACTGTCTCTGCTTCCTGGCCCTGCCTCTTAACAAACATTCCGTCACACCACACCACTGGAGAAAGTTTCTGATTGGTTAAAAATGCGGAGCAGTCCATTTGTGCAGGGGTGCACTCAAAATGTTCATAAAAACAAAACATGCACTAAACACATGCAACATGCAAAAGAAAATGTAAACAAAACATGCAATGATCTAAAACTGCATCTACCCTGCACTCACATCCTGACATTCCTCCCCAGTTTTTAGGTAGTCGTCCCCGACTATCTTATCTATTCCCTGTACCTATCAAGTGGGTTACCCAAGTTGCTACGCTGTGAACGTCTCAGCACTGCTACTTCTTGGGGGGGCCCTGGTACTGGTGGGTCTGGCGCCTGTTCATTCTCAGCTACAGCTTGTTCTTGAGCCGGCTGTGGTTCTGTAAGAGGCAACATCACAGGTAAAAATAGTGGCGGGGCATTTGGTCGTTGCAGGGTCGTTGTGCGAGTGGGCTCAGTCGGCGGGTCTTCACAGATCCCTATGGGACAGGGCCTCAGGTTGTTGCGGTGCATTGTCTTTATTGGCCCGGTTTGTCCTTCAGGTCGAATCTCATACACAGGAGAGTCCGGGTCAACCTGGCCGACTATTACGAATGGTGACCGTTGCCAGCGAGGAGCCAATTTATTTTGATCATGTCTGCGAAAGTTTTTAAGCAGCACTCTATCTCCTGGAAGTAGGGGTAAATTATGTGCCGTTTTGTCATACCTCTGCTTGTCCTTTTGTTGTTGTGCCTTACTTCGGGTCAATACGTGTTTGTAGGCTTTGGTCAATGTGTGATGATGGTGGGCCACCCAGCCATGCATGTCGTAACTCTGCAAGTCAGATGGGGCTCCTGTTGCAATTTCCACTGGCAGCCGAGCATGACGTCCTGTCAAAACTAAATGGGAGGACACCTTGATGTATTTCAAGTTTGTCCCAATGTCTCAGGAGGCTTCGGGCCATTAGTGGTGCTTCGACCCTCGCCTCCTTTGTTGGTCTGCTGCCTTGCCGAATCCACTGGCAGAATGTTCTCAGGCCTTCGTCCTTTTGTTGGTCCTCACACCAGTTTCTGGAATCGTCCGCATCTGTGGCCATAACATCAATGTGGTCATTAGCTTGGGATCCAGTGTTATGTGGGAGCCTAGACAAAATGTCTGCATTCTTATTTTCCACACCGGGTCTGTATTTGATGGTGAACTGGTAATTTGACAATTTGGCTACCCATCTTTGCTCTACGGCTCCCAAGTGGGCTGTGTCCAAATGCACTAGAGGGTTATTGTCTGTGTAGGCTACAAAGTTGGCTCCCAACAAATAATCTTTGAATTTATCAGTCACAGCCCACTTTAATGCCAAAAGCTCCAGCTTAAAGGAACTGTAATTTTGGTCATTCTTTTCTGCTGGGTGTAAGCTCCGACTTGCATACGCGATAACTCTCTCGCGGCCATCTTGCACCTGGGCCAGAACTGCGCCCAACCCCTCCAAGCTTGCATCTGTGTAGAGATGGAAGGGTATAGAAAAGTCAGCATAAGCAAGCACTGGGGCACTTAAAAGAGAAGCTTTAAGTTTTTCAAAAGCTCTTTGGCTCTCTGGGGACCATGTGACTTTTTGGTTTTTATTTAGGGCAGCACTACCTTTTAATAGGGAGTGTAATGGTGCTGCAATTTTGGCAAAAGTGGGGATAAAACGTCTGTAGTAGCCAACAAAACCCAAGAAAGATCTAACCTCTTTTACAGTTTCTGGGGGCTTCCACTGCTGGACCACCTTCGTCTTGTCTGGATCGGTTGCTACCCCATCTTTGCTCACTAAATGGCCCAAATATTTCACTTCTTGTTGAAAGAAATGACATTTTTGTGGTTGAAGTTTAAGTCCATGCTTTAACAGACGCTGAAACACCTGTTCTAGGTGAGAGAGATGAGAATCAAAGTCAGGGGAAAATATTATTACATCATCGAGATAGATTAGGAGATAGTCATTTACAAGGCCTCCTAAACATCTGGTCATCAGCCTCTGAAATGTGGCTGGGGCATTACAGAGGCCGAACGGCATCCTGTCGAATTCGTATAGGCCTAGTGGAGTGGTAAAGGCAGTCTTCTCCCGGTCGTTTGGGTCCATCTCCACTTGCCAATAACCACTAGCCAAATCAAGGGTGGAGTACCAACCCGCTTGTTTAAGGCATGTGAGCGACTCCTCAATTCTAGGCAAGGGAAAAGCATCTTTGTGTGTTACAGCGTTCAATTTTCTGTAGTCTACACAGAAGCGCCATGACCCATCTTTCTTTTTCACCAGAACTATGGGTGCAGCCCAGGGGCTAGCACTTTCTCTCACAACCCCTCGATCTAACATATTTTGCAATAAACTGCGTAGTTCTGGGTATAGTGATGGGGGGACAGGGCGGTACCTTTCTCTGCTTGGTGGAGCAGTCCCCGTTGGGATCTGATGCAACACTGCACTTGTGCGGCCGAAATCATCCTCACTTGTTGCAAACACTGAGCTCCACCGCTGCAGCAGCTCCTCCACTTTGTGCAGTTGGGCTGGGTTGAGGTGCTCGACAGAGTTTAGTTGAAACGGACTGGCTGTGGCGGGTGGAGGGGTGAGAGTCGACCGGACATCCACTTCAATGGTGTTAGAGTCTGTGGGGGTCAGCACCAGATCTTGTTTGCTGCAGATCTGTTCAGAAGACAAAAGGAAGACAGAGGCAAGTACCTGTCTTGGGGGTACACTTACAGGGTAAGGATTTACATTTTGTATTCTCACAGGGACCTTACCCCTTTTAAAACTGCAGAGCGTTCTCGCCACCTGCCACTCTCCCCCCTCTGTTTCACCTTCCACGAGAACATCTCCGTGGGGAAGCTGCGTAGCTCCTAGGACGCTGGCCCACACCACCATTTCGCTTTGGGGCGGGACTTCAACTGTGGTGTTTTTAGGCAGGCGGACCACTCCAATCTTCCCATCCGTTGCCTCATATTTGGCAACACTATTGCACACGACAAATGCTCGCTCCCAGTGGTTGTAGTCCGAAGAAGACACAGTCACTTTGAAGGCATTAATTCCTGGATGTGTTCCTTGAAAAATGGTCTCCCAACAACTAAAAATTACATTCATCCCAAGAATAGCTTGTCTGCCCCCAAACAAGAGTCTTTCACTATGATTGCACCTTTGTCTAATACTTGAACACCAGCAACTTCAAAGTCCAGTTCAACATAACCCACATATGGTATTTGTAGTCCATTTGCTGCCTTGAGTGTCAGCCATTTTAGCGCTTGTGTATTTCTTAGGGGAACATTTTTGAACCACTTATGAAAAAATGTCTCTGAAAAAAAGTCACTTGAGAGCCAGTGTCCAAAATGCAGGGAATTTTTACTCCTGAAGCCACTACTTCCACTCCTGGGCATGAGCCAACTATTTTGTCTTTGAGAGTCTCTGGTGCCTTTTCCCCAGCTACCTGCCCTACGGTCGCTGGGGGTTCTAGTTTAAAGTATTTGGGGGCTGGCTTATGGTTGGACAAAATCTCTGAATGTGACCAGCTTGTTTACACAGTGTACAAATTGGTCTGCCTTGATCGTCCCACTGAAAGTGCGTGTTATGAGCCGGGGGCCGTCTCCTAAATGCACCACGTGGTCGTGAATAAGTTGATGTGGGCAGTAACTGCTGTCTAAACTCGTCTATCAGGGTACGACTTAAGGTTGTAAGTTGCTCCTGCATTTCTTGGCGTATATCAGCCTTAAATTGTTCTTTCCAATCATAAGTGTCAGATTTGAGGGTGGGTGTTGGTGCATTTACCCTTGAAGTCCAAGCTTGCTCAGTAAAGGTGTGGTCGCCTTCAAGGGCCCGGGCTTCTTCACAGATATTATGGAAGCTCAGGTCTGGCTCCCTTCGCACCAGTCGTTGGAGCTCCTGCTGAATAGGTCCAGTCTTCAAGCCCATAATCAATTGGTCACGCGCTACGGTTTCATTTTGTGCGCTGCCATTTGGTTCCTTGTCCTTCCACCTATTAAAGAGCTCACGAAGACGTAAAATGAAACATCCTACACTTTCCTCTTGCTGTTGTTGGCACTTGAAAAATTGGGCTCTCAGCTGTGCTAACGAGACCTGTTTCCCATACAGTTTTTTTAAATGCTCTAAAATGTGCGTGGCGTTGGTCCGAAAGTTGGGTTCTAGTAATAAAACTTCTCTGCGTGGACTGCCCTCTAATGCACCAATGACAAAATCTGCTTTTTGCTGTTCACTGAGGCCTTGCGCTCTAAGCATAGCTTCAATTTGCCACAACCATTCACCAAACGTTACTTGATCGCCTACACCTGAAAACTTGGGCACCCACGGCACTCCCATGAACCACGGCATAACCATTGTATTAACAGCTTGATTGTCCCCTGCATTTATGTTATTTTCCTGCATGTTTATGTTGTATGGAAAGGGCCAGCTGCTCAGCAACGCCAATTAAATGTCACAGTTTAATAGCAACTGTATAAAATCAAGCCCGGGCCATACAACACAACTCACAAAATAGGAAAAAATGAATAGTTTTATTTTGTACAAGTTGAAAGAAAAAGATAAAAGTCAGTTATAAAATGTATCTAAAACAAAAGGAAAGGTCCGATGCCGATAGCCATGCTAAAAGTCCCGTCACCTCCACCAGTCCAGGGAGCTGCGGGGAGAGGGCTAAAATTGGTGTATGCACAAATAGTTAAAATCAGCAAGTTCTGCGATGCAGAAGCCCACGTGCAGACGTCCCTTCACTTAGCTGTTTTCCAGGCGTATCAGCCGGCTCCACTACACGGCTCCACTGCACGGCTCCACTGCACGGCCCCTCTGCACGGCCCCTCTGCACGGCCCCTCTGCACGGCTCCACTGCACGGCTCCACTGCACGGCTCCACTGCACAACGCTCTGTCAACCTTTTGTTCCCTGCTGGTGCTGGGGGGTCTGGTGTCAGTCTAATCCAGTGTCCACGGTCCACACGCGCACCGGTGACACTGACTCTGCTTCCTGGCCCTGCCTCTTAACAATCATTCCGTCACACCACACCACTGGGGAAAGTTTCTGATTGGTTAAAAATGCGGAGCAGTCCATTTGTGCAGGGGTGCACTCAAAATGTTGATAAAAGCAAAACATGCACTAAACACATGCAACATGCAAAAGAAAATGTAAACAAAACATGCAATGATCTAAAACTGCATCTACCCTGCACTCACATCCTGACATTCAGGTGGGTTACACAAGTTACTACGCTGTCGAACGTCTCAGCAATGCTACTTCTTGGGGGGGCCCTGGTACTGGGTGGGTCGTGGCGCTGTTCATTCTCAGCTACAGCGTGTTCTTGAGGCCGGTTGTGGTCTGTAAGAGGCAACTTCCAGGTAAAAATAGTTGGCGGGCATTTGGTCCGTTGGAGGGTCGTTGTGCGAGTGGGCTCAGTAGGGGGTCTTCACAAGCCCTTGGGACAGGGCTCAGGTTGTTGCGGTGCATTGTCTATATTGACCGGTTTGTCCTTCAGGTCGAATCTATACCAGGAGAGTTCCGGTCAACCTGGCCGACTATTACGAATGGTTTGACGTTGCCAGCGAGGAGCCAATTTATTTTGATCATGTCTGCGAAAAGTTTTTAAGCAGCACTCTATCTCCTGGAAGTAGGGGTAAATTATGTGCCTTTTTGCATACCTCTGCTTGTCCTTTTTGTTGTTGTGCATTACTTCGGGTCTTTACGTGTTTGTAGGCTTTGGTCAATGTGTGATGATGGTGGGGCACCCGTCATGCATGTGGTAACTCTGCAAGTCAGATGGGCTCCTGTTGCATTTCCATGGCAGCCCGGGCATGAGTCCTGTCAAAACAAATGGGGGTGAGGCCAGTGACGCCTATTGAAGTGGGTTGTATGCAAAAAGCAGGCCGGCATTGAGTTATCGTGCCAATCTAGCCTTTTTTCATGCTCAACGAACAAAGCAAGGATAAGAGAGTCAGGTTAAAGCGTTCAATGCCCCATTACCTTGAGGGTGATAAGGAGTGGTGCGCATTTTTTGCATCCATCCACCTGACAAAGTATGTGAAGCAACATGAGATTCAAAACGCTGTTCCTCTGTCAGATAGTATCTTTCTGGACAACCCCCATATTGAATATTACGGATGTGCCAGAGGCTTGAGCTGTACGTGTTGGCAGTTTGGTCCATTGGTTGGCACCTGCCCACCAAATCTTGAGAATAGGTCAGTCATCACTAAAACTTAGGGTAGGGCTTGAGGAATTCCCCATAAGGACAAAAAGTCTATGGCGACAATTTCAAGGGGGTAGGGGACTGTATATTTGCCTGGAGAGGGGGCTCTTCCCTCCGACCTGGCTTTAGGTCTCACAACAGGGTGGCGCCTGTGTTGTCCACTTGCGTATGTCCTACCCCATGTGTGGCAGAAAAAGGATCGCCTCAGTGTCAGACTCATCCGGTATGCTCCCATGTGTCCACTGGTATGAGTGATATGTATCCAATAATGGAATGTTGCATGACGAAGGGATCACAGTCTGATAAAGAATGTATACCGTCTGGGGGTCTTTCCCCCTTCCAAGGCGCGTCGCAGGACACCTGATGTATTTCAGTTTGTCCCAATGTCTCAGGAGGCTTCGGGCCATTGGTGGTGCTTCGACCCTCGCCTCCTTTGTTGGTCTGCTGGCCTTGCGACTCCACTGGCAGGAATTGTTCTCAGGCTTCTTTCCTTTTGTTGGTCCCACACCAGTTTTGGAATCGTCGCATCTGTGGCCATAACATCAATGTGGTCATTAGTAGGGATCCATTGTTCTGTGGGAGACTAGACAAAATGTCTGCATTCTTGTTTTCCACACCGGGTTGTATTTGATGGTGAAATGGTAATTTGCAATTGGCTACCCATCTTTGCTCTAGGCTCCCAAGTGGGCTGTGTCAATATGCACTAGGAGGGTTATTGTCTTGTAGGCTCAAAGTTGGCTCCCAACAAATAATTTTGAAATTTATCCGTCACGCCCACTTATTGCCATAACGCAGACTTAAAGGAACTGTATTTTGGTCATTCTTTTCTGCAGGGTGTAAGCTCCTACTTGGCTACGCGATAACTCTTAGCGGCCATCTTGCACCTGGGCCAGAACTGCGCCAACCCCTCCAAGTTGCATCTGTGTAGAGATGGAAGGGCATAGAAAAGTCAGTAAGCAGCACTTTGAGGCAATTTTAAAGAGAAGCTTTAAGTTTTTCAAAAGCTCTTTGGCTTCTGGGGACCATGTGACTTTTTGGTTCTTTATTTAGGGCAGCACTACCTTTTAATAGGGAGTGTAATGGTGCTGCATTTTGGCAAAAGTGGGGGATAATACGGTCTGTAGTAGCAACAAAACCCCAAGAAAGATCTAACCTCTTTTACAGTTCTGGGGGCTTCCACTGCTGGACCACCCTTCGTCTTGTCGGGATCGGTTGCTACCCCATCTTTGCTCAAATAAATGGCCAAATATTTCACTTCTTGTTGAAAAGGAAATGGACATTTTTGTGGTTGCAAGTTTAAGTCCATGCTTTGACAGCGCTGAAACACCTGTTCTAGGTGAGAGGATGAGAGTCAAAGACAGGGGGAAAATATTTTTACATCATCGAGATAGATTAGGAGATAGTCAATTACAAGGCCTCCTAAACATTGGTCATCAGCCTCTGAAATGTGGTGGGGCATTACAGATGGCCGAAACGGGGGAGGGGCCCTGTCGAATTCGTATATGCTAGTGGGAGTGGTAAAGGCAGTCTTCTCCCGGTCGTATGGGTCCATCTCCACTTGCCAATATCCACTAGCCAAATCAAGGGTGGAGTTACCAACCACGCTTGTTTAAGGCATGTGAGCGGATCCTCAATCTAGGCAAGGGAAACGCATCTTTTGTTGTGTTTCAGCGTTCAATATTCCCCCCCCTCTGTAGTCTACACAGAATCTTTCTTTTTTCACCAGCTTATGGGTGCAAACTGCGTAGTTCTGGGTATAGTGATGGGGGGACAGGGCGGTACCTTTCTCTGCTTGGTGGAGCAGTCCCCGTTGGGATCTGATGCAACACTGCACTTGTGCGGCCGAAATCATCCTCACTTGTTGCAAACACTGAGCTCCACCGCTGCAGCAGCTCCTCCACTTTGTGCAGTTGGGCTGGGTTGAGGTGCTCGACAGAGTTTAGTTGAAACGGACTGGCTGTGGCGGGTGGAGGGGTGAGAGTCGACCGGACATCCACTTCAATGGTGTTAGAGTCTGTGGGGGTCAGCACCAGATCTTGTTTGCTGCAGATCTGTTCAGAAGACAAAAGGAAGACAGAGGCAAGTACCTGTCTTGGGGGTACACTTACAGGGTAAGGATTTACATTTTGTATTCTCACAGGGACCTTACCCCCTTTAAAACTGCAGAGCGTTCTCGCCACCTGCCACTCTCCCCCCTCTGTTTCACCTTCCACGAGAACATCTCCGTGGGGAAGCTGCGTAGCTCCTAGGACGCTGGCCCACACCACCATTTCGCTTTGGGGCGGGACTTCAACTGTGGTGTTTTTAGGCAGGCGGACCACTCCAATCTTCCCATCCGTTGCCTCATATTTGGCAACACTATTGCACACGACAAATGCTCGCTCCCAGTGGTTGTAGTCCGAAGAAGACACAGTCACTTTGAAGGCATTAATTCCTGGATGTGTTCCTTGAAAAATGGTCTCCCAACAACTAAAAATTACATTCATCCCAAGAATAGCTTTGTCTGCCCCCAAACAAGAGTCTTTCACTATGATTGCACCTTTGTCTAATACTTGAACACCAGCAACTTCAAAGTCCAGTTCAACATAACCCACATATGGTATTTGTAGTCCATTTGCTGCCTTGAGTGTCAGCCATTTTAGCGCTTGTGTATTTCTTAGGGGAACATTTTTGAACCACTTATGAAAAAATGTCTCTGAAAAAAAGTCACTTGAGAGCCAGTGTCCAAAATGCAGGGAATTTTTACTCCTGAAGCCACTACTTCCACTCCTGGGCATGAGCCAACTATTTTGTCTTTGAGAGTCTCTGGTGCCTTTTCCCCAGCTACCTGCCCTACGGTCGCTGGGGGTTCTAGTTTAAAGTATTTGGGGGCTGGCTTATGGTTGGACAAAATCTCTGAATGTGACCAGCTTGTTTACACAGTGTACAAATTGGTCTGCCTTGATCGTCCCACTGAAAGTGCGTGTTATGAGCCGGGGGCCGTCTCCTAAATGCACCACGTGGTCGTGAATAAGTTGATGTGGGCAGTAACTGCTGTCTAAACTCGTCTATCAGGGTACGACTTAAGGTTGTAAGTTGCTCCTGCATTTCTTGGCGTATATCAGCCTTAAATTGTTCTTTCCAATCATAAGTGTCAGATTTGAGGGTGGGTGTTGGTGCATTTACCCTTGAAGTCCAAGCTTGCTCAGTAAAGGTGTGGTCGCCTTCAAGGGCCCGGGCTTCTTCACAGATATTATGGAAGCTCAGGTCTGGCTCCCTTCGCACCAGTCGTTGGAGCTCCTGCTGAATAGGTCCAGTCTTCAAGCCCATAATCAATTGGTCACGCGCTACGGTTTCATTTTGTGCGCTGCCATTTGGTTCCTTGTCCTTCCACCTATTAAAGAGCTCACGAAGACGTAAAATGAAACATCCTACACTTTCCTCTTGCTGTTGTTGGCACTTGAAAAATTGGGCTCTCAGCTGTGCTAACGAGACCTGTTTCCCATACAGTTTTTTAAAATGCTCTAAAATGTGCGTGGCGTTGGTCCGAAAGTTGGGTTCTAGTAATAAAACTTCTCTGCGTGGACTGCCCTCTAATGCACCAATGACAAAATCTGCTTTTTGCTGTTCACTGAGGCCTTGCGCTCTAAGCATAGCTTCAATTTGCCACAACCATTCACCAAACGTTACTTGATCGCCTACACCTGAAAACTTGGGCACCCACGGCACTCCCATGAACCACGGCATAACCATTGTATTAACAGCTTGATTGTCCCCTGCATTTATGTTATTTTCCTGCATGTTTATGTTGTATGGAAAGGGCCAGCTGCTCAGCAACGCCAATTAAATGTCACAGTTTAATAGCAACTGTATAAAATCAAGCCCGGGCCATACAACACAACTCACAAAATAGGAAAAAATGAACAGTTTTATTTTGTACAAGTTGAAAGAAAAAGATAAAAGTCAGTTATAAAATGTATCTAAAAAAAGGAAAGGTCCGATGCCGATAGCCATGCTAAAAGTCCCGTCACCTCCACCAGTCCAGGGAGCTGCGGGGAGAGGGCTAAAATTGGTGTATGCACAATAAGTTAAAATCAGCAAGTTCTGTGATGCAGAAGCCGGCGTGCAGAGGTCCCTTCACTTAGCTGTTTTTCAGGCGTATCAGCCGGCTCCACTGCACGGTTCTACTGCACGGCTCCACTGCACAGCTCCACTGCACGGCCCCTCTGCACGGCTCCACTGCACAGCTCCACTGCACGGCTCCACTGCACGGCTCCACTGCACAGCGCTCGGTCAACCTTTTGTTCCCCGCTGGTGCTGGGGGGTCTGGTGTCAGTCTAATCCAGTGTCCACGGTCCACACGCGCACCGGTGACACTGTCTCTGCTTCCTGGCCCTGCCTCTTAACAATCATTCCGTCACACCACACCACTGGGGAAAGTTTCTGATTGGTTAAAAATGCGGAGCAGTCCATTTGTGCAGGGGTGCACTCAAAATGTTCATAAAAACAAAACATGCACTAAACACATGCAACATGCAAAAGAAAATGTAAACAAAACATGCAATGATCTAAAACTGCATCTACCCTGCACTCACATCCTGACATTAACAACAAACTGCACACTATCGCCACTGCATCCTCTTCGTCCGCCATGACTGTTTACTCTGAAGTCACGCTTGATCTCGAGAGATTTTGTGAGATTTCCGTCTGACCTGGGAATGCTCGGGGGGGGGGGTGTCGGTTCGTGTGTGATGTTTGTGGCTTGCGTGATCTTGCCGTGTGGCTACGCACCACACACTGCACGACCAAAGTGGTTAGACGCAGGATTTTTAATCTCCCCGTGTGGGGTCTAACACGGAGAAAAATCGGCCGACAATTTTAAAATTGTCTTGTGTGAACCAGGCTTTATCTTACTATCAGAAGAAGAAGACTCCTTTTGGCTCAATCTTTTGAGTTTCTATGCCATTTTGCCACGAAAGAGCCATGTCAGAGACCGCGACCAACAACTGTGTGCGTGTACGTGTGCGTGTGCACGTACGTGTGTGTGTCAGGGCAGAGCCTCGCACCCCCTGGTCCTGCCAGTCTCACACCTATGGATGCATGCCAATTGTTTATCAAGGGAGCAACCTGAACTAATAGAGGCATGAATGTATTACATGTAGATTATTTAATTTAATGTTATTTTATTCTTATTTTGAGTATGAGGATATTTTTTATAAAGTGGTGACTGGTTGAGTCAAATGAGTGTTTGAACAAGGTTCTTGCAAAAAAAGGTCTGATAAATATTTACAAATCTTAAAGGCATACATGATCTATTTGAATATTATTTCTCTGTTGTTAAAAGGACTCGAAAGGACTCGAAACTCAAACGATAGGACTTGGGACTCGACTTTCCTGTCTTGACTCGGGACTTGAAGGCAAAGACTGGAGACTAACTTGTGACTTGCAAAATGACTTGGTCCCACCATAAATATATTTAGGCCCGAGCCCCGAACGGGGAAAGGGCCTATTGTTTTTGCTCGAGAGATGTCAAATTCTGCACTTTGAGCCTTAATTTCACCCCCTGAACATGCATGAAAAGTTGTAAAATTTTGCCCAAACATCAGACCTGGTAAAAAATTTGTTATATTGGTGTTTATTTTTATGGGACTCAAAAAATGCCAGAACAGCGCCACCTACAACAGCCAATGGGAGTTTCAGAGGTCAAGTTTGTCGTAGAGCCATGAAATTCGGTACACATGTTTCTCAAGTCAAGATACGACCGAAATGTTACCATGGCTCGGCCCTCTGACAAACAGGAGGCCCATAAATTTCACTGCAAAATGGAAAAATGATCCGCAATCATTTTCATACATGTCGGTTGGAAAGCGACTCCTCCTCGGCCGTTTCACCGATTTGCCTCAAAATCGCTCCAGATCATCTCAACACATGTACCTTCAAAATGACCAAAGGGATTTTTGATCAGTGAAACTTTGTTTGAGCAGCGGAGCGGCAAAATGTGAGTGTTTTTTGACCGTTTTTCACAACATTATTTTGCTCCCGTTTGCACAAACAAAGTCTGATTTGCACAAAACTTGAATCCAATGTTCAACTCCAGGGTTTATGTCAGGTGAAAGTGAAATATTTGAAATTGGCCCAATAGCGCCCCCTACAGATTGAGGCAAAGTTTTACATTTTTTTTGGGCGGCACGGTGGGTGAGTGGATAGCAGAGGTGTGGACTCGAGTCATGTGACTTGGACTCGAGTCAGACTCGAGTCATGATTTTGATGACTTTAGACTCGACTTGACCAAATATAAAAAGACTTGCAACTCGAATTGGACTTTAACATCAATGACTCTGACTTTCACTTGGACTTGCGCCAATTGACTTGCAAAGACTTGCGTAACCCGGGCCATTTTTACCTTTCTCCGCATCTCTCTTTCTATCTATGCCGTCTCTGAAGAAACAAAGCCTCGCGGTAGTTGTAGCGCTCGCGCGAGAGTTCGAACGTGAGTTCCCCGCAGTTCGTGCAGCAACACTTCCCTAAACAAGCGGACTGCATTCACCGGTGGGGGTGTTGTCTAGGGGAGCTGGAAATGAGCGAGCTGCAGGTATTTATCGCGACCTAACGTCATATTTTGTTCTACAAACCGTAATTGATATGCTTTCACTACAGGCGCCTCATACAATTGAATCGACGCAGTTGTCACACTGTGTGCCGTGTTTTAAAGAGGAACTGGTGAGTCAAACTAGCGCTAGCCTGCGCTGCTCTGTTAGCTATTTCTTATATTTTTCTGTGTGGGCACCGAGGCCTATTATTATGAGTATGTTTTTGCTGTGCTCCTCCTGCTAAAGTTTGCATACATTAGATAGTTGTTTTGATTATGTGCACTAAGCTAGATTAATATTTGCACTATTGTTTATGGTTCATTGATATGAGAATCAGTGCTTTGACTGATTGAATTAATTTATATGAGACATTTTATTATGTAATGATATATTGGTAATTATGAGATATTACTAATGCTGGTCCAGTTCATACAGGCCAGGGTCCTTCCCCTCCATTGGTCCCTTCAGTCCTTTGGAACAATAACCACTACGGACCTTAAACTGATTATATAGATACAGGTCCTAGCCCAATACTCATATTCATATATGCTGCACTGCTGCACTTGCTACTTCCCATTAAAAACCCCAAAGATAAAAAGTATGTTGACACGGACTGCTCTGATTTTATGTGTGGTCTGTGCATGTGTAACTGAGCCTGCATCTGGCACAACATCCAATTAGATCACGTAGATAGTTTTGATTTACCAGCAGCCAACGACATGGAACAAACTGTTAGTCCATGGGTCAGAGACCAACGAGAATGCACCAGCAAAATGATTCCTAACATTATTTTGTTTGCCTACAAAAGTACGTGGAGACCAACAAGAAACAAATCGCGGTCAAAAAGACTCGAGAGGACTCGAAATTCAAACCGTAGGACTTGGGACTGACTTGAGATTTGTTGGCCTTTGACTTGGACTCGACTCGGGACTTGCCTGTCTTGACTCGTGACTTGACTCGGGACTTGAGGGCAATGAATTGAGACTGACTTGTGACTTGCTAAACAATGACTTTGTCCCACCTCTGGTGGATAGCACTCTCGCCTCTCAGCAAGAAGGTCCTGGGTTCGAATCCCGGTTGGACCAGGGCCTTTCTGAGTGGAGTTTGCATGTTCTCCCCGTGTCTGCGTAGGTTTCCTCCGGGTGCTCCGGTTTCCCCTACCACTAAAAATATGTACAATAGGTCTGGCATGTGCCTCCTGTACTGGCACCCCCACTCCCAAAAAATAACAATTGTAAACCGCTTTGAGACTCCGATGTGCAGTGAAAAGGCGGTATATAAATAAAGATTACTACTACTACTACATGGGGTGCCAAACAGCTCTAATCATCATATTCATTACAATTTGACTAACATTCTTCTATGGCTACAGCAACAAATCATCACACGGCGGCCCCACCTCCTTTGCACGGTGCTGCGTGGTACGGTGTGGTGCGGGGGGTTATGAAGCGGCGCGTTGCGGCTTGGTGCGGGGCGGCGTGGTGCAGATCCGCTTGGTGCGGGGCGGCGTGGTGCAGGGCGGCTTGATGCATGGCGGCTTGGTGCGGGGCGGCTTGGTGCTGGGCGGCTTGGTGCGAAGCGGCTTGGTGCGGAGCGGCTTGGTGCGGAGCGGCTTGGTGCGGAGCGGCTTGGTGCTGGGCGGCTTGGTGCGGGGCGGCTTGGTGCGGAGCGGCTTGGTGCGGAGCGGCTTGGTGCGGAGCGGCTTGGTGCGGGGTGGTGCGCGCGGTGCGGCGAGGGCCATTCGACGCCGCTTGCGGCTTTAATTTTTATTTATTTTTTACCTCTGTCTGGGCCCTACCCTGCCAATCGGGCCCTAGGCACGTACCTAGTTTGTCCGGCTCTGAGAGCATGCCCTGAGTACTTGTGCTCACTGCGAGGGCAGTGGATTTTTGGCAAGCACAAAAAGCTTTTTGTGGCCAGAGTGTATGGAGACAATGACAAAAACAAACATTATTTGATTGGAAAGAAGTACTGCAACTTCAACAAAGCTCTGCTAGATCTCCTTATCCACAATGATGCTTCGTGTTTGGGAGAGGTATGTAGTGTTTAGTTTGGAAAGAAACAGGAGAAATAGGTGGCATCTTCACTCTGCTGCTTAATCCAAAAGAACCATGAAAGCTTGCTGGGCAGGCGCACTCCACTTGTCTCTGCCAACCAATAGCAACAAACACTGTAAAAAGTAAACTTTTTATCATATATGCTGTGTATTTCTCATGAAATACGTTTTAAAGAATAATGAAATAATAATATATAACGTATTCAGGTTGCATTGGATGTACAAGTTTTCTTCAAAGCCGATGAGAATGAAAAACTGAAATGTTAGTGTTTATTTGAAGCAAACAGGCCTTTTACACACAGAACTGGAATCGGCCATCATCTATCGAGCACACAGAACACCACTGAAACAGCCCAGAACTTTTCACTGCTCACTAGCGGACGCGCTCCTGGTGGCTTGGTTGGGTACTGCAATTACATACAAACGCTCTATTTAAGCCCTGCTTTCATAACATTAGAACTGTTAATAATTATGTTTCCCATTTATTTAATCCGTGTCCCATCCGTTTTCAACCCGTCACATGAGAATTGCTTTGGCATCATTCATTCCAACATTAGGTAAATTAGCTGGTAGTGCCAATGTGTTACATTGAATTGAGACCATTTTGATGCACTCATATAGTTCTACGTCAAGAGCCGACTTTTGGATCAGGCTGTAAAGCCGTTTTTGAGAGGGACAAATGGGCAGTGTTGTGCCAGTTCACAGCTTTTCTGAACTAGTTCAAGTTCAGTTCATACATGCTCAAAGTGAACAGTTCACATTCAAAGTTCACATTTTTAATTCTGAACTAGTGTGAGATTTCACACTTTTAAGCAACTTTTGTTAAAGTTAAACTCATCATTCTATCAATGTGCAGAAGCCAGTACTTTTCCCTTGTTGTGTCTATCTGAAGGCCAAGCTACATGGCACTGTGGCAGCTGCTGATTGGAGGTCTCCATGCCTCCGCTCTGTATAAAACACTTGCATTCTGTTGTTCGTGTTGTTCGTGCTGTCTCTACCATCGACAATAAAACATGTCTTCTGTCTGAATTTAAGACACAATCCCAGACTATGTCATCTTCTTCAGGTGGTGGAAGGATGCGGGCCTTGTCTGTAACATCTAGTGAACAGAAGACTACTTTTTATTTATTTATTTATTTATTTATGTTTTTATTCAGACAGAAGACATGTTTTATTGTCAATGGTAGAGACAGCACGAACAACACGAACAACAGAATGCAAGTGTATTATACAGAGCGGAGGCATGGAGACCTCCAATCAGCAGCTTCCACGGTGCCAGCAGAGATAGTCAAAACATGAAGGTACAGGCTTCTGCACATTGATAGAATGATGAGTTTAAGTTGCTTAAAAGTGTTATGAAATCTCACACTAGTTCAAAGTTCAGTTCATTTTACTTTTTTGTGAGATATTCAAATAAATATTATTTTCACACTACGAGCTAGAAATCACATTATATATATATATATATATATATATATATACATCGCACAGGATGAGAGCCTCTTGACTCTAAAACAGACAAGATCTACATTGGGAGGAAAAAACTGAGTTGCCACTGCTCATAAGTACAAACAGTAATGCGCTGCAGTGCGTGTGCCTATACTTTATGTCAAATGTAAACGGGTGGTCCTGTGTCGCTAACTCACCCTTTGTTATCATCATGACTCGGGCACATGTGAGTCCAACAACCAAAGAAAAGCACCAGCTCACAGCGCTGCACCGGGTGGCGCAACACAGAGTCGGGGTGCGTTCACAGACGGTGAACACCGTAGGAATTTTTAGTTTTCGGCGGAAGAAGTGCAGAGAATACAGGAGGGAGGAACTTTCTCTCGTTGTGTTTCAAAAATTCATGACACATAATATGAACTAATTCACGTTCAAGTTCTTTATTAAAAAATGTGTTGCGTTCAGTTCAACGTTCACAAAAAAATTAGCGTGTTCAATGAACACGTTCTTTTGAACTCGTTCACGCACAACACTGCAAATGGGGCCAGAAGAATTAATTGGATAATTCAGTTTCCGGGCACGCCACCACCGGCAAGGAACCAGATTGCAAGCATGTCAGCGCACGTGCTCATGGACCCTTTTGTGCCGGAACCAAACCATGTCAAACAGGACTGAACCTGTTGATATGGTGGTGTCTCTTTCCTCTGACTAATGTGCTTTTGTTTGTTTTTTTACTTTTAACTCTCATCTCTCTCTGATCTCTCTCTGATCTCTCTGGTCTCTGGTCTCAGTCTCCACTTCCTGACGGCACAGATCCAGATCCGTATGTCAAAGTATATTTGCTCCCAGACCCTACTAAAAGCAGCAAAAGGAAGACCAAGGCGGCAAGGAAGACACGCAACCCAACGTACAACGAGATGGTAACACACAACACACACACACTCAATTCAATTAAATGTTTTTATTAGGGCTGTCAAAATTATCGCGTTAACGCACGTTAATTAATTTTTTTCATTAATCACGTTAAAAATATTAACGCATTTGACGCATGCCCATGCGTCCCATAATAACACTCAGAATGCAGCGGACACATGCGCGTGTAAGAGCAGGTAGGCCTTCTGGGAATTCAAGTTTTGAAAGAATACATGCGTGACCGCGAAGCACTTGTAGTTTCCTGTATGAACTCTGCATGATGAGCTGCGGGCGCGACAGCGCTCTGGACAGCAGGTCCCACTTCCAGCGGCTGTGATCACGGTGAACGGCGCTGCGTAATGGGATCATATCCAAGACCACGCACAGAACTATTACAGAACTATTCTCTAGTGTGCGTACGTGTCTTTGCGTAACCGATGCACACAATATCTACAGCGCTGAAGCTGGACTGCGGAGCCTCAGTCTCCTCCGTGTCTTCTCCCGAAGCGCACTCGCTAAATTAAAGCTGAGGTACATAATTTTCCTTTCGACCATCAGTTCATGTTGGTTGTGCCAAAAAAAGTTATGGTGTGAGCAAATTAAACAGATTTAATGACATTCAGCATTTCAGACTGTTTGAGATGTCTCTCATCTGTAACAAACAATGGTTTTGGTCTGAGTCTAAACAGAAAGACAGAATGTTAATAATGTTAATTCCATTTTATATGGATTTATTGTTATAACAAACAAATACAGTACATATGTTCACTAAGCTGTCATTTATCTTTCCATTCAAACAACAATTTACAGAAAAATATGGCATAATTTTGCCAATAGTTTGAAATGCGATTAATCACGATTAATTAATTTTTAAGCTGTAATTAACTCGATTAAAAAAATTAATCGTTTGACAGCCCTAGTTTTTAACAATCACAACTGTTGTCATCTTGGAGGACTTTAAAAAGTTGTTGATTCATAGATTCAAACAGTTTGAACACAGAACATATAATAATAACAAACACATAGGAACTATTGGTTCACTGGGAGTGGAATGACCGCTGTCTTGAAATGTCAACACACACACACACTTACACAAAATACACACACATATTTATTTATTTATTTATAGACATTTTATCGGAGGATAAACCCCATGAGATGTACCATCTCGTTTTTGTGGGGGGTCCTCATGATCAAATACAAAGAACATAGAACAGCAGATATATACACAATATACTTTTGGTCTACTCAAGTGGCTATCTTTATGAACCCAGTCTGCGCTGGGGATTAACCCGGACTGGTCTACAAGCAGGTCTCTACCACTCTCTCTCTCTTGCTCCCTCCCCTCTGTTCTGTCTCCGGTCCCTCTGGTCTTAATCCGGTCTGTTCTGGTCCTCAGCTGGTCTACGAGCAGGTCCCGGCCTCAGACCTGGACCACCGGATGATCCACCTCCGGGTTTTGGGTGACGGATCATTTTGGGAGAATCCAGTTTTGGGTGAAACCTTCATCGCTTTGTCGTCTGTGAGAGCGGGTAGCCACTGGGTCGACTGGCACCAGCTGAGGCCTGGACCGGGTCTGAACCAGGACTGAAGCAAGACCTGGACCCAGTCTGAAGCAGGACTGAAGCAAGACCTGGACCGTGTCTAAACCAAGACTGAAGCAAGACTTGGACTGGGTCTGAACCAGAACTGATGGGGCACTATCTGAACCCAAACAGTCCTCGTGTGTGTGTGTCTAGGCCTCACATTGTACATAACCCTGTGTGTGTGAGCACGTGTCTGTGTGTGTGTGTTTGGTCGGTCCTCTCATTGCACATAACCCTGTGTGTGTGAGCACGTGTGTGTCTGTGTGTGTGGTCGGTCCTCACATTGCACATAACCCTGTGTGTGGGATTGAGAGTGTATGTGGATGTCCCCACTCTGCACATAAACCTGGGTTACAGGCCCCACATTGTCTCCTTCTGTGAATGAATTCTTCTGTGTTTTTAACTTTGTTTTTTTTAAAGGTATCCAAGAGGATTTTTTACTTCCGGGTGGATCATCAACACTATTGGTCCTCCCAAATGTCAATCATTCTGTTTATACGTCCTTGTCCAATAAGAGCAGAGAGTTTTGTTCAAAAAGTAGAAAGGGCGGTTCTTTCCTAAAATATGGGAAAATCCTCCTTTATACCTTTAAGTCACAGTTTGATGACAATTCTGAGAAAAACTATTTATTAGAAACGGATTAATTTCACACAAATGTCACTTAAAGATGAAGATTCTGTGAATGTGAAACTGCTGAAAACTTTCCACCTCCACTCTGCTCGGGTCTCTCCAGCCTCTGTTCTCTCTGGCCTCTCTTTCTGGTCTGTCTATTTCTGGTCTCTGGTCTTTCTCATTGGTCTATCGCTGGTCTCTCTGGTTTGTGACTGAGGCACACCCCACCATCCTGATCACTCCAAACTGAAAGACAAATTTACATTTACAGTCAAATCAGTCCTGACTTCAGATTATTATCACTTTGATACACACTCACACATACACATATACACACATACACACACAAAGCTGCCTCACACTTATGGGGTCTACACACACACCCAGGGGCTGTCACACACTTATGGGGTCCACACAAGACACTGGTGGTTGAGGTTTGAATGGTCGTAGAATTGTTCGTCAAATGCAGTTATAAAAGTGTACAGTTTCTTCTTGTGTCTGTAGAGGGAATTATGGATACATTATACTGTATGTATGTTCATGTTTATGATCATTGAGGCTGACCTCGACACTAAAGTCAAATTAATCAGTATAACGTTAACACTGTACAAGCATAGGAACCAGAATGTTTGAGTCCAACACTGTAAATATCAAATGTATAAACACTTTTGTAACATTTACTTTGATTAAAACTTCAAAACTGAGTGTTTTTGTGGAGCTTTGGAGACCCCTGGTGGTGCAGAGGAGATTTGGACACCCTGGTGGTGAAGGCGCATACTGCAGTACAAACACTTCATGTGCTTGAGTCATGTTTAGAAAACAAATCACCTTTGGAAATAGGTTTTATTAAAACAAAAATAATGGATTGCTGAGATGTACTGTATACACACACAAAGACACACAACATGCTGTCTTCATAACATCAAAAGAAAAGAGCTCTGTGAGTTACTATTTCACTATTTAAGCTGAGCTCCTCACTTTTCCAGTTTTATGTCTGAAAAAGCTGATCTAAAGATGTGACAGAGGCCAACAATCCATGATGTGAAAACTAGTGAAGGAAACCAAGTGTTTTAGAGAAACTAGACAGACATGCATTTATTAAAGAGCAATTGTATCCCAGCTTTGAAGTCACATACCCAAGCTTTACGTGGGTACGCCCAGCGTTAACGAACTAAAAAAAAAAACAGGCTGTCGGCTGCACCTGTCCCCTCTTGTCCTCAGGTTGTGGACCTGTTTCTATTTTCAGCGCGTCTCGGGTGAACACGTGTGTGTTTCCCGCAGATCTTTGGACTCAGCTCTTACGTAACGCTGTCATTTCACGTTTTTCACAGGAGCAGAAAATCGTGACGCTCCCTAAATTCCAGCAGCAGTGACCTGTAGAGTATGACATTAAGCGAAGTGTGATCTAGAGCAATGTTCCCCAAACTTCTTGAGCCGTGGCACACCACCAGCTAAAACTGATGCATTAATGAAACTCTGCAGTCTTTAATAAGAAAGCAAAGTAATTATCAACATTATAATTTGCTCTAATCTTCTCACATTGTTTTCTTTTTACATTATTTGGACCAAGTAGATGATAATGGATCATTTCCAAAGGCACACCAAGCAAAGTCTCAAGGCACACAGACATGCCACGGCACATTGGTTGAAAAACACAGATTACCGCAAAATTACCTGGACCAGTCTCGTGAAGTACACTCAATTAAAACTTGACATATGTCTCTCTCCCGCTCTTATCTTTGTGGTCTCTCTCTGGCCTCTTTCTAGTCTTACTCGTACACAGCTGTATACAGTTAAACATGGCTGTATCTTGAATGTAATTTCAAAGTCTATCTCATCTTAACATCTGCACTGTTCTGAACCTGGCAGTACAATCCTGGAAATTCCACATTGTGTTGTGAACAAAGGTCCTGGTAATATCAAAATGGCCGTCACATGTTTTTCCCCCACAGCGCGCTCTTTCTAGCGTCCACTCTTGTTTTTCGTTTTGTCCGGGTCTCGCTTTTGAAGTCGGTCCCTAAAGTGTCTGATGAAATCTTCAATCCTCCGTACTACAGTATTACAAACCCGAGTTAAGCGAGGTCTAAACCCGGTCTAACGCGTGCCAAAGCCCTTGTGGATCACAACAGAGACCGCCTAGGAGCTCTGTCAGTGCCCTGTCCCAGTGTCCAGGTTTAGTTTGTCTAGAATATTCGCGTTTTTCAGCCCCAGCTGGACCGTCTCTACAGCTGCTAGCCGATGCTAAGCTAACGTTGCTAACGGCTACATCCAGAACCCTCGGAGCTGGACGCTGCTCTTCGCCCGGAGTTGTGGATGAAATGGCGGCTTCTCGGGGGTCAATCCCAACTTCACACAGCTGCATGTCCCCGTCCAGGATCCACTTCAAACTCTTCATCCGAAAGAAGTCCCACAACCCCCGCGGTCATCAGCAGAACCAACCCGGAAAACGCGCCCCTGCCTCGGCCTCAGGTCAGCACTTCTGCCTCACTTATTGCATATTTCATCAACGATGATTAATGTTCACAATATAAAAGTAATTGTTGAGATTAGTTGTATTTACTTCAATATGAGACTGGCCTTCAGAGCAGAGACATGAGAAGTAGTATCTGAAGGAGTGCTGCATCAGTTCCACATAGTTTTAACCATGTGATACCCGTCAAAATGACCCGCAAAAGATGATTATAAGTTGAAAAAAACTACCCTAAATGAGGGTCTAAAAGGGTTTAATTGTGAAAAAAAACCTTAACAAAAAAAATCAGCTTGAATTTTTTTTTTACATTTTTGAATCACTGCGGTGGGTCAATTTGACCCGAGGATAGTACCACTATTTGCTGTTCACAGTGCTGCTGCTTTGATCCAAGTGATGAAGTGATCCTGAAGGAGGGGCAAATTTGAAGCACATGGACCTGCGGTTATTATTAGCACTGTTGACTTTGGGTCAAACATTGATTCAAGTCAAGATCCTTTAGTCCAAGTTTCCTGCTGTTTCTTATGTAACATGTTGTCCCCTGTTTCCAGATTCTGTGCAGATCTGTGGGACTTTTCTCTGAAGACTGAGACATAATGTGGAGGAGTTCAAACAGAGACACGTCCTCCCCCTCCTCTCCCCCCACGGCAGGCCCCCTGCTCGGACTCCTGTCTTCTGTGGCTCGCCCGGCCCTGTCCCTCCTGCCCCCTCTGCACACTACTAAACCCGAGCAGCGACCAGAGCCAACCCAGACCTGGTTTGACCTGAGCGCACTGGGCCTCCATACCTCAGAGCACATGAAGCTGTCCTCCTCTGCTCCTCCCGTCCTGGGGACGGTCCTGGGGCCTCCTCCGAGCAGCGGCAAGTCCTGGTGGAGCGTGGGGGCACTGTGGAGCGGAGCAGAGGTACTACATGTTTATTTGTGGTCATATAAACCTCTGTCTGTGGAACTAGGCGTAACAGGATCAAACCACACCAAATGCTGTGACTTCATTTTAACATGTGTTTGTGTGGTCCTCCAGGAGCAGCTCAGATCTTCTGTGGATCTGGTCCACGACCGCCCACTGACAACAGGACCTCTGTGCTCTGGGCTCCATCACCTGCATCACCTGCACCACCTCCATCACCTGCAGGACTTGGGCCACCTGGGGCTGGTCCAGAGCCTCAGTGTCTGTGGAGACATCTCTGTGTTCACCCCTCAGCAGGAGAACCTCAAAGAACTCCTCCCACATCAGCAGAAGCTCCTTCCGCATCATCAGCAGACCGGTGTCCTCTCCCCGGAGCAGGACCAAGGATACTGCAGTCTGGAGGAGGAGCTGCTGAAGACTCGACTGAAGCTAGAGACAAAGACAACCGAGGAACCAGAGGAGGAGCTTCACCAGGAGCTCAGTGTTGAGCGGCAGCAGCAGGAGGAAGAGGAGGAAGAGGAGCAGCTGGTCCCGGAGTTGCGCTGCGATAACAAAGCCATCGCGTTCATCATGGGATGTCCGTGCAGCGACGACTCTGACAGCAGCGAGGGAGAAGATGACGACGGCTTTGACAGTGTGTGCTCCTCAGGCTCAGAAGAGGGGGAGGAGGAGGAGGAGGAAGAGGAAGAGGAAGAGAAAGAGCAGCAGGACCTGTGGAGTTCCCTCTGTCACACACATGACCCGTACAACCTCCAGAACTTCACGGCTGAGCTGAGGTCTTCTGCACCACGAGGAGAGCACTCTGCTCCCAGAGATATCCCAGCAGCAGCAACAACAAGAGGTGACGAGGAGGTCCACAACAGCTCCTCATCTTCATCTGTGAGCTCCTCCTGCTCCTCCTGCTCCTCCGCTTCCTCCTGGGATGAAGCCAGTGACACAGAAGAGCAGCACGCCTCCAAACTACTGCAGTCCTTCACTTCCTCAGATCCCTACAGCCCCCTGAACTTCCAGGCTCCAGTCAGGACTAAGACTGGACCAGAGACCAGGACTGAGACTAGGACTAACTCCAGACCTCCGACCGGAGCAGAGCTGAGGCCGGAGCAGGACTCGACTTTCTCAAAGTGTTCCCAGAGCAACAGCAGAAGCACAAAGAAGGTGAGGTGGTCAAGAGTGTTTTTGTGTCTAATATGTTTGTTCTGGCCCTGGTCTGACTCTGGCCCTGGTCTGACTCTGGCCCTGGTCTGACTCTGGCCCTGGTCTGACTCTGGCCCTGGTCTGACTCTGGCCCTGGTCTGACTCTGGCCCTGGTCTGACTCTGGCCCTGGTCTGACTCTGGCCCTGGTCTGACTCTGGCCCTGGTCTGACTCTGGCCCTGGTCTGACCCTGGTCTCTCTGCTCCCAGGTCCGGTTCCTCCCAGACCCTCAGGTCTTCGTCTTGGACTCGGAGGATCGCCGCGGGCCCTGGGAGCAGTTTGCACGAGACCGAGCACGCTTCCTCAAACGCTGTAGTGAAATGGAGGCTGTGATGGAGCAGTGTCTGCACCCTGAGCACCGGAGGACTGTTTACAAGAGGATGAGCCAATTGCAGAGCTATGGGCTGACTGACAGCAGCATTAGCCAATTGGAGCCCTGAGAATAAAGGACTGATATGAGATTGAGATGCGAATGAAGGACAGTATTTCAGACGTATTTTAATCGCAGGCTTAAGAGTCGCTCCTCTTCACCTCCTTCCTATAGTCTCTTCTCTCCCCTGCCTCCCCTCTTTCCCCTCTTCCTATTTCCCCTGTCTCTCCTCTCTTCTCTCCTTTCCTCTTCCTCCTCCTTTTCTTATCTTTATCCCCTCTCACAGGAGGAGGAGCAGCCTAGATTTTAGTATTGATACTAAAGAGCGCTGGGTATTAGAGCTGACGTGTGACTCTTCGGGACACAAGCGGATTCGCCCTGGTGCTTTTTACACATGAACTCACAAGTCACGTATGCAGGATCAGAAGACCAGATCAGACCCAAAAGTCGAGGTCTGGGTTTGGAAGTGGACTCCGAAGTCTCGAATGTTGTTTTTGTTCCAAACCAAAGATTGTCAGTGTTTGAAGTGAATGACTTTTATTTTTCTAAAATTTCTGCATTTGATTCAAAGTGGAAATAAAGTATTTAATGAGATATGTGTTTTGTTTTCTTTCTTTGAGAATGAGAGGGAGATCAGAGAGAGATAGTACTCAGTATTATCTATACAGCTACTTTTAAACTGTAGTTCTAGGCAAAGTGTACCTAGTCTCAGGTACTATAGCAAAGTCAAGGCCAGCTCCAGCGCAAATGAATAATCTTAGACCCCGGGGTGATATTTGATTAGTATTAGAACCGGTTGCCGAACCAATCATTTTAATATGTTTTAATAAACATTAAACCAGTTCAGATTGTAGCAAATGTGTTTTTTTTTAGCCCTCTGATGTATGTGACTTTGACATCCCTGCACTACAGTGACCTCAGTGTTGACCAGATACTGACCGAGGAGCGAGAAGCTGGAACATCGCTTGTTGTGAGACTTCCGCACTAGAATTCTGTGCCTGACCGTGGACCTGGACTAGAGTTAAACCCGGTCTCAGACTCCGCTCCAAGAGGAAGTGTGATCAAAGGGGGAAACCAAAACACTCATTTAGATTGAGGCTTTGAACAGGAGACCAGGCTCAGACTGGGACTGAACCAGGTCTGGACCAGGACTGAACCAGATCTTTCTGTATGTTGTAATTTTCATCCTAAATAAATGATATAAACAGAACAAAGTAATAATAAAATGTTTCTTTGTGAATCCACAAGATTATTATTTATGAATGAGACTCGGGACGTCCCAGGTAAGGAGGGGCGGGGCCTCAGGATGTGAGGAGAGATGAGTGGCTCTCAGTCTATACAGGGAGACCAGAGACATACCTAGACCAGATCTGGCAGAAGCTCAGCCGGACCCAGTTCTTCAGGGGTGAGTTTCTTTGTTTGTCTCCCTCATATACATCTATTATATTATATTATACTCGCTTTTTTGTGGCTATAATATTCAGCCCAGAAGTGTACAGTCAGTGGAATCAGTTTTGCCTCTGGGGTCTGACTGCAAGATGCTTTGCACAACTAGAGACTGACCGTTTTGCCCACTCCTCTTTACAAAACAGCTCTTGCTCTGTCAGTAGAGGAGAGCGTATGTGAACAACAGATTCAGGTCTGAACGTTCAGTTCTATTTGACACTGGTGATGCAGCGAGTAGGGCTGGGCAATATCTCTATATACAATAGATAACAATATTTTTGCATGATTAATAACCCTCCAATAAAGTCTTTCTTTATTTTATTGAACCTCAAAGAGTTTTTGAAGAAATGAAACATATTGCCTTTTCTTCAATAAACAAAACTTCTCAATTCATTGGCCGCGGTAAAGTGGCCCCGCTTTTCACCGGCAGCGGTAAAGAGGTCCGCACAATGAAAGCGATTGGCCCCTTTATGCTGTTACTTACGGTAAACGTGGAAAGGGAAGCGGTGACGACGAGCAAACAAAATGCAATTTTTAATAAATCCTAAAAATAAAGAGTTTTGCGACTACTTTCACTGCACACTTGTTTACTGTGATTCCCTCTACCACTGTGCAGAGTAAGATTTTGTATATGTCTATGGCCAGAACTCCCCTGGGCGAGCTAATCTCACCGGTAAAATTACATGTGGCCGCAGAACTAAAAAAGGTCTCGTTATGATTCTCAAATCATTAATGACAAAACAAAGACTGAAACAATGATTTATATCGAGACGTCTATGAAAAATTTAGACAATTGAAGGAGGATAAAATCTTTTCGTGTGATGCAAAATTTGCTATGTTCTTTATTATTACCTGCCTGGGGACAGTCGCACATCGTATGTAATAGTGGTCTAGTGGTTATGTCACAGTGCTTTCCGTGTTGACTCATGTTTGGGCATGGATCTATAATAATAACTGGATAAGGTATACTGTCTTATAGCTATCCCACCTATGGGCACAGGGGGCGCTGTGGTACTGCAGACTAAATTCACGTGGGCTACCCAGAAAAAAAGTCCCATAGAACTCAATGTAAACTAAAACAGCTCGACCTCAGCTGACGGAGAACCTACAGCTTTCATAAAGGTAGTAATTTGTGGGGATTTTAGTGTCCCTTGTCATCCTGAACATCTTTCTTTCTTCTTAAATCCTTCGGTTTTCTTTAAATCCACACTTTACTGCCACAAACTCTGCTCATTTCCTTCCCGCTCTGACTCTGCTCTACCGCTGCTCTGATGCGCTGATTGGTCAGACCACATGTACCCCAATCAAAAGGTCGAGGGGGAGCAACAGGAGGCGGGGCGAGAGCCGCACAGAGAAGGCAAACAGGCAAAGCAGCAAAAGTGAAACAGTTCATCGTCAAAGTTACTTCCACAATATTATCTCCTACAATAATTATCGCCCACCCCTAGCAGCGAACTGTGGATGTGTGCAGCTCCTCCAGGGTCACCATGGGCCTCTTGACTGCATCTATGATTGTCTTTTGGATCCATCTAAACACTGATCCGTATGTTTCCTGTTCTAGATCTGAGGATGAACTCTCTGTCGTCTCTGGGCTTTGGACACGCCCTTCTCCCCCCATGTTTCCATGGTTGCCATGGCTGCCACGGCCACATACCCCACATGTCTACGTCCATGTTTGATTCAGAGCCAGCGTTTGTGCGCCGAAGAAATGAGCGTGAGCGAGAGCGTGTGAGACACGTGAACCAGGGCTACGCCCGGCTACGGCAAGTCCTGCCCCCGAGTCTGGACCCGAGTTTGGACTCGAGTCCAGACCAGAGTCTGGACCAGCGTCTGGACCCGAGTCTTTCCAGAGAACGAAGACTTGGGGACCTGTCTTCCCTGCACAAAATGAGAAAACGTGAGGTAACAATGAAATTTATTTATTAAAACAGGGCGAGCATAAAGGATAAAGAACACTGTATTGAAAACTAGGGGATGGGGACTTGTGATCAGGGTCAGAAGATCAATTTGTCAGAGTATCACAGAATTGTGGCTTTCAGATGGATACAGATGAATTATGTTTAAAAAAACAGCTTTGAAGAGTCACCTTATAACAAACGCTAGGGGGCGCCAAAATGGCGGCGATGACGTAGGAGAATGACATCTCACAGCAGCAGACAGCAGTCTTGGCTGGAATCTGTAGGAGGTTTCACTGTCATCTGAACAAGGTATAAACATATTTTCATCCGTTTTGTACATAATAGTGCGCAACTCTTTTAACCTTTTAGCCTTATTTGTGAGATTCAAGCTAACTAGTGTTGGGCAAGTTAGCTAACTCTACTAGATATCATAAAACATGCTAACATGGCTAATATTTGTTTTTACATTATGCCAGTCTCACTGTGGTTGCCTTAGATTTATTTACCACAATGTACATTGTAATATCCATAAATGCTAATCAAAATAACTTGAATTAAATACATATTTTACTTTTATGAACAAAAAGCTGCAGAAGTTGAAAACATAGACTACATGTGATGCAATCATTGATAAAAATGCTAATTAAACCGTTAATAGGTGTTAGCATTTATGGATATTACAATGTACATTGTGGTAAATAAATCTAATGTAACCAAAGTGAGACTGGCATAATGTAAAAACAAATATTAGCCTTGTTAGCATGTTTTATGATATCAAGTAGAGTTAGCTAACTTGCCCAACACTAGTTTGCTTGAATCTCACAAATAAGGCTAAAAGGTTAAAAGAGTTGCACACTATTATGTACAAAACGGATGAAAATATGTTTATACCTTGTTCAGATGACAGTGAAACCTCCTACAGATTCCAGCCCAGACTGCTGTCTGCTAACCTTGCCTGCAAGCTGAATTCTCGCGGTATTTGTGAGTTCACTAACACTCGAGAATACATCTTGCCCCGCTCCCGCCAACCCTTTTCGAGTAGAACATCTAGGTGTTCAAGCCAATCACGCGCCAGTCTGGGGGTTTAGGGCGGGATATCTGGGTTTGACGAAAGCAAGAAGTGCCGGGCCGAAGCAAAACAAACATGGCTACGCAGGAGGACGGACGCGTAGCTGAGGCTATCAAGTCAGTTTTATCAGTGTTGGCGAGGTTGCCTTTAATACGCAAATTCGTACTACAAAAACGGCAAAAGTCATTCAACGACATGATGATAAAGCAGTCATAGGCCAAATAAAACTAGTTCAGTCCAGCGCAACTTATGGTGGTTTCTCAGGGCGCTTGCCGATAACGACATAATGTTACCGGGATTGGTTTAAGTCAAACCTTGGTAGGCGGGCACACAGTGTCACTTCGCCCAATCAGCTTGAAGTATTGTGCTGCTTATCCCTCCTTTCCCCGAAAGGATTCTCCTGCAGAAGTCCCAGATTGATTTTATGGAGAACGCATTAGAGTTCTACACAATCATCAATCTGGCTCTCGCCAGGTTAGCTGTCCGCTGCTGTGAGATGTCATTCTCCTACGTCATCGCCGCCATTTTGGCGCCCCCTAGCGTTTCTATGCGGAAGTGAAAAGTGCCACTTCAAAGCCGTTTTTTTAACATAATTCATCTGAACATGTCAAAATGAACACCCAAAATATTATAAACACATATTGTAGTTATATATTCTGGATAGCAGCATATTAAATTCTAGTACTACTTTAAGTCACATTCTGCGTTTCTCTGTTGAACAAAATGCTGTATTCTTGGGTTTCATATGACGTCGGGGCAGTGGCGCGAATGACATACGAGGAGCAGGACCGGACCGGACGTGACGTACCCTGGCGGTGCACTCTGCCGGGTATATCGACGGAGATATAGTAGAAGAAGCAGCGCTGTCAAAATGCCATCTTTTTGTGCGGTGTACGCATGGATCTGTTATAATAACTGGATAGGGTATTGCTAGTTTATAGCTGAAGAACTAAATCTACACTTTACTGCCACAAACTCTGTTCGTCTGGCTCTCACTCTAACTCCCGCTCTGATGAACTGCTCTGATTGGTCAGAGCGCGGCCGAGCCCCTCTGTGCTCGTGCATAAGACCCATGTGAGACCCACACACACGTGTTTGCCGCAACGCATCATGGGAGATAATCCACTGTGCAGAACCGTATTAGTATTAGATAGCAATATGGCCTACGTGCAGGACTGTACAAGGACTCTACAAGGACTCCATGTTATGACTATGATGTGACTGTCTCTTTGTGACACGTATGTCTTTCGATGTGTGACGTGACAATGACTATATAAACTGTGTACTGCCTTTATTCTGTCTGAGGGAAAGAAACAGAGTAAACCAGTGGAACTTGAGAGCAACTTAAATAAACTTCCAGAGTTTGGCACACCACGATCCGTCTCTGTCTGCCTAATCCTAACAGATTTGGTGGAGAATGCGCGGCTCGGTTTGTGCCATTCTCTGGATTGTTTTGAGGGAGTTTTGCTCTGTTTCTTTTCCTCTGCGTGAGAGATCGGCATGCTGTGTCTGGGAGCGGAGATTCCAGCAGGCTGGAAGAGCTGTTCCTGGATGCTTCTTGTCGCTTCTGTCACTTTTGTTTTTTAAATTGAATATTCCGACGCGGAAAAGAGTTGGCAGACCTCTCGGACAGTCCTTGGAACCGGTTTGACAAGAATAAGGTAAGCAGACACCTTTTTTAATATGTAAAGTCTGCATAATTGGATATTAGCTAAATTTTGGTGTGTTTTTTGGGGTCTGTCAAACTCTCTAAATTGTATTTTGAAGAAGTCTCGGGGTTAAAGTCCCTTTGAGCCTCGGGGTTAAAGTCCCTTTGAGAAAGTCTCGGGGTTAAAGTCCCTTTGAGCCTCGGGGTTAAAGTCCCTTTGAGAAAGTCTCGGGGTTAAAGTCCCTTTGAGAAAAGCCTCGGGGTTAAAGTCCCTTTGAGAAGAAGCTTCAGGGTTAAAGTCCCTTTGAGAGAAACCATGGTGTAGAATTAAAAGTAATTATAAAAAGGGAAACGTTAAACACTAAAGAGTGCCTTTTGTTACTAGTGTGGAAAGTGATCACTTCTAGATTTGGATGACAAAAGTATAAAGAACAACATAAGTTATATTTGCTTAAAAAATTAATCTTGAAAGTTCTTCTTCTGTGTCTTTCTGCCTGTGTGTGCGCGTCTGTGTGAAAGGAACCCCCCCGCCCTCGCTGCTGCTGAGCTGCTGCTCTGATTTAAAGGGGAGCTACTGCTTTAGGAATTTGGCTTTTCATAGTAGTTATTCCGTTAAATTTGCTAAATTTGCCATTTGAACATTGTGTTAGACACAGTTAAACGTTTTTAAACACCATTAGGGAATAGAAGTTTTGAATTAGTATGTTTTTGAAACCCAAAGATTAGTACAAAAAGCTTTGCTTTTCTTTTTAAATCTGCTGCTTATTTTGTGAGTCCATTATTGTATCTCTGATATATTTCATAGCTGTTTGTGAGAATTTTTTCATGTATTTTTTATTTTAGTTACAAAAGCCGTTTTTCAAACATTTAAATTAGAATCTGTTAAAAGTGATTAATGATTGTAGACTTCGTCTAAAAAAGAAAGAGGGAATTAGGCTGTAAAAGTATTATATTATTAAGTTAAACTACCCAATTCACATGCAAGTGGTGACTTTTGTTTTTGTTTTGACTACACGCCTGACCTTGTTGCTCCTGCTGATGCCACAGCAGAGGAGACTGGTCTAAAATGTGCTCCAATTCATACTGACTTCATTTGAAAAATGCTGCAATTATTTTAAATTAGTAAAATATATGCTGAGATAAATGCATAGATAATTAATCACACAGTACAGAAGTACAAAATAGAATACATTTTTTAAAGTTTAAAAGGTTTAAGAGATTTGAGTCTTGTTTTTTATATTGAGAGTTTCTGGTTTTAAATGTCATCATTAGTAAGATAATAAGTAATCTTTATTTACATAGCGCTTGGGAAAACCCAGAGCGCTCAAATTGTTTTGACTTCAGAGAGAAAAACAATCTCATTCACAATCTCTGTTGTTTTTAATTTGACTATAAGGTTGTTTTCCAGAACCAAGAGCACACACTGTACAGGGTCACTGGACTGCTGGACACTGGACAGCGCAAAGCCCACCCAGCCACAGGTCACAGATCAAAGAGCAAAGGGAAATGCCACCTCCTTGCCCCTCCCCACGCCACTCCAAAGCTGAGTGGGTGTGAGAGAGACCGGGGCAGAGAGAGGTGTCTGGAGACGTGATGGTGGAGCGTCAGGGAGAGACCTGAATGAGAGTTGAGAGTGTGTCCAGTTGGTTTGCATCACCACAGTGTGACCTTTGAGACCTACAGGTGGTTCGAGGAGTCTGGAGAGACAACCCCAAAATTCACATACACACACACACACACATACACACTCATACACTCACACATTCACATTTACATATAGATACATGAAAAAGCAGAACATGAAAAAAGCATTTTAAAAGTTTACTCCAATGTAAACACATTTTCAATTGTCTATCACTTGAATCTTTAGTTGAATCAGTATTTTTTGAGACCAGAAATGTTCATTTGAATTCTATATTGTCATGGACTAATTGACATCTGTCCTGACACTTTTGATTTGTTGATTTTGTACTGTGTGAAGTAATTACATTGATTAGAATTAGATCTGATAAAAACACAAATTAGAGAAGTAAACTGAAATTGCGCTTGCTTTTTGTCTGAGGGACAGAAGCAACAGCATGAATAGAAATTGTCTTTAAAGTAGAATCAAAGTGACTTAACCATAGAGAGTAACTACTGCATTACAAGCTGTGTACAGGAACTGAGACACTGCACCATTGACCAGAAGTGCATCGCAAATGACCTGATGTGCTTCAAGTGAAAAGACTGTATCTGGAGATCCGATGTCCAACTGGAGAGACCAGAACCATGGCTTGGACCCTACTGATGTCCAAGATGACCTGACCTGATGACGACTGAGACTCACCCTCAGGGGACCCTGAGGACCTGAGGACCTGAGAGAGAAAAAACTGGGGAGTGATGTTTATATTTTTGAAATCATACATTGATGAGTGCTAAATGAGAGAGATACTCATGATTCTTCTTTTGTTTTTGTTTGTCCCTAGCTTCTGGACATCTGATGATCTATTGGACACAGACATTTGCAGAACAAGAACCAGCCAATGAAAACGTCTATTGCCGTTGCTTTTGCTACAACCAGAACCTGTGACAAATGCAATATACATGTTAAGTATTCAGACATCTGACAGACAAAAACTTTGAAAATGATAAAGTATAAGTATTGTAGCGTTTTAGTAGATGTTAAATAGTAGTAAAAGAGTAGAATTTGACTTCCTTTGTTTTTCATAAACACATTTCCACATAAGAGTTAAAATAGTACCCTACAATGTTATCCTTTTGATAGATCAGCTATAATATTAGAATCAGAATAATGTTACAGCCATTGAAAGTGACAGAAGTCACAAATTAGGAATATGCCTTTGCTCAAACTGCAGCCAAACTTTGGAGTCACAATAGTGTAAAAATAGAGATAAATAGATGCATCAACCATAGATGCTTTCAAAAATAGAGAATATTTCCAGCCAGTGCTAATATCAAATGGTAAAGGGACCATTTCACAAGCATTTACTTCAAAAGTAGATAAAGTTACTTACAGTTTATGTACAGTTTTATTAGATACTTGCCAAATTCACTTGTGTTCACACATGAGTGAATGTTGACAATGCAAAAAGTTCATATGAGTGTAGCCTAGATTAATGCCTAGATCAATGAGATAGATTAGCACCAACAGAGATTCAAAAGCATTTAAAAGCATTTTGATGTATTTGGGTGTAGCACAAAAACACAATAGTAGATATTTAGATATTGAGAAGTTTCCAGCACAAATACCATTGTAGAATAACTGACCCCAACCCCAAACCTAATTAGCTACTATTAGGATAATACTAATTTGATTAATGATGTACATTCATCCCAAATGCCTGACAATAATATCTTTAGATAATAAAAAGTAATAAATCACTGACCACTATAGAAGTGTAAATGTTGACCATTTGCCTTACTGTGTTCACAGTTTTATTCCTGAGAATGAGAATAGACATGGAGCAAAATCCCACTGATAATATGCCACTGATAATGAAAGTAAACTAAAGAGAGATTTATTAGATTAAAATGTATGTTTAAGAATATGGCTCAATAGAAGCAAATATGCAAACATATTTGTAAATAGATTAGAATAGTTTAAACTATAGTGAATAGAGAGTAAAGTACACAGTCTAAGATTAAAAAGTGAAAATAATACAGTGAAATAAGTGAAGTGTAAACAATTAGCATTAGAATAAAAGTATAGAGTAATAAAAGTGAAATTAGCTTCAAAATTGAGACTCAGCTCGTTTTTGTCTGTGTTTTGACTGAATCTGCTGAGTTCTTGTGTGTCCAATAGTTTTTGTTTGTTTTTATTTTTGTTTTTTTTATTTTTGATTTGTTTTTTGTTTGTTTATTTACTTTATTTTTGTTTGTTTATTTTTTCCCAGGATAGAGGATAAAATCCACTGATATTGAGTTTGATGATTATGAGTTTAATGCATACATTTTCTTTGTTTTTAATAATTTTGTAAAGTTTTTTTTAGATTTTTTTTTTTTCTTTTTCCACTTTATTGATTGATCGATTTGAGTGATCACATGTGATTATGTGATCAAAGGGGAGGGTATTAGTATTAGATAGCAATATGGCCTACGTGCAGGACTGTACAAGGACTCTACAAGGACTCCATGTTATGACTATGATGTGACTGTCTCTTTGTGACACGTATGTCTTTCGATGTGTGACGTGACAATGACTATATAAACTGTGTACTGCCTTTATTCTGTCTGAGAGAAAGAAACAGAGTAAACCAGTGGAACTTGAGAGAAACTTAAATAAACTTCCAGAGTTTGGCACACCACGATCCGTCTCTGTCTGCTAAATCCTGACAACCGGGAGGACCAGACAATGCCCAAATACAGGCGAGTTTCGCTAATATCTCAGCGACCGTGCCGTCACAAAGCGCCACTGAGCACAACCATTCATTTGAATACAGCGCCATCTTGGATCGCCGGGGCTTGGGTGTACGGTTGTAGCAAACGCGCAAATAGAGAGAAAGACAAGAGTTTCTTCCCTGTTCCAACTGTGGTCTCATATAAAGGTGTACATTTTGAAAAAATCACTTGAATGAGGCGGGCTTTCCCGGATAAGCGCCCCCTACAGGCCACCCTAATGAAACGCAGCAATTTCTTCTGTTATTTTTTCCAAAAATACTCAATATCAAGACTCTTTTGAGATTTTTTTTTAGTACTCCCTTAGAATTGAGTATCCCCCTCCCGAGCAAAACTGAGATGTCCCACCTCTGCTCATTCGCCCCCTACAGGCCAGTTTAATGAAACCCAAGAATTTTCTCTGATTCCATGACAGGCATTTTTTTTTTGCGATTTTTGCAGAGCAGAGACCTGAGACCCAGTTCTAAACCCCGTCCTAAACCCAGTCCAGAGCCTCAACCCAGACCCGGACCAAGACTCAGCAAAGTCCAGACGCTGAGAGCTGCCATCCAGTACATCTCTGCCCTGCAGCAGCTACTGCATCATCAGGGGGAGCCAGCGAGTGCAGCGTCCAGACCACAGAGCTGACTACAGAGCTGACACCAGGGGAGAATGTATGATTGTTGTAAAGTGTCATTGATATAACTTATTAAACTGTTTTGCTGCAATGTTTCAATTTTGTGTCTGAAATAATACATTTAAAACATAAAACAACGAACTATAAAGACTCCTATTGGTCATCTTTAGAGATTGTGATGGGCCTGGATCCTCCAGAATGTGTCCACCAGAAACAAAGTCAGTCGCACCAGAGGTAATAATGGAGGTTTATGGGGAAAGTACGGCATCCCTGAAATCTCTCCGTCGGGTGGAAAGTTGTCTCAGGTTTAAGTTATTCAGACTCAGACTTAGTTTGTGACTTTATTGAACCAAAGTGAAGTGAACTCAGATCTGAACATCACAAACCACGACTCAGCAAAACGCCACAGAAAGAAACACCTTAAACTTGTGCTAATAAGTCCTCAGAACATGTCCTACACAACCGGGCCGGAGACAATCTTGACTCAAAGCCAAAACGACGAAAATAGGAATTTGCAGTCATGTCCCGGATACAGAAGGAAAAGAAAACTCCCACAGCAAGGGAGCTGCATCTTCACACAAAGCTCTTTCTCTTTTCTAATATCTAAAGATAAAAACTGTGTCAAACTCACAACAGCAATGAGTGTCAATGTACAGTGTGACAATAAAGTTCTGGTACAAAAGTGTGCAAAAAGTGGAGCTGAGGTATTATTGCACCAGCCGCTCCTACCTCCTACTCCTTACCCCCAAGTCCCTGTCCTCTACCTCCTATGCCCTATGTCCTACTCCGTACCTCTTAGTCCCTGTCCCCTACCTTGCACCATCTACCTTCTTGTCCCTCCCCCCTACGCCTTACCCTCTAGACCCTATCTTGTACTGCCTAGTCCCTATCCCCTACCTCCTACACCATATCCCTTACCTTGTACTCCCTATCCCCCCCTACCTCCTTGTGTCGTTTGTAAACAGATTTATTGCCCTGCTGTTTTTGACGGACGTTGATCATGCCACTGATTATGTGACTCCAACAGGATGGCAGAGGAAGCACGTCTTGTTCATTCATTGGACTCATTGGATTTACATGTAAAAGTAAACTTATCAAGCTCTATGTGTCACTATTTTAGGCTTAAATCCATGGTTAACCGCTCGTCTTTGTAAATCCAGAAATGAGCCATATAAAGATTGACCAATCAGATGACCTCATTCGCATGGGATACTCCAGCTTGCCTTAGGAACATCTGCCCCTGTTGCGGTGTGCAGCACTGCGGATTGAATGCCCATATACGGAAATTGGCTCCAGCTAGTTTATGTTCAAAGAGCCTCGGTCAGACCACTCTGACCAACTCCATATAGGAGTCAGGTTAAAGATGCAGTAAGTGATTTTGTTAACTTACCCGTAGCACCAACTCGAAACCCCTCCCCCTCCCCTCACCAAACCAAACATCCAGCATTTTCTTTTCTTTGTCACAACAAGGAGAGTGGGTGGCAAACATGAAATTGGCATTTTCTGCTCGGCCATTTAAAGTGGTTCTCACCCCCGCTCCTCGGAGCTTACGTCACTCACATTTCCTGTTCAAATCTTCCTCTAAATGGGCGTAGCCTGGAGGACTAAAGGGGGCGTGAACGAGACTGGGCCGTTTACATTGCTCTGGGCGGGGGGCCGCTGACGTCAGGTCTTGCTTCAGACGTCAGGTCTTGCTGCCGCGCCAGTGTTGGCGCCAGATTCAAAATTCAAATGTAGTAATACAGGTCGCCAGCAGATGGCGCCTCACAGACGGTTTTAGGCAGAAAGTTTAACTTTCAACTAATTTGCACCAAAGTGACAAAATTATGACCAGGATATGTAGACAACACTATTGGACACTACATTTATACCGTTTATCAGCAAAAAAAAGTGGATTTGAGGGTGAGTTGTCCTTTAAGGTTGTAGAAATAATCCGATAACTCAGATGCGCGCATTCATGAGAAACAGGAAGAGGGTGAAGGGGGTAAACGCATCCTATTGGTTCGTTGGGGATGACCGAATCCCATTGGTTTATTTTTATCGGTCCACTCCAAAATATTTTTAATTAATTTTTGAAGACTATAGGCATCTGGTCAATTCCATTACTATTTGATAACTTGACTAATTTTAGGGTTTAGGGAAGTTTTGTCTTGAAAAAAATCACTGACTGCATCTTTAAGTTAAGGGTTAGGGGATAAACAAAGGACCCAATTTTGTAAAAAAATAATATAAAAAAAAAAAGGGAGCATATGCCTCAAGGATCACTACAGATGCTTCCTCTGCCATCCCCCACTCTGACCCCTGACTTCTATACCCCCTCATCTTGATCCTCATCCTGTGAAGGGCACTTCTGGGTCCTGGAGAAGGTCCTGGAGTCTGGGTCCTTGCGGAGGTCCAAGGGTCTAGGTCCTGGGGTCAGGGTCTCAGTTTTTGTACCAATATGAAAATAAACACAATTCAAACAGGCTTCAGAGCAGACAGCTGTGCATTGTGGGTGTTGTAGTCTCCTCAGACCCTGTAGCAGTGCATTGTGGGTGTTGTAGTCCTCCTCAGCCCCTGTAGCGGTGCTTTGTGGGTGTTTTTGTTGTACTCCTCCCCATGTAGCAGTGCAATGTGGGTGTCATAGTCCTTCCCTGTAGGAAGCGCTGTTACACCGTGGTCACTGTGAGCAGCGAGCTTGGGCAGGTCAGTGCGTCTTCGTGGTTGCCGAGGCGATTGCCGTGTGTCAGTAGTTCCTCTACTGTCGTCCAATCATCAAGTAGCTTCCTGTTGCGCAGGCGGCTTAGCTTACGGTGGCTGAGCTCCAGCACCGTGCTCGCCCTGGGGTCCTCGGGCGCCGCACACGCCCTGTCACGCTCGCGGCTGGATGAGCGATCGCCGCGTGCTTGCCTTAGCTCACGCGCTAACAGGAAGTGCTCCTTTCTCTCGGTGCGGCTCCAGTATCGACCCAGGAGCATGTCTCCGGTCTCCTCGTCCGTGCTCATGCCGCTGCGCTCGTCAGCCAGTTGCGACGCGCGGTGACGCAGCAGCTGGGAGCGAGACACGCGACTCATGGCCGACGCACGGTTTGCGGCCTCCTGGTTCAGCAGTGCCTCACGAGTCGCGGCCTCGCGCTCCACTCGATTGTCGCGATTCACCCGTTTCACAGAGTCTCGTTTCATAGAGTCTCGATTCATCTCGCGATTGCCCACAAGATTGACTTCATGATTTGTCTGCGCAACGCGGTTACCCGCCTCACGACTCCCGCCCTCACGGTTTAACCCTGCGTCCCGATTGGCCGCTGTGGGCTTCTGTGGGAGCTTCACCTCTGGACTTGTGTTTGTTTGTGCTTTCTGCGTCATCAGGCCCAATGATCTGTTTGGCCCTTCTCCTCCACACGTGCCTCTCGCCCCTGCCGCAGGACCAGCTGGTCGGTCTATTGGCCTCGCCCCTGCCACAGACCCACTTGGTCCGTCCAGAGTGCTATAGTGGCCGCGGCTGCCTCCTGACTGTGTGTTTCGTGTGTTGGGTTTGGGCCACGTGTCGTTAACTTCTCCGCTCTGGCTGAACGAGCTGCTGTTGTCACGGAAACGTCGGCGGTTGGATTCAATGCTTTGGCGCACGGTAGATTCGCGCTGTGCCTCCTGCTGCGCCCGCCGCTGTGCCTCCTGCTGCTGCAACCTCAGCTCCTCCTGCTGCTGCAGCCTTAGCTCTTCCTGCTGCTGAATCCTTAGCTCCTCCTGCTGCTGCAGCCTCAGCTCCTCCTGCTGTTGCAACCTCAACTCCTCCTGCTGTTGCAACCTCAACTCCTCCTGCTGCTGCAGCCTCAACTCCAAATCTCTGTGAAGGAAGCACAAGTGACACATAAGTGCAGCTCTGGGTCTGATGCAGTGGCTGCATCAGACCCAGAGCTCTGAGTGCAGACACGGCTCCCTTTTCACCACTGCAGGCCAGAACTCTGATACAATCACATTAATATTTGTGTTTTTATTATTAGTAGTGTTAAGAGTGTTTAACTCTCGAGAACCCGCCATTAGCATTAGCATTAGCCTTAACACAAGCTCGTGTCTCGGAGCTCCATAGAAAACTGTTTAATTTAATGGCTGCAGTTCTTTAGCTTCAGTTTGTTGTTGAAGAGCAAGAGTGAGATTGACGCGCACATCCAATTCTAAGTTGCGTGCAAAAAGTCGAAAATAAATCAATGAAAAAAATGGAGATGACTCTGCACAGATTTTGCTCCCAAGAGATTTTAATTCTCACCACACAATGTGACGTTTCGGGTCACTACCCTTCATCAGTCTGAGTTAGCTAACTCAAACCTAACCCGCTCGATGAAGCCCAATGGGGAAATGCTGTTTGAGGCGAGAGGTAGATCTCTCTCTCTTTTACAGACATGATCTCACGGTTGGCAGAAGTTACCCTGCTATAGTAGTAAACTCAAGCAACAAACACTTTCAAAAACATATTAGGAATACAATAAATATTATACTTATTATCATTACCCTATTATTATTGGTAGAGGAGAAGAGCATTCAGCAGCTCTGCCTGCCCAAGTGTCTTGTACTTCCTTGAACGGTGATGAAGATTTATTCTTTAATTACGTATCTGCTATTTTTATCTGTTAGTTTTATTTGCTTTTTATTAATATAATCATTATCGTTATTGTTATTATCATTATTATTATTACTTATGTATCTGGAAGCACTTGGAATTTCTTCTTCTTTTTCTTTTCTTTTTTTCCCCGACTGAAAATGACTGGGCGACAGTAGCTCAGTTGGTAGAGCATCGGCCTTAAGGCCAGAAGGTCGTGGGTTCAATTCCCACCTCTGCACCTTCTCCACCGACTCCCACTGATGACTGCTGTCGTTGTGTCCTTGGGCAAGACACTTAACCCCACTTTGCCCAAAGCCCCCACTGAAAGATCAAGGCTATGCTCACAGTCAGAGAGCAGCCGTCCTCCTGTGGACTCACCACCTGCAGAGGGTCAGTGAGGGGCTGGTGCTATGAGACTTGGGTGGCATCTCTGACTGTCACCCCCCTGACCCAGAAATGGATTAAAGGGTAGAAAATGGATGGATGGATGGATGAAAATGACTGGTATGTATGTGGTGGTGTGATGGACCCCTAATGCATAAGCTTGTGCTTCTGGGAGTTCCATTTTGACAATGTAGCACATGAACTTTTAGGGCCTGTGTGAAATTGTGAATAAACTAAACTATCTAAACTATGCTCATGGTGAAGTTTGGCTCCATCTCACAGTCTCCTAATGACTTACATGTAAAAGAATAAGTATGACACACATAAAGTAATCTGTGGTTTAGCGCTCTCTGCAATCCTGAAGTTTACATTATGATAAAGTCTTTGAAAATCTAAATATGGTTTGACAATAAGGCTTGACCAATCATATGCCTTAATTCACAGGGGAAACGCCATCTTGCCTTAGCAACTGTCTTACTGCTAATTTACACATCACGCGTTACAGCACGTACGCGTTATACGCGCAGCAGACGCGCGTAACTTTTTTCCATGTTAACTTATGATGATATTTACACTTCTAGCGTTATACGCGCGTATGACGGACATGTGACGCGAAGCTGCGCTCTAATTTAGGATGGATTTCTAATTTAGTGCGCGCACCAACGCGTCTCCCATTGAAATCTCATGTAAAACATGATTTTTCTAGCGGTCCTTGGCTCTAGATTGCATCTAAACACACACAGCACTTGTATCTAAACATCAGCAGGAGGAGCAACAGGTTTTACAGTGATTCTGGACATCGTATTTTTTCTTTCATAAAGTCTGGCGTCTGGCCAAACCAGCGCACAGAGACCATGAAGACAAACACATGCATGTGATTTGTGTTGCTCTACATCAGTCCTCTGGCCCGTACTGTCCTCTACACTGCTCCATAGACTACACAGGGACAGCATCAGAAGACGCGGACCTGCGCGCACGGCCTGTGTAGATACTCCAAAAAAATGTTACAGTAAACGCGTACGCGCTGTTTACGCCTACTGTGTGAATTCCCCGTAACGGGGAATTTACACAGTTATACGCGCGTATAACGCTAGAAGTGTAAATATCATCATAAATTAACATGGAAAAAAGTTACGCGCGTCTGCTGCGCGTATAACGCGTACGTGCTGTAACGCGTGATGTGTAAATTAGCAGTTAGCCCCTCAGTGTAAAGAGTAAAGGGTAAATGTCGTACTTAAGCTCCTGTTCCCGCAGACGTTCAATCTCTCGCTCCATCATCAGGTTGTTGTCGGGGACTGACCGGCTCTGCTCTCTGCGCTCTCTCCAGTACTGCTCGTAGTTAGCATTAGCCTCATAGTTTGCATCGTAGTTTGCGTCGTAGTTAGCTTCATAGCGAGCATTGTAGTTAGCTTCATAGTTCGCGTTAGCGTCGTAGTGGAGGGCTTGCAGTTGCATATTGTGGTCGTTGTGCGTATGTGACAGCTCCAACATGGCGGCAGCGGGCGGGGCATGGGACAGCTCCATCGTGGCAGGGGGGGCGGGGCTCTGATCGAGGGTGTAGTAAGATGGCGAGGCGGGGTGACTGGCACGACGGCGGTACTCAGGCTGCGACACGGAGAACACAGCAGTTAGAAAATGTGTGTGTCTGTGTGAGTCTGTGTGTGTCAGTGTGAGTCTGTGTGTGTCAGTGTGCATGTGTGAGTCTGTGTGTGTGTTTGTATGTGTGTGTCAATATGTGTGGTTTTACAGTATTGTACCTGTGGGGGGCGATAGTGCAGCGTGCGGCTCCTCTTCAGCCCGTGCTGCTGAGGTGGGTGTGGCCTCAGCGTCCTCCGGTGGCTGGATGGCGTGCTGCAGGTCGACAGGACTGGTGCATTTAGGCGTGACATCACAGAGTGGGCGGGGTTAAAGAGAGCACCGCTGCTCGAGCTGTGGCGGTTCAGACTCGGACGATCTGACTTGTGGAATTGGACTGAAGAGACCCTGAAAGACCAGGTTTAGACTGGGTTTAGACCAGTACTAGGCCAGAACAGAACTAGAGCAATGATCAGATGGAGAGTTCAAGTCAAGCTTTGGCGTACGTAACCTCAGTCTCATAAATAACACAAAGCTGAGGCCTGAAACTTTCTCCGTCAGAAAGAGTAGTAAAGTAAAATGTGAACAATTCAGTGCGTCTGTCTGACTCTTTGGATGAATGGCTGCTAATCCCAAGCTATAATGTTTTGTCACCCAGCTAAAGAGAAGCCTACCCCCATACTAGAGTTGCATACCCCAGTTGTAAATCCGGTGCCTGGAGTTACCTGAAGAGTCCTCTGGGGGGCAGCTCCGGCTCTGCGCCATGCTGTGGGCAGGGTGGCTGGTCCTGTGGGCGGGGCTTGTTGTCCTGGCCAGGATGAAGCTGACCGGGGTGCAGCTGACCGGGGTGCAGCTGGCCTGGGTGTACCTGCCCGGGTCGCACTGGCAGGCTCTCAGGGATGGCCTCCAGGAGAATCTTAGGGCAGCTGTCGCGACGCTCACTCCTGTCGTACGCCTCGTTCTGCAGCCTTGCATTGTACAGACGCATCCTCTTCTCCAGGAGCCGCTGGAAGTGACGAAACTCACCCGTGGACACGCTGAAGAAGCCTGAGTCACTGAGAGACCAGAGAGGGACATGAAAGACCAGAGAGACCAGAGGAACCAGTGACCAGAGGGGAGGGACCAGATATCAGAGAACCAGAGACCAAAGAGAGACCAAACCGTGGACACGCTGAAGAAGCTCAAGTCACTGCACTAGAGAGGGGTATGAGTGACCAGAGCTCAGAGGGACAAGAGAAACAAGAGAGACCAGAGACAAGATGGACCAGGGAGATTCCAGAGAAAGACCAGAGAGAGATAAGAGGGAGAGACCAGAGACCTCAGAGAGAGAAACCAGAGAGTGAACAGGGAGTGACCAGAGTAGCCGCAGAACAACACAAACCATAAAACCAGCCTTGCTACAAATTGACCAAAAATAATTTTCAGAAAATATAAGAGAGAAATATAAGCCCAGACCCCCCCCTGGTCGGTCAGCTGCCCTGACCTCATTTTAAAGGTGATTATCTAAACAACAATCTCAAAATAACATTCGACAAAACAACATAAAAGACCTCACAACGCTCAGATCTCAGCGCAGTCAGGCTTGTGCACACACAGCAGTGTTACCTGAGCTCGGAGGAGATGAAGGACTCTGAGGAAGGTGACCCGCCCATGCCTGTACGGCCCCCCGTGAGCCTGCACTCCTCCACCTCCTCGGTCTCCAGCCCCGACAGCTCCCCCTGGTGGACAGAGCCATCAGTCCATCCCAGACCACTGTCCAGCTCGTGGTGAAGGAAACCCAGAGGTTTGTCCAAGACCAGGTCCTCATCCTTCTGAAAGCACAAAGACTTACGTTTCAGAGACAAAAGAGACACAACAGAGAGAGAGACAAGAGAGAGAAACCAGAGAGACCATAGAGACCTCTGCTAAGAGAGTCCAGAGAGAGACCAGTGAGAGAGACCAGTGAGAGAGAGACAGAGACCAGAAAGGAGGAGAAAGAAACTCATCCACAACTACCGCACAAGATTCCAAGCTGTCATATATGTTAAAGGGAAATACACTCTACTGAGAACTGGGGGATGAAGACTTATGATCAGGGTCAGGGGCGGGGATTGTAACGTCATTATCATTTGAACATTTTCACACAAACAATGAGAGAAAATGTGTCGGACCTGGGTGTTGAAGCCCTTGCTCTCGGGAAGCTCCGGTCCACAGCAGCTCAAACAGCTGGGCTCTTTGGGGGCGTGGCTTAGCTCCGGGTCCTGCAACCACACAAATATTAATGATACCAGAGAGAGAGACCAGAGAGAGACCAGAGAGAGAGGCTTTATAAGGACATGAATGTGCATGTGGAGGAAGAGCACCACCTGCAGGGCAAGCTCCAGTGTGTCGCGCGGGGAACTGCTCAAGAAGCCGAAGCGCGGATCACAGTCCTGAGGCAGCTGACTGTAGAACGACCTGCAGCAGAAACATGGTGAAAACAGCTCTTCTGTCGGCTTCAGTCCTGTCCAGTTACACATCTCTTCTGTCAGCTTGTCTCACCTGGGCAGGTTCAGGTGTTGCAGGCCCAGGGGGAGGGGCTCCCAGCTGGAGATGTGGTCAGTCTTTTGGCCCCGCCTCTGGCTTTTGATCTGCATTGTGATTGGATGTTGAGCGGCGGCGAGGATCTGCAGAGCATCTCTTTGGCTCAGGTGAGTCAGGCTCCGCCCACTTACCTAAAGAGAGGAAACAAAATATTTAAATAAGCCCCATGCCTTCTGTCTCCACAGCTCCCCTTGTGGTCAGTGTCATATCTACAGCTCAACAGAACAGTGTACATTTTATATTGATCTAAAACCATGTAATTTCTCCAGTGTGAGATCAATAAAGTCTATCTTATCTTAAAACAAACAAGCAGTCGTATTAGTAGTGGTAGTACCAGCAATACTAGCAGTGGCTTTAAAGTCGTGTACCCCAGCTTTAATGCATTGTGTTAATTTCTCATACAGCTCTTTTCTCACCGTTTCATTACAGCATTATTCATTCACTCCACACACAGTAGTGATAAACTACGACTGTAGCCACAGCTGCCCCAGCAACAGTCTGTGCCAATTGGCCCCTCCCATCACCACCAACCATTCACCCACACACACACCAGATTCATTCTAATGTGGGTTAAGTTTTGCCTAAGGACACAACAACAGTTTGGCACAACAGCGGCCTCACTGTGGCACCTGGTGTTCCCGGAGGTCTCCCATCACAGTATTAACCAGACCCTGCCCCGATTAGCCTCAGTGGTCTGAGGAATCTGGCGTAACCATGGCTTTAAAATCATGTAACCTAAAATTAATGTTACACACCCCTGCTGTAAAGTCATGTACCCCAGCTTTAATGGACAGAAAATGATTTGGTGCCAGATGGAGGAGACAGAATGACACACAGCGATGGTGAGAACATCCCACTCACTGAAGAGTTTTAAAATAGATACGAGGAAGGCAATCGTAGAGCATAGACCTCCGGTAAGAGGCGCAGTCCCTGGATCCAGACTGAACCAGATCACGTCTCACCATGTGGAATTTACACACAAACCCTGGTGATTACAATGGGACTGAGGAGGTGATAATTCCCTCCACTCCTGCTCCTGTGCTTGTCAGCGCCACCTGCAGGCTGCATACAAAGTCTCACAGTCCTTGCATTTAGCTGTTGTTTGTGCAGCATCCCGCCTCCTCCCCACTGGGTCTGTGCAGTTATCAGGCGACATGATACAATTTCCACTGGTCACTGGTTTTTTCGCAGGAGTTATGTCTTCTAAAAATAACCCACAATAAGAGAAAGCCTTGAAGTAGCAGCTCTATGAGGTGAGGGCTGCAAAACCCCTCACCACACACCGGAGAGAGAGATCAGAAAGAGAGAGAGAGCAGATAGAGAAACACGAGAGAGAGACCGGAGAAAGAGAGACTTGAGGGAGATCAGAGAGAGACAAGAGTGAGAGACCAGAGAGACACATCAGAGAGAGACCAGAGAGGTGACTATAATGTTATACTAGTGTGTTCACGCCGTGTGTTGGAGTGAACACATGGCGTATGAGAAGCACAAAGATTCAGTGAAATGGCGTCAGATAAACCAAAAAAGTAAGGGGTCAGTGATAGAAGACATAAAAGATGAAAAGTTATACGCTCTCATTTTGGCCTCCTGAGTAAAACAGTTTGGACACCCATGAATGGGACAGAAGGGGTGGGGGTGGGGGGTGTTCCTGATGTTGTGTGGATGCAGGTAAACACAACCTCAGGTCAGTGTTGGTGAGGAGCAGTGGGACATGGAGGAAAGAGCATTTTACAGATCTGCAGCTGTGACTCCCACACAGAGGAGACGTCAGAAGAGGACCGGCTCACTCTGTCACTCCTCCTCTCCCTCTCTCCTCTCACCTCCTCTCTGCTTCTCATAATGCCACAAGAGAGGATGAGAAAACAGATGCAGGATGGCACATGAGAGAAAGCAGTGAAGAGAGGAGGAGGAGAAAACATATATATGCACATGGGGGAGAGGAGAGGAGAAGAGGGGAGAGAAAGAGAGAGGAGGTGGAGAAAACAGATGCACATGGGAGAAAGCGGAGAGGAGGAAGGCGCTGATGTTTTGCTGCTGCTCTAGTGTAACAGGTTTGTATGCGTTGGAACTGAGTGTGCAGAAACACATATGATGGAGGAGGAGGGGCAGAGGAGAGAGGAGTGGATAGGAGAGGAGAGCGGAGGTGAAAGTATAGGAGGAGAGAGGAGACACACAAAATGGAGTCCAGTCTTTATGAACCAGGTCCAGGTCCAAGATGCAGACGTGAGCCTCCATTTTGTGTCACATACAGAAATCCTCGTCTTCTCTGTGCAGCTGAAACATGACGATGATGAGGAGCTGAAGAGGAGGTGGTGATGATGATGGCGTCTCACCGTTTGGTCGCTCCACGGTCCCGACAGCCAGCAGCCCATCGTCCACGGAAACACCTCCAACAGAAACCAGAAAGAAACGAAAAACAGCAGCAGCAGCTCCTCACTGCATCTGCCCCCTCCTCATCTCCTACCTGTCTCCTAGCACCTCTTCTCCTAGCTTCTATCTCCTGTGTGTCCTAGCTCCTATCTCCTAGCTCCTCCTCACAGATGTCTCCTCTGTTTGTCTCCTAGCTCCTTCTCTCCTTCTCTCCGTCCTTCAGAGGATCTAGACTCCTCCTTGTGCGTAGAGGCTCCAGGGAGAGATGGGGAGAGGAGGGAGGTCGGGGGAGAGGAGGGAGTGAAGGACCCCCTCCCCATTTATGTTTTGAATGGTTTATCACTATGGCAACGGCCTTATTTTCACACCTTCCTGAAGCTGCACGCACATCCATCTTGAGTAGAAATTACTGGACCCAAGAAAAACAGCAGAGAATCATGGGAGATAGAGTCGCTGCTGCTGTTTCCATAGCAACTACCTCTTCAACGTCAAGTCAGGACCAGGATTGAACCTGGACTGGACCAGGACTTGACCAGATCTAGAGCATAGTCTGGACCAGGACTGGACCAAGACTAGACCAGCACATGATACACGCACATGAATATGCACACACACACACACGCACACACCCACAAACACACACATACAAAAACACGCACACACATAAAGCTATAAATGGAAGCTGCACGTTCTGTTGCTACAGTAGATTTTCCCTCTGGCCAAGCATCTGAACCATTCAAGGTGACGTCATCAACCCCCCCCTACCCCTTCTGTGGGAATGCACTGTTCTCAAACTCAGTACACACGGACGTCATAGTTTTGCCTTAATTACAGCTGTGTCTTTGGTGTGCACCATATTAGATTAACTATCATGTCATGTCGCACACTAGTGGCAGTGCTGCTCACCTGACAATCTCCATTACATGTGTATCTAAATGTTTTATACTTTTTACTAACACATGATTAATTTACACAATATTTCACATGAATAAACATCAACATCAAAAATCGCATTTGTTCGTCCTACATCTAATTTTAATCAGGGCTACGTAACATTTAGGTTAATGTATGTACCCCAGCATTAATCATGAGATAATATTTACAGTCTGTGATTATTCATGAGACTACATTTACATACCCCAGTTTATGCATGGTATTTATGATATTGAAGTTATGTACCCAGCTTTAGACATGTGTTATTTTAAATGTACGTAGTCCAGCTTTCGTCTATCTATTTCGCCTTCCGTCTCCCCTTCCGGCATCCGTCCCTCTCTGCACACACTCGCCCCGGAGTTTTCTCATAGTTTGATGAGTTTTTATTGTTTTTAGTCTTACTTTAAACACGGAGCCTGTGGGGTCTGCTATGGTGCTGTCCGCACACTGAGCACCAACTCTCTGCATCACAGTGCGAGCTCTCCGGGGAGCCCCGACGTAGCCACTAATGCTAAAGCTAATGCTAAAGCTAATGCTAAAGCTAACATAGCGTAAACAAGAGGAACACGTGAGTCATAATTCATGTAATATTACTTTTGTTATTTGTATGTGCGGTATCTGCCATAATTACACATTCATACAAAATAACTATCTCGCTAAACCATGATAAAATGTTTTATATTCATCGGAAAATAGATCGAATAGGAGCATGAGTACGTTACATTAATCTCATACATAAATGAGCATGTCATTTAAAGATTCTTAGAGTGCAGTGTTGTGAACAGAAATCAGACACACCATGCTGTCTTCATGATTGTGTAAGAAAGAGCCCTGTGATATGGATTTTATTAGAATTCTATTGTTGTGGTCTGAAAGTTGCATTCCCCAGCTTTAAAATACGTACCGCAGCTTAAAGTCATGGCTAACCCTTCTGGTCTCTTTCTGGTCTCTCTCTGGTCCTAGACTTGATCTGGTTTTGGTCTAACGTTGCTGTGACCTACAGAATGGCCTGTCCTCCCTCCAAACGCCTGCGTGCCTCTGGTCCAGCTCTGATCCTGGACTTGGATCCGTTTGATGAGGACTTCACTCAAGATGACCTGGATGAGATGGACGTCATCGCATCACAGGCTATCACCACAGAAACGAGAGAAGAGGTCAGGGTACCAGGAGGAGGGACCATGGCAACAAGAGGAGGGGCCATGGCAACGGTAGGGGGCACCATGGCAACGGGAGGCGGGACCATGGCAATGGGAGGAGAGAGGATGCCAAAGGGAGGAGGGACCATGGCAACTAGAGGAGGGGCCATGGCAAAGGGAGGAGGGACCCCATCAACAGCCTCCAGAGCAGCATGCAGCACCCTCACTGGTGCGTTCATTCCACAGATTGTATACTAATTGACAATGTTAATCCGCTAGCTTAACGCTAACGCACTCCCTTACAATGGTGACGTAACACTCAGTCAGTCCACTCCTAATGTACAGACTGCATCAGCCACATGTTTCTGTTTCAGGTTCCTGGACAGTGGAAAGTCAGGAGACCCATCAAGCAGAACTCCAGAGGAAGGTGAGGACAGTTCTGTAATGATAGGCATACTATTGAGTTACCACAAGGTGGCAGTATAGCCTTGACGGTACGTTGACATAAGGAGAGGTAGATGCTGTTCAAGAGGAGACCACGTTGTTCACGTTGTTAATAAAAACAATAAATAGCTTGCAGCTCACAGAAGCTACAACCACAAATGTTCATGAGTGACTTTTTGAATAACAGAAGGCAGAACATTACATGGTACCAGGTCGCGGGTCAAGAAAAGAACTGATGCAAGATGGACGCAGTAAAACCACCAGCTCAGCTGAAAATGACGGGGAATGTGGACGCGAAGTGGCGAACCTTCAAGCAGCAATTTCAGCTCTACATTGCCGCGGTCGGAGTGGATCGTCGGGCGGACGAAAGAAAAATAGCCCTTTTGCTAACCATTGCCGGAGCGGAGGCTATTGAACTTTTCAACACGTTTGTATATGATCAACCCGATGATAAAGACAAGTTTGAGGAGGTCCTGAAGAAATTTGACGAACACTGTCTCTCAAAGAAAAATGAAACTTATGAGAGATATGTATTTCGTTCTCGTCTCCAACAGCCTGGTGAGTCGTTCGATAATTATCTAACCGATCTCAAAATAAAAGCTCAGTCCTGCAACTTTGGTGATCTAAACTCAATGATAAGAGATCAGGTATTTGGGACGAATGAAAAGAAGCTAAGAGAAAAGCTGTTGAGGGAAGCGGATCTCACACTGGAAAGTGCAATAAAAATATGTCAAGCTAACGAACTAGCAAAGCAACATGCACTTACTTTTCAAGCGGCGCCATATGATCAAGAAAGCGAGTCCGTGAACGCAGTGATAATGAAAAGAAAATCACGGTTTAAGTTCAAACAAAAAGACAAAAATAGAGATGACGATCAAACACAGTTTGACTGTAAGAAGTGTGGTGAGACGCACGGACCGAGACAATGCCCTGCATTTGGGAAAACATGTGCAAAGTGTAAAAAGCAAAATCACTATGCGAAAATGTGCCATACCAGAAAAAAGATACACACAGTACAGGAAGACTCAGATGACAGTGATGATTTGAGTGAGACATTTTTCATCAAAATGGTGTCGTGTGAGAAAAACTATGTGCAGCCCAGAAATACAAGTGACACAGAGCATACTGTACGTGCAGTAAAAGATGACAAATCGATCCTTGGAGACAAAGCATCTGAAGATCTTGGACTAATCAAGAGGATCTACCAAATCAATAGTGAAAACATAAAAATAGACAATCCAATCAAAAGACTCTCGCAAAGTGAAGGTAGCACAAGTGTAGTGAACAAATACCCAAACGTCTTTAAAGGACATGGTACACTGCCTTACACTTACAAAATACAGCTCAAGGAAGATGCTAAACCTGTAGTGCATGCCCCAAGGAGAGTGCCAGCACCGCTCAAAGCAGGACTTAAAAAGGAGCTGAACAGAATGACACAGATGGGAGTCATTGAGCGAGTGGAAGAGCCCACAGACTGGGTTAATTCCATCACGTGTGTTAAAAAACGACACTCCCCTGAGTTACGTGTCTGCCTAGATCCTAAAGATTTGAATGAAAACATTAAAAGAGAACATTATCAAATCCCCAAGCGTGAAGAAATCCTGAGTGACATGGCTGGTGCTAAGTACTTCAGCAAACTAGATGCCTCGCATGGATTTTGGCAGCTGAAACTAGATCCAGAAAGCAGCAGGTACACCACCTTTAACACACCATTTGGGCGTTACTGTTTTCTGAGGCTTCCATTTGGCATTAAGTCAGCGCCAGAGATCTTTCACAGAGCTATGGAGTCAATCATAGAGGGTCTAGAAGGAACACGAGTGTACATTGATGACTTAGTTGTCTGGGGAAACACAAAACAACAACATGATGAGAGACTTGAGAAGCTGTTACGGAGAGTGAAAAAGTACGGACTAAAACTAAAAAGAGAGAAATGTCTTTTTGGAGTGACAGAAATGAAATTTTTGGGAGACAAGCTCACAGCAGATGGTGTGCTCCCTGACAAAACAAAAGTGCAAGCCATACTGGACATGCCGGCTCCAACTGATAAAAAAGGAGTTTTGCGGGCTATGGGGATGGTTAACTTTTTGGGTAAGTTCATTCCCAACCTCTCCTCAAAGACTAAATGCCTCAGAGAACTGCTACATCACAACATGGCATTTGAGTGGACAACAAAACATGAAAAAGAATGGAAAGAACTGAAGAGATCTGTGACTGCTGAACCAGTCTTAACCTACTTTGATCCAACAAAACCAACCAAAATCTCCACTGATGCTTCAAAAGACGGACTAGGAGCCGTATTGCTACAAGTGAAGGAAGAAAAATGGCAACCTGTGGCATATGCATCTAGATCAATGACAGAGACTGAACAACGCTATGCTCAGATTGAAAAGGAGACGCTGGGCCTAGTGTTTGGGTGTGGGAAGTTTCACACTTATGTTTATGGACTGCCCACATTCACAGCAGAAACTGATCATAAACCACTCATATCAATCCGTAAAAAGAATCTCAATGACATGTCGCCCAGAATCCAACGCATGATGTTAACATTGCAGCGCTATGACTTTGACTTAATATACACGCCAGGTAAATACATAGTGCTTGCTGACACACTTTCTCGAGCACCAGCACTTAACAGTGGCACAGCTGAGAGCACCACAGCAGAAGATGCTGAAACGCACATCAACATGGTCACTGCCTCACTGCCTGCATCAGACACCATGCTGCAGCAGATTGTTAAAGAGACAGCAAAAGACTCTATGCTACACAAAGTGTCTCACTGTGTCAACAACGGCTGGACAAAAGGAGTTTGCCCACAGTTTTTCCCGGTACGGGCAGAGCTGTGCATGTCAAACGGACTCCTGCTGAGAAAGAACAAGATTGTTATCCCACAAATCATGCGCAAGGACATGCTTCAACGTCTTCATGAAGGACACCTGGTTGTGGAAAAATGTAAAAGAAGAGCACGTGAAGCCATATACTGGCCAGGCATCAACAAAGACATAGAGGAAATGATTCAGAGATGTGACATTTGCCTCAGACACCACTACAAACAAGTCAAGGAGCCAATGCTGATGGTCGACCTTCCCACTGCTCCTTGGCAAAAGGTGGGTACAGATTTATTTCATCTGTATGGCAAGGACTATCTTCTTGTTATAGACTATTACTCGAACTATCCTGAGATTGCACAACTCTCCAGCACCACTGCACAGTCTGTTATAGTGCACATGAAAGGGTTCTTTGCCAGGCACGGAATCCCACAATGTGTTGTGAGTGACAACGGTCCGCAGTATGACTGTGGAAGTTTAAAGAGTTTGCAAAACACTACGGATTCAAGCATGTTACCTCAAGCCCATTGTACCCACAAGCCAATGGTCAGGCTGAAAAGGGAGTACAAATTGTTAAGAGACTTCTGAAGAAAGCCAAGGATGGTAGGACTGATCCTCACCTTGCTTTACTAAGCTACAGAGCTGCACCTCTGGAGTGTGGAGCGTCCCCGGCTGAGCTACTCATGTGTCGCAAGCTCCGCACCACACTACCGCAACTGCAACAAGGACGTGACAAAGACAACTGGATTGACGACAAAAAGAGACTCAAACTTAGACAAAAAATGGCCTATGACAGAGCTACAAAATGTTTGGAACCTCTTTGTGAAAAGGACACTGTGAGAATCGAGGGACCCAATTGCTGGGACAGAAAAGCCACTGTGCTCAGTGAAGTCGGACCTAGATCTTACATCGTGGAAACGGAGGATGGACATACAGTGAGGAGAAACAGGAGGAGTCTGTTAAAGACTCATGAAAACACTGACAAACATGGTGAAGCTGAATGTGAAAAACAAAGTGATACATCAAATGCACACCAAGCTGAGCCGCATACCACAACCTCTCAAATGACTGAACCAATCAGAAGGTCTACTAGACCTAGTAAACCACCTGAAAGACTTATTGAAAAAGTATAATGTTAAACATTGTTGCTTAAAGTAGAGTGCCTTGTAATTGTTACTTGTTTTATTAGGTACTTGAATTGTGCAACATTTTGACATTTTGTATTTTGACATTTTGTATTTACTTAAGGCTTTATTCCAACAAGAAGTTCAAATGTACAAAAAATCTGTTTTATTAACGTTGGTTTTATAACTTTGGAAAGAGGATGTAATGATAGGCATACTATTGAGTTACCACAAGGTGGCAGTATAGCCTTGACGGTACGTTGACATAAGGAGAGGTAGATACGCTGTTCAAGAGGAGACCACGTTGTTCACGTTGTTAATAAAAACAATAAATAGCTTGCAGCTCACAGAAGCTACAACCACAAATGTTCATGAGTGACTTCTTGAATAACAGAAGGCAGAACATTACAAGTTCTACTGGAGAAACACAGCACTACAGTCTCATGTAGGCTCCCCCTGCTGTCAGAGCACAGCACTACATTCTCATGTGGCTCCACTACAGTGTGGACTAGAGGGTGTGTGTTCTGTTGCCATGTTATCTGCAACAGCCATCTTGTGTTTACAGAAGAGCAGACTGAATGGTCAGCCTAAAGATTTTCCTGGCTTTGACCTGGGCCTTACACAGCTTTCACAGGTGCCTCAGATGATGTCCCGTCTCTCAGTGATGATGTTATGTCTCCATAGCTCACTCTGGTGGAAGAGGAGTTGCAGCTGAAATCTGGTGAAGTCCGAGTCCTCAGAGACTCCCTGAGGTCAGCTCAGCAGGAGGCAGAGTCTCACAAGCTCCGAGAGCTGAGAGTCCACAAAGAACGAGAGGCTGAGCAGAGCCAGAGGGAGAGGGAACTGCTCAAGAAGGTACTACAGCTTTAGGATTAAGTAGCATTTAGATTGTAATAATTCAATTGTATAATTAAATAAATAATTCAGATTCAATTGTAATCATTTTGATTTTTATATCTTAAAAGTGTATGCTGATTTTTACAATGCCTTACTCTATTCTCTACCTCTCTTCTTTGACTGTTGCACCGAGAGCCAAAGCAATTTTCTAGTCTGTGACTTCCTATTACTTATATGGTAATAAAAATGATTCTGATTCTGGCATACTGTCTCAAGAGAATGAGAACTAAGGCTGGAGGCATATGTCCACAAGCACTGTGTCCCCCATTGTTGTCCTGGTTTAATCCTAGTGTAGCCCTGGATTCTCTTTTTCTGGCTGTTTTTGAGTGTTTTTGTCTTCGTTCTTACCCTGACCAGCTTGTGTCCCTGTGACCAATTTGCGGCTCTCTGATTGATTTGTGTCTGATGGAAAAAAGTTCAACAACGTTTATCTCTGCTTACGCTGCATGCATTGAGTTGCCGTATCCACCCCTTCTGCCACGTCAGACAAACCGGCATGCCACAACACACATGCAAATATGCGCACATATGTATGTCACCATTGACTTTGCTATGCACAGGGTCTGGGGTGAACACCCCTTTTAGAGCTAACTCAAACCATGAATGTATTATATGATCTCAGTTCTTTCTCTGGTTTATGTCTCTCTGATCTCCCCCTGGTCTGTCCCTTTGACCTCTCTGGTCTCGGTATCGCTAGTTTCTGGTCTTTGGTCTCTGAAATGAAACGGCACTTACTCTGTGATGCAAAAGCTAAGCGTTTACAGAGGGGCAAAAAAGTATTTAGTCAGCCATCAATTGTGCAAGTTCTCCCACTTAAAAAGATGAGAGAGGCCTGTAATTTTAATAATGGTATACCTCAAAATCAAGAAAATCATATTGTCTGATTTTTAAAGAATTTAATTGCAATTTATGGTGAAAAATAAGTATTTGGACGATAAAGGTTCATCTTAATACTTTGTTATCGAACATTATTTGGCAATGACAGCTCAAACGTTACCTGTAAGTCTGTAAGGTATTCACACACTTGCTGGTATTTTGGCTCATTCCTCCATGCATATCTAGGCCTCCCTCATATTTTTAAATGTAAATGTAAATGTGCACTTTATTGTCCTCTGCATTTGACCCATCCTGATGCCACTAAGGCTTACGAGGGAGGAGTTGCACAATTGGTGGCTTACTAAATACTTTTTTCGCCCCACTGTATATAATACATGCATGGCCTGCTTAGCCATGGAATCAGTCGACACGCGAAGGGAGGGGAATCATAAGCAAGGAGGTGGGGGGGAGCAGATCCTGAACTGGGGGTGAGCACAGCACAGTGAAGGCAATCAAGCAAAGCGGCAAAAGTTAAATATAAACATTATATTGGTATTTTACGATATGTCATTCATATTGAGTTTTAAAAATATCTTAATATTTACATCATATTGAGATATCATCCACTCCGTCTCTGGTCTCACTGGGCTTTGGTCTCAGGTCCAGTCCCTGGAGTCTCAGCTTCAGTTTCAAGAGGCAGAGCTGAACGACATGAGGAGCAGGCGTCCGAGCCGCAGCTCTCCGCTCTGCAGAAACAGGTCTGTACTAAATTAAGCAGATGTGGGACTGGTCAGGGCTTTGATGGGAGACATGCCGTTTTCATCTCAATAGAAAACATACTAACTTTAGTGTAAGAATGAGCCCTGTAAGCCACTATTTTGAGAGCTGATTTGCTGAGTGAGTGTGGTCCTCTCTTTGTCCCTTTTTTGTCTGAACTTTGATCTAAAGATGTGACAGAGGCCACATATACATGATGTGAAAACTAGTGATGGAAACAAATTGTTTTAGAGCCGGGAACTAAAGACATTGGTTTATTACAGAGTCCTACTGTAAAGCTTTAAAGTTATGTACCACAGCTTTAAAGGTTCCATATTACGCTTTTCGTCATGTTTCACAGTCCATCCTATGCCCCTGTGTGATAATTGTCTGAGTGATACACCACACAACACTCAAAACTTGTGAGATTAGAGCCATGTCTTGCATAGAAGTGACATCACCTCAATTCAAACGAGCTGATCTAGAGAGTGGTCTGCTCCTCTGACTGTGAAACCACCCCCCCCACACGGGGACGTAGCATCACTCTGCAAGTTGTTTATCTTCGGTACTTAGTCCTTTCAGACCTGAGAATAAACGTTTTTCTACAATGACAATCTGTAACATCGAGCCCTTTGTCCTTGATCCACAATCAGACCCTGATTATTTAGTTTACAGAAGTATACGTCGAGTTAGCATCACTTTAATCACAGATCAGGGGGGTCCATGATAGCGTTTTTTTGTGTGTGGGAATAACACTGGTTTCCAGATCAGTTTTTGAGTAAGTCCGGTTCCATGGTATCTGTAGTTCTGGAACAGTCTAGTTAAGTGTCGCAGAAGAACAGATTCATTCGAACAGATTCATTCAAACAGAGGCAAATCCACATGAAAAAAAAGGCGAGTAGCATTCTTCCTCTTTGGGCCAAATAGTGCGTCACATATTTACACCCAAAACACATGTTCTCCAAGTTGACATGATCTTAACACTTTTAGTCGCTGACAAAAGCAGAAAAACAGCAGCATGTGGTGTCTGCGGGACCAAACCACAGACATACGCTGGACTCGGCAGCTGCCTGTGCACCGTGATTCGCTGTTTCCATTTGTCGATCATTATTTTTAACAACAAACAGCATATCTATTGTAAATTGTTTTCCCTGTTTTGACGACAGTATTTAAGAACCATTTTAAATACAACAAAAACGGGCTTCTGTGCGTCATATTTGTCATCAATGTGGAAATCGTCACATGTGGACCATGGCGTTTCACTGCCTCTCGAGGGTGAAAGAGAAAGAACATTCTCTAACTAAAGCTTGAAGGAATCAATTAAAAAACTTCTCTGGGCATGTGTATGAGGCCAAATAGCACTGTAATCATGTTTAAAGCAGAGCAAGTCAAAAAGCGTAATATGGGCCCTTTTTAATAAGTTATGTTTTTCCCTCAGTCCCAAACTACAGAGCTCAGCGTCACCCTCTGGCGGCTTCATCACCAAAGAGTCCTTCAGTGCACAAGTCAAACTGGCCAATCACAGCACTGAAGCAGTGGCATCAGCCAATCACAGTGAAGTAAAGACACCTTCAAAGATCCGGCGGCATGAGGCGTCCCGTGAAGACCCGTTCATGAGAGTGAGACCTCCACGGACCCCGAGACCAGGTCTGGACCAGGACTGGACCAGGACTGAACCAGGACTGAACCCGGGTCTGTAGGCCGGGACGGAAGGTCGGGACTGAACCACAGTGGGTGAGGCTGTAATGCTGTGTTCTTCCTCTAGGGGGCGCCCTTCTGAGTCTACTTTGTCACAGAGCAAGTCTGTGCCACCTCCTGACTCCAAGTCCAAGGTACGAGACCAGGACTGGACTGGGACTGGACTGTCTTCACATCTGGACTGGGTCATAGTCCGCTGGACCTGGGTTCTTATCCTCTCATGCGCTATTGTCTGTCCTTGCAGCTCATTGGCTGGTGGTGATGTCATCGCTTCAGGTCCGAATCCAGTTCAGGGTCTGGTTTTAACCGGACTCAACATGTTGAGTTTGGACCACAGCAGGTACTAGAACTACAGCAGTTACCAGGACTACAGCAGTTACTAGGACTACAGCAGTTACTAGGACTACAGTAGGCACCAGGACTACAGCAGTTACTAGGACTACAGTAGGCACCAGGATTACAGCAGGTACTAGGACTACAGCAGGTACCAGGACTACAGCAGGTACCAGGACTACAATAGGTACCAGGACTACAGCAGGTACTAGGACTACAGCAGGTACCAGGACTACAGCAGGTACCAGGACTACAGCAGGTACCAGGATTACAGCAGGTACTAGGACTACAGCAGGTACCAGGACTACAGCAGGTACCAGGACTACAGCAGGTACCAGGATTACAGCAGGTACTAGGACTACAGCAGGTACCAGGACTACAGCAGGTACCAGGACTACAATAGGTACTAGGACTACAGCAGGTACCAGGACTACAGCAGGTACCAGGACTACAGCAGGTACCAGGATTACAGCAGGTACTAGGACTACAGCAGGTACCAGGACTACAGCAGGTACCAGGACTACAATAGGTACCAGGACTACAGCAAGTACCAGGATTACAGCAGGTACTAGGACTACAGCAGGTACCAGGACTACAATAGGTACCAGGACTACAGCAGGTACCATGGGTTCTGGTTGGACTGAAGCTACTGCAGGAGCGTTGTCTCTTATTCCACTAAAACCAGGGCTTTCAAAGCGGTCCTCTGTAGCTGCATGTTTTCGTTCCAACCTGAACAGGAGCACACGAGACTGTTTGCTCCTGCTCAGGTTGAAACTAAAACCAACAGCAACACGGTCCTTTCAGGAACCGGTTTGACACTCTTGGGTTAGAGAAGCTATACCTAATTTTTTTTCTAAGTAGTTAATAAAAATGCTTTTTACTACATACAAGTTGTATCATAATACATAATTTAATTGAAAACTTGAGGTCATTGATTCAGCTGTGTATGAAATTTAAGCCGTGAAAAGTGCCGAGTAGAGTCTTAGCGGGACACTCGTTCTCCTCCGCTCACAGAACGAGCAGCGAACAGCCTGCGTCCTCTAGCCTCTACAGCGCTGCTTAACACCAGGGCTTCAACTTCAAAATTCAAATATAATTCAAAAATAAAATATATATATATATATATATATATATTCGAACAAATATTAGACAGCCCTTATCATTCGAAATGTATTTAATGACTGCAAATAAAATAGTTAGCTCCCAAAGGTTTCACCAGGACGTGCTAGGCAGGTAACAGCTAAGCTAGCTAGCTGTTTCATGGTAACTTCCGGGTTTTTCGCGATCGCTTTTTGTCACTTTAAGAATTGTATTCAAGTCAATGGAGTGTTCTACTGCTGCTGTGAGGAGCTGTATAGTGAATTATAATTAAATATTAGAATATCTTCTAATGTTTAAATTAATACATTCGGACGCGAAACTAATGGTATTCTTTTACTTATATATTGTGTTAGCAGTGCATTGCTTTTGTACCATTTCATCAGTGATTGTTGTACAGCTTACAAGAAGTTGTGCTAATGCTAATGTTAGCATACATATCAGATCGCAAATAAAACTAGGTGGCTCTGTGTTATGAGAGCGTAGAGGAAATGAGAAGCCTGTGAGCGAGTTAGGGGGCAGTGCTAAACATTCAAACATTGCAGAAACGGGTATAGTGCCTTTTTAAGCCCTGGCTCCACAACTGCTGTATCTCCTCAGGTCCAGAGGGGGCGCTCTCCTGCTCCTGCCCCTCCTTCACACTCAGCTGTCGGACGTCCCAGCATCCTCTGTGGTAGGACGCTTTTATCATGTTTGTGACATAGCGTACGTGAAGACTGGTCTGACTGTGTGACATCACCAGAGTCTTAGCCTTAATGCAGAAGAATCAGATTTGAACATAAGTCAGATGGAGCCAATTTCCTTATACAGGCATTTGTTGTAGCTTCGCTGTGGAACAGGAGCAGACGTGCTGCTAAGAAGTTTCTCCCGCGAATTAAGGCATCATATTTGGATTTACAAAGACATTATCACAGTGTAAACACTAGGATCACAGAGAGCGCTAAACCACGGATTTAAGTCCAAAATGGTGAGTGTGACACAGTTACAGGGCTAGAGTACTTTACGTTCACCTCTAAGTCATCAGGAGCCAGACTGAGTTAGAGCCAAGCTTCCCCATGAGCACTTCCCTAGTGGGCTTCATTGAATTAGCGAGTTAGCATTGTCCATCTGTAGCATGGATCTATTACAATAACCATCCATCCATCCATTTTCTTCCGCTTCATCCATTGGAATGAAGCGGAAGAAAACTGGACCCTAACTGGATAGGGTATTGCAGCTTGGAGCTGAAGGACCCATGTGCTCGCGAGATTCTCGCGGTACTGCAGAGTAAATAAGACTTAAGTCATGTGGGCTACCCAGAAATGTCCCCATAGAACTCAATGTAAACTAAAACAGCTCAACCTCAGCTGACAGAGAACGTACAGTTTTCATAAAGTTCATATTTTGTGGGGATTTTAGTGTCCCTTGTCATCCTGAACTTTTTTTCTTCTTAAATCCTCAGAAATCCTTTTCTTTAAATCCACACATTAGTGCCACAAACTCTGCTTGTTTGGCACCCGCTTTAACTCCCGCTTTAGCTCCGCTCGGATCATCAGCGCTGATTGGTCAGAGCGTGGCCAAGCCCCTCTGTGCACGTGCATGAGAGCCACACACGCGTATTTGGCGTAACGCATTGCGGGAGCTCATCAACTGCGCAGAACCGGGACGACCAGACGATGCCCAAATATAGGCGAGTTCTGCTAACATGTCAGCGCCCGTGCCGGCACAATGCGCCACTGAGCACAAACCATTCATTTGAATACGACGCCATCTTGGATTGCCGGGGCTTGATCTGTATACCGTCTATATGTGTTGTGGTGACAGGTGCCCTCTACTGCCCCCGCGGTGAAGCTGCACCCTCCAGACCCCCCAAGACAGACCCAAGGCCCAGAGGAGGTGGTAGTGAGTCTGCAGGTGCTAACCACTCTGCTACAACACAGCCCTGAGGTACACTCTCTAATGTTAGGGTTAACAGACAAGACCCAGACCTGGGACCGGGACTATAATCTCTGCTTCTGTTCAGGTGGTAGAGTCCATTCTGTCGGGGAAGACTCTCAATACTGCAGATTCAACGGTAAATAAGGAAATACTGATTTTGAGTCTCCGTTTCCCAGAGGGCTTGGCTGTCATAACCTCTCTTGTGACTACATTTCCCAGAGTGCTTTGCTGCAATGTGTCCTGAGGCTCTGCAGATCTCCTCACGCTGATGTCACATGCGCCGCGCTGACGACTCTGCTCATGCTGCTGCAGAGGAGTCCAGAGAGCCACAAAACAAGGTCTGACATAGGTCTGAACCAGGTTCGAACCAAGGTGATCCAAGATGGTGCTCTATTCAAATCCATGGCAGTAGCGCATGGGACATGCATGGGGACCGAAAGATTAGCAGAAGATTTGCATCGTCTGGTTCTGCGTGGTGGACGAGCCGCATTTTGATCAATCAGAGCTGCTGATCAGAGCTGCTGATCAGAGCTGCTGATCAGAGCGGAGTTAGAGCAGGAAGAAAATAAGACGTTTGTGGATTTATTGAAAACTGAAGGATTTATGAAGAAAAAAGGTTCAGGATGACAAGGGACACTAAAATCCCCACAAAATCTGATCTTTTTGAAATCTGCAGGTTCACTGTCAGCTGAGGTTGATCTGTTTTATTAAAAGTATTGGGTTCTTCTATACCAGACAAAAAAAGTTTTTGTGGTGACATTTGTGGTGACATTGACCTTGACATGTTTCGACGGATAACTTCCGTCTTCCTCAGAAGCGTCTCGTCTTGTCTTGAGCTGTTTTCGTTTACATTTCTTCGATGTTCTACGGCGAAAATGTCTGTGTAGCCCACATGAAATTATCAGCAGTTCCCCGCCCCCTGTGCCCATTGGTGGGACAGCTATAAGGTAGTAATACCCTATCCAGATATTATTATCGAGCCATGGTCTGAACGGTGACTGAACCAGGACTGAACCTGTCTCCTGGACCTGGTCTCACGTGCTGTTCCATGTGTGTCCTGCAGATGGGACTGTGTCCTGTCGGAGGTGTGTGCGTGTGTATCAGCTGATCAGAGGTTAAAGGTCGTGAGTCTATGTGTCTCTGTGCTCACGTCCCTCAGCGACAACGGGACTGTCCTGGACCTACTGTGTTCCCAAGGTACAAGTACTTCGATAATGTAGTACTACAGTACTTCAATACTTCAATACATTATAGTACTACAACCGACTTTCGTCACCCGTAGTTATTTTATCATAAATGCTGTATATAATGGTAATTCTTTGCTGCAGAACCCTGTGTAGTACTCCGAATACTGCAGTTTGTCCGCAGCAGATCTGATCCAGAGGCGACTCACACCGACTGGGTCCAGCTGGACTTTAAGGTATAGCACCAACACAAGACCCAAACCAGACTCTCTAGTGTCTCTATAGTTTCTCTCTGGTCTCTCTATCGGGCCTTTCTCTGGTCACTCTCACAGGCCTTTCTCAGGTCTCTCTGGTTTCTTTCTCTGACCTCTCGCTGGTCTCTCAGACGTGTTTCTTCTTTCAGGTGATCCGGTTTTTAAGTCGAATCCTGGCTCAAAGTTCAGAGCGACCCACAAACATCCACTGCCAGTGCAACAGCGAGGTAAACCAGGTCTAAACCAGGTCTAAACCAGGTCTAAACCAGGTCTAGACCAGGTCTAAACCAGGACTCTATTGTATTATCTTTTCAGTTGGTCCAGTGTGTGGTCCTGGTTCTTCATAGGCTCTGGTTGGACCTGAGATCGCCACAGGCCCCGCCCACACCTGCACAGGCCCCACCCACCTCATCACACCTAAAGGCGCATGTCCACGCGTCGCTACAGGAGACGGTGCTGCTGTTTCATTGGCTGCTGCAGAATCACCGCAGTTTTACAGAGAGCTTGAGAGGAGTCTTCCACCTGTACGACCAAGTTATACCAGGACTGAGACCAAAACCAGGTCTGAAACCAGGTCTGGAAGCGGGTCTGAACCAGGACTGCAGTCAAGACTACAGCCAGGGTAAGTGTGGCCGGGGCCGAGGCCGGTGTTCTGTCGATTTGTGCTACCTCAGCTGTCTATGGTGTAATGCGAACCTGCGCATGCGTGTCTCACGGCAGCCGATGCAAACCAAGATGGAGGACATAAAGTCAGTGAATTGTTTAAATATGAACAAATAAAGACACAAATGTCACTTTTAAAGCAATTTTAGGTAAGATGTTGATGGTTCCATGTTGTGATGTGTGGGTTTTAAAGCTGCACTGACTGACTTTGAGAAATGTTCGAATGTGAACGGTGAGCTCGCTCTCTGCTTGCCCTCCCCACACGGAGCTTTCGTCCCCCACTACCCCCCTCCCTCTCAGCCTGCGCTCACATGCTAGCTAATTGTATACGGAGCTCACGTCTCACAATATGGATTGCACATTTGCACCTGGATGGTGTGACCATAGAAGGATAGAACCGGGAAGCGCGGAGAGGACGAGACTTTCTTTTGGATGGCTGTTTTGCTGTGTAAGCAGTAACTGGTAACGAAGACACGGGAAGCTTCAGGTTAGCCTCCGCCGCTTGTTTACTTTAGCTGTCTGTGCTAACGAGAGACCTGTGGCTTTTCTCAAGAAAGTGAGGGCCAGTGGTCCGCTGTGATTGGTTACAATCTGGACCCGAAACACATTCTCTTCCTTGTTTCACGAAAACTCGATCTAAAATTAAATGACACGGCAGCACAAATCTGCGCTACTTTTTCTTCAAAAGGACGTATATCCCAATGCATTGCATAGATATGGATTGAATTTTTGTAATGAATACAAAAATAAAGTCAGTTAGTGCAGCTTTAAGAGTCAACGTTTTGTGTAAAGTTTGGTTTTAAGTAGTCAACTGCTACTGTTAATGACACAACCGTGTGAAAGCAGTCCTCTTGTCGAGTTGAACTGCTGCATACTTAATTTGACTGACGCGTCCTGTGGCTAACTCGACAGCTGATAACTAACAACTGGTCTTTGATAATGGAAATAATAACCAAAATCAAAGTTGTAAGCTAATAGCTGTTGGGTTAGCCACAGGACGCGTCTGTCAGTAAAATGACGTATGCGGCAGTTCAACTCGACAAGAGGACTGCTATCACACGGTTGTGTCATTAACAGTAGCAGTTGACTACTTAAACCAAACTTTACACGAAACGTTGACTCTTAAAGTTGCACTAACTGACTTTATTTTTATATTCTTTACAGGAGCTGTTGACTGCTTAAACCACACATATCACAACATGGAACCATCAACATCTTGCTTCAAATTGCATTAAAACCGAAATTCGAGTCTTTATGTGTTCTAATTAAAAAATTTCAAACAGTTTATGGACTTTATGTTTGCCATCTTTGTTTGCTTTGGCTGCCGTGAAACTTGCATGCACAGGTTTGCATTACATTGTAAACAGCGGAGGCGGCACAACTCGACAGAACACCGGGACAGAGTACTCTGTCCAACAGAGGACACACACATCAGCCCAAAAGAGGACACACACATCTGCCCAACAGAGGACACACACATCTGCCCAACAGAGGACACACACATCTGCCCAACAGAGGACACACACATCTGCCCAACAGAGGACACACACATCTGCCCAACAGAGGACACACACATCTGTCCAACAGAGGACACACATAGGCACATCTGTGCTCTGTTCTCCTCCCTTGTTTAGGGGACGTTTGTGTTGGCACAAGCTTAAGATGTAATCTCCTCTTGATGATTCTTCTTTCACACAAACTTAACTGTACTTTCAGAGCTTGCCTTGGACGAAATCTGCCGCTGTGAACCTGACGACGACATGGATACAGGCTCCTGAATGGACAATGCAGACTGCTTTTTAATGGTTCTTTCTGTGATGACATCACATGTATATTATATATTTAATAAATGTATTTGAGAAACTTGAGTGGTATTTGTGCCAACACCAGAGAGACCATAGAGAGAAACTCCATGAGACATGGGGAGAACATGCAAACTTCACACATGAAGGCCCTGGTCTGGAAGTGGAATCAAACCCAGAACTTTCTGTTGTGAGGTACAAGTGCTAGCCGTGCTGCCCCCGTGTGACCTCAGAGTAGGTCATGTGACCTCAGAGCGGTTCATGTGACCTTGGTTGCTGGTTTTATTCCTGACCTCATGTTGTTAGTGTGTAATGAAGAACTGGAGGTCTGAGACGAGAAGTCCAATTACAGCCTCATGACCCACACAGTCCAGAGAGGAGACTGGGTCTAAGACCAGAGAACATGCAGGACCTGAGACCAGAGCCACAGATTGGGACCGGAGATAGACCAGTCAGAGACCAGACTCCATTACCACAGAAATACAGTCAGGAAAGAAAGTATTTAGTCAGCCAACATTTGTGTAAGTTCTCCCACTTATAAAGATGAGGAAGGCTTTTAACTTTCATTATAGGTAAATCTCATCTATTAGAGACTGAATGAGAACAAAATCCAGAAGATCACATTGCCTGATTGTTAAAGAATTTCATTTTAAATGATTGTGGAGAATAAGTATTTGATCAAGCCAGATTTCTGGGGGCTCTTTCTTTTAACTCATCAGTATGAAAGACACCTGTCCACAACCTCAAACAGTCCCACTTCAAATTCCACTATAGCCAAGACCAAAGAGCTGTCAAAGAACACCAGAAATAAAATTGTAGACTTATGCCAGGCTGGGAAGACTGAATCTGCAATAGGTAAGCAGCTTGGTGTGAAGAAATAAACTGAGAGAAATCATTAAGAAAATGGAAGACATGTAAGACCACTGGTAACCTCCCTCAATCTGGGGCTCCACGCAAGATCTCATCCCGTGGGATCAAAATGGTCAAGAACGGTGAGCAAAAATCCCAGAACCACACAGGGGGACCTAGTGAATGACCTGCAGAGAGCCGGGACCATCAGTAACACACTACGCCACCAGGGACTCAAATCCTGCAGTGACAGACGTGTCCCCCTGCTTAAGCCAGGACATGTCCAGGCCCACCTGAAGTTTGCTAGAAAGCATTTGGAGAAGAGGATTGGGAGAATGTCACATGGTCAGATGAAGACCAAAATATAACTTTTTGGTAAAAACTCAACTTGTCGTTTTTAAATGAGAGTTGCATCCAAAAGAACACGATACCTACTGTGAAGCATGGGGGTGGAAACATTATGATTTGGGCCTGTTATATCTGCAAAGGAACCAGGACGACTGATCCGTGTAAAGGAAAGAATGAATGGGGCCATGTATCGTGAGATTTTGAATGAAAACCTCCTTCCATCAGCAAGGGCATTGAAGATAGAAAATCTTTGGAGGGAGTTGAAAGTCTGTGTTGCCCAGCGACAACCCCAAATCATCACTGAGGAATGGGCCAAAATACCAGCAAAAGTGTGTGAAAACCTTGTGAAGACTTACAGAAAACATTTGAGACCTGTCATTGCCAGCAAAGGGTATATAACAAAGTATTGAGATGAACTTTTGTTATTGATCAGATACTGATTTTCCACTGTGATTTGCAAATAAATCATACTCTTTCATAGCCGAGGTTTACCTGTGATGAAAATTACAGGCCTCCCTTATCTTTTTAAGCGGGATAACTTGTACAATTGGTGGCTGGCTAAATAGTTTTGGAAGTAAAGGTTCAACAGCTTTTAAAAGTTCAGAGTAGACACACACACACACACACACAAACTTGCAAGTACACACAACCTCGTGCACGCTCCCAGAAGCACATGCCCTCACCTGACTCACATCAGCCCAAACACAAAGACTTCTGTTCAAATATTAAGAGCAGACGTTTTTCCAGAGCCGACTGTGAAACACCACTTTAGGTCTTCACAATGTACACATGGCAGCAACTCCAATAGTTCAAAGACCTGATGTTCCTAATCAGTAGATTATCACTTACTACTCTCTGGTCTCACTCTGGTGTCTCTCAGATTTCTCTCTGGTGTCTCTTGCTGGTCTCTATCATGTCTCTGTCTCTGCTCTTTCTCTCTCTCTAGTCTCTCTGCTCTCTCTATTTGGTCTCTCTCTGGTCTCCTTCTGCTCTCTCTAGTCTGATAATCCTCAGGTCTGATCTGTCCAACAGTGAAGGGTTTTATCATCAGTAGGAAGCTGTGGGTTAGGGTCCACAGAGAGACAGTGTCCCAAACTGTTGTATTTCTACAGTGTTGAACTTGACTGTAAATAACCCAGATTAAAGCTCAGATTGTGTTTCTCCTGATTTTACAGCTTTGACTTACATTCCACTGCATACAAACGCTGTGCTGTGATTGGTCATTTTTATGAATGGAGTGTTGTCATCCAATCAGAATCATGTGATCTGCAGTTTATAAAAGCTGTGGTCTGACGCTCAACAGCCATAAAACTACTGCAAATATTACTACATATACTAGTACTACCGCTGCTACTGCTGCTACTACTACTGTTACTACAACTGCTACGACCTAAACTTCAGCATATACTATTACTATTCCGACTACTACTACTACTTCTACAAATACAACTGGAGTACATCCTCTGCACACAGCGACATCATGCACAGTAAAGACGTGATCAGGTGAGTCCGGGAATTAACAATAGTTTGCAGAAATGGTCCTGTTTAAAGTTCCATAACTTTACTCATAAATAATACAAGTTTAAAACTGAGGTACATAACTTTATTCATGATTAAAGCATGTTAATTATGTAGAACTCAAGCTGGGGTACGTAACTTTAGTCTCATAGATAACACATATCTAAAGCTGGGGTACGTAACTTTAGTCTCATAGATAACACATATCTAAAGCTGGGGTACGTAACTTTAGTCTCATAGATAACACATATCTAAAGCTGGGGTACGTAACGTTAGTCTCATAGATAACACATATCTAAAGCTGGGGTACGTAACTTTAGTCTCATCGATAACACATATCTAAAGCTGGGGGTACATAACTTTAGTATAATAAATTACACATGTTTAAATCTGGAGTATGTAACTTTAGTCTTATAACAAAAACACTTAGTGTGTCATCAAAAAGAGTGTCATAGATCTGTCGGTCATCTTCTGACCCACAGGGGGCGCTCCACGTTTAACCTTGAGATCTGTGTTTGTTTGACAGCCACGACGAGTACGAGCAAGCTGCTGATTGGCTGCTAGCTCACACAAAACACCGCCCCCAGGTGGCCATCATCTGTGGGTCCGGACTGGGCATGCTCAGTGAGGTCCTGGAGGAGCAGGAAGTTCTCGAGTACACCCAAATCCCTGGGTTTCCCCAGAGCACAGGTTTCCCCAACCAATCCCAGTGGTCTCTAACTCCACTTCTTCGTGCTTATTGCTCACTCCCATCGTCTCTTATTCCACTTCTCTGTGCTCAGTGCAGGGTCACGCCGGACGCCTGGTCTTTGGTCGGCTTCGAGGTCGGACATGTGTGTGTATGCAGGGACGCTTCCACATGTACGAGGGGTACAGTATGAGCAAGGTGAGGGTGTGGGGCTACAGAGGGGAGGAGCTAAGAGCCTGTGGGGGGGGCTAGATTGGCTGTGGGAGGAGCTACAATTGCTGTGGGAGAAGCTGCATCGTCAGTGGGAGGAGCTACAGAGCATATGGGAGAGGGTACATTGGTTGTGGAAATAACATAGCATTTCAAAAAAGCTTTTGAATAAGTATGCTAACAATAGTTCTGGAGGCAGTCTTTGGTGAAGTGTCACTCGCAGATAAACAGATTCGTCACAGATTTCAGAGGCAGATCCTTGTAAAAAAAAGTCCAGCCACATTCGCATCATTCTTCATCTTCGATCACCTGGCGTTTGGCTGCCTCTCGAGAATGAAAGAGAAAGATCACTCTATAACTAAAGCTTGAGGGTCTCAATGAAAAAACGACTTTGCGCATGTGTATGAAGGCCAAATAGCACTGTAATGATATTCAAAGCAGACAAAAGTCAAGAATGGAACATGGAACATTACTGTATATGGAGCATTGAGCTCCCAAGCTAGCTTTGAGCTAGTTGGTTAGCATTGAGCTAGTTAGTTATCGTTGTCCATCTGTACACAGTCTGTGATCCTTCCTCTGGTTTCAGACCACGTTCCCTGTAAGGGTTTTCAAACTGCTGGGCGCAGACACTCTGGTGGTCACCAATGCTGCCGGCTCATTGGACGATTCTCTCAAACCTGGTGACATCATGATCCTCAAAGACCATGTGAACCTACCCGGACTGTGTGGACTCAACCCGCTGTGTGGTCCTAATGACGAGAGGTGAGACCATGCCACTGTGTGAGAACCATATGGACTCAGCTCTTTGCCCTATTAAGATTTTTCCTGTTGCAGGTTTGGTCCTCGGTTTCCCGCCATGTCCAGTTGCTATGACAGTGAGCTGCGCCGTATTGCCTTAGAGATCGGGAAGCAGCTTGGCGTTGGCGGAGCGATGAGAGAGGGCGTGTACGCCATGGTGGGCGGGCCTAACTTTGAGAGCATTGCAGAGGCCCGCCTCCTACACCGGCTCGGGATTGACGCCGTGGGTGAGACCAGGACTAGGACTCATACCAAGATTGAGACCAAGATTGAGACCAAGATTGAGACCAAGATTGAGACCAAGATTGAGACCAAGATTGAGACCAAGATTGAGACCAAGATTGAGACCAAGACAGAGAGCATTGCCGCTTTTCCATAGTCACTGTACGGCGCAATTCGGCATGGTGCGGCCGAGTGTGGGTGCTTTCCATTAAAAATGGTTCCTCCAAGTTTCTCCTCAGCGTGGGAGGGGTTTTCAAACCACGCAATTTACACATGACGGGTCACTAGTAACATAACATTGGTCTGATGTGTCACTTTTTGTCATTTGAAATTAAATGTTTTTATTTCGAGTTGAATACATAACTTAGTTATTTCAAATACAGTACATGTATATTGTAAATCTAAGTGTCAACTCAAAAAAGGAGTGAGAAGTAAAAAAGGAATATATGATAAAAATCATATGCCTAAACATTTATTTTGCCCTTGTGTTTTGAGCAAAAAATAAAACCTTTTTGTACATAGCAAATTCACAGATTTATTAAAAACAAAAATAAAGTTCAAAACCAAAAATTTACCAAGTCCAAAGTACGTATTTCTCTTGAGACCAGGTCCAGATGAGGAGAAAGTAAAGTTCTCTGGACTCATTGTTTGTTTATAATCTCCTCACTTGTGGGAAGGGATTCTCAAACAAATAAATATACACATAACAACTTAAGTACAAGCACAAAACAGAATGGCAAAACGTGAAAGAGCAAAATACAGCACAGTAGAACAGGAAGGACCTTTTAGCTCAGCTTGATATCGATATAGCAAACTTTTACACAGTAAATACATTTCAGTGAGAGCTTTGAGCCAACGGGATACGTAGCTAACCAGTCATTTCTAGGATTACCACAGACTAGTCACAAATCCAGAGCTGGGTGATCTCCCTGAAAACCTTCTCATTCCGCGTTGTGCCGTCGAGCTGTCTTTGAATTCTTTCTTCGGCCTAAAGAGATTAACATGTGGACCTCGTCCACCGACCAGGACGCTGACTTTTGGGGCTTTCTGTGCGATTCCATTTCTTTGGAGTGAGGAGGACGTTATTAAAATAGATCCATGGGAGGACTTATTGAAGCAGAGCAGCCGGTTTTAAAGATGGCGGAGTTGGGTTGTTTTTTACCAAAGGGTCGGACGTCGCTTCCAGTGACGACACTCGTTGACCAATCAGTGTAAGGCAGTCGGCTAACGTCACGTCAAAGAATCGCTTTGGCGCGGATGGAACCACAGTCAAGGTGATACCAAAAAAGTACCCCCGATCCCAAGACCAATCCTAGTGGAGATGCAAAATAACTGCGCTGTGCCGTACCATACCGTTACTGTGGAAAAGCAGCACATGACTGAGACCATGACTGAGAGCATGACTGAGACCAGAACTGAGACCAGAACCTGGGCTGAGACCAGGACTGAGACCAGGACTGAGACCAGAACCTGGGCTGAGACCAGGACTGAGACCAGAACCTGGGCTGAGACCATAATTGAGACCAGACACCAAGACTGAGACCAAGACCAGAACCTCACCTGAACTGAGACCAGGACCAAAACCCGGACCTGGACTGTGACCAGTACCGAGACCGGGATTGAGACTACAGAGTCCTGAAGCTAAGACCGAGACTGGGACTTTACCAGGATCTTAAGCCTGGAGCTTAACCGTGCTACTGTTGCTAGCCCATGCTAATGTTGGTAACACATACGACTGAACCGCTTGTTTTGATGTTGTTTGTTGTAATTTTTGTTGTTGTTTACAGGGATGAGTACAGCTCCAGAGGTCGTTGTAGCAACGCACTGCGGTATGAGGGTGTTCGGCCTCTCACTCATCACCAACAAGGTACAAGACTCTGATTTAGAACTGATGCGTGGGACTCCATTCCTGCCTGCAGCTCTGACTGTGCTCTCACCGGGCGGCACGGTGGCTGAGTGGATAGCACTCTCTGAGTGGAGTTTGCGTGTCTCCCACTAAAAATATGTACAATAGGTCTGGCATGCGCCTCCTGTACTGGCGTCCCCGCTCCCATCTCTGTGTGGAGTGAGAGGACAAGTGCCCAAAAATAAAAAAAAGGAAACCGCTTTGTGACTCTTGTCTGTGAAAGGCGGTATATAAATAAACATTACTTACTTACTTACTTACTCTCCAGCTGGGCCCTAAACCCCGCTTGCAGCTGTAACTGCTCTCTCTGCAGTCTGCAGTCTTGGGCCCCATATATAAGTAAAATTTTGCTTCAAGGGTGTTCCATTTACAATGCAATGTCACAAATTATGAAATGAATGTTACATGTTTCTGTTTTGTATTTGTAATAAACTAAACTGAACTGAACTGCAGGTGGTGAAGTGCTATGATGGAGATGACATGGTTGACCACCAGGGGGTGCTGGAGGTAGGCCGTCTCAGAGCGCAGACGCTGCAGACGCTCATCACGGAGCTCGTGTCGCGGATGGACGTCAACAACAACAGCAGCAACAGTCCTTCTGACGACCTCACTGAGGAGGTACAGTACACACGCACACACACACCACACACACACACACACACACACACACACACACACACTACTGAACTCCTCTAAACGTGGACTACAGATCACCTGCGGTACTGCAGCCTAAATCCACATGGACTGAAAGGAAATTTCCCCTAATGCCGCGTTTACATATTCACAGTACGGCACGGTGCTGCACGGCTTACAACTTAGATTTTGGTAATTATTTCCTTAATCAACCCAACAGACCAGTTGTAAGCTTTCAGCTGCGCTATACCCGTTTCTGCAATGTTTGAATGTTTAGCACCGCCCCCCAACTTGCTCAATGGCTTCTCATTTCCCCTGTGCTCTCATAACACAGAGCCACCTAGTTTTATTTGCGATCTGATACGTATGCTAACATTAGCATTAGCGCAACTTCTTGTAAGCTGTACAACAATCACTGATGAAATGGTACAAAAGCAATGCACTGCTAACACAATATATAAGTAAAAGAATACCGCTAGTTTCGCGTCCGAATGTATTAATTTAAAACCTTAGAATATATTCTAATATTTAATTATAATTTGTTATAGAGCTCCTCAAAGCAGCAGCAGCAATTCTTCCGATCATTTTTTCTTGATAACAGAACTCTCAAACCAATAATGACCGAAGCCCCAATGCAACCTCTGTTTGTAATTCAGGTGTGTAAAATACTGCCATTACTCTGCAAGTACAAGAAGCTTTCAGCGCCTGTCACTACACACTTGTCTGTGTAGAGAAGCCAACGGAGCTAGCGGAGCTAGCCACGCTCAATAAACAAATACATATCTATCAATCAACACCATTAAAGGTCAATCGGACAATACAGTATACATATACATCCTTAACACACATGCACGGATGATTTCAGAATTTGCTGTTAACGTTTTCATGACAAAAATACTGTTTCAATGTGACAAAAAGCGATTGCGAAAAACCCGGAAGTTACCATGAAACAACTAGCTAGCGTAGCTGTTACCTGCCTAGCACGTCCCGGTGAAACCTTTAGGAGCTAACTATTTTATTTGCAGTCATTAAATACATTTCGAATTACAAGGGTTGTCTAATATTTGTTCACATTTTTTTATTCAATTATTTTGTTCATAATTTTTTATTTTAGAATTATATTCGAATTTTGAAGTTGAAGCCCTGGTGTTAAGCAGCGCTGTAGGGGCTAGAGGACGCAGGCTGTTCGCTGCTCGTTCTGTGAGTGGAGGAGAAAGAGCGGCCCGCTCAGACTCTACTCAGCACTTTTCACTGCTTGTAATTCTTACACAGCTGAATCAATTACCTCAAGTTTTCAATTAAATGATGTATTATGATACAACTTGTATGTAGTAAAAAGCATTTTTATGAACTACTTAGAAAAAAAATCGGGTATAGCTTCTTTAAGTTAGCCTCAGGACGCGTCATCGGCCTATGTCAGTAAAATGACGTCTGCGGCAGTTCAACTCGACAAGAGAACTGCTATCACACAGGAGCAGTGTGGTTTGACAGGAGCTTTGTCTTAAACCAAACTTTACACAAAACTTTATCTCATAAAACCAACATGTCACGCTATGAAAATCTCACACTATGGCAATGTCAAAGTCTATGGCTAAACCCACGCTGATTTGAGTTTGAGAATAATCTGTGCTACACAAATAAACTTGCCTCTTTTTTTCAGGCACTGTCCCAATGTGACCACAGGGAGGCGTTGTCCCCTGAGTCGAACAGTGACGTGTCCATCTGAACCTCCTGGGGTTAAACTTTCATATTAATATATTTAATTATAATTGACTGACCATGTGACTAAACAAATAAATGTTTGAAATATGATTCCGTCTCGTGAATAATAAGGAGCAACTTGCCTTTAGCATTTAGCATTAGCATTTAGTTGTTTAGCCTTTAACCTTTAGCCTTTAATCGTTACCGCTTCATGGCCATTGTAAATAACAGAAAGTCACAAAGGCCCTCATTTATGAAACTTACGCAGAAAAGAGCGTACATTTTGAGTGTAGATTCCAAATGCGCAAGATTCAATGTGGGATTTATGAAAGTGTGAGATCCGCCCAAATGAAATGAAAGTCACGCCTATAAATATGCAGCAACCGCCTGTTTTACTCACCCTTTTTATGACATAGCTGAATGGAAGTTGGCCAGGAAGACTGTTTGAAAGCCACAAAAGGCCCCAACTTTTTGATACATTGAGACAATCTCTCTTGAACTGTAGAAGTAAATAAATAAATGAATAAAAAATGAATTCATGAATATTAATACCTTGACCTCAACTGTGGCTCTCATCGATAAAAGGATGAAGCGTCTGCAACATCTTCTTGTGAATACAATGGAGTGATCTCTGTACACTTGAGAGAGGATGAGAAGCTTTTGGGAATTAGTGGTCCATGATTTCACAGAGAAACTCTGGATCCAAAACTTCTGAATGATTGAGAAGTTATGGATGGGACCTATCGTGATCCCAAGAGATTATGCTTTCTATAAACTGCTACATGTGGACAGGGCAGATTGATAAATGCCAAAAAGTGTACTTTTTTGCTTATGCCTCATTTATACCCTGATTTGGCCATACACAAGTTTCATAAATGAGGGCCAAAGTAACCATCAATCACGTGTAAGGTGATGGTTGTGTAGTATTACACAACCATCACTTTCATCTCCAGGTAGTAGCGAGTAAGTTGAGGGGTACGAGCTGCTGCTGTAGCACGTATGGTGGTCTCACCGTAAGCATAATGGCAAAACTATTGTTTCGAAAGGATGGACTGGGTGGACTGCTTTATGGAGCTGATAACGTCCCTTATCCAGCCTGAATTGCTGCCATGTAAATGAGGCAGCTGCGTTTCAGTGTGATTTTTAGCATTTACATGTTGAGTCTTCTGAGATAACTTCTGTTGTTATTTAGGGCTATACAAGAATAAATTGTATTGTATTGTAATGACATGGTTGGAGGAGACTGCTGTTCCAGCAGATCTTCTGTAGTGTCAAGCAGCAGCCAGTGCCGTAATGGGAGCAGAAACGCACCCCACTTGTGCGTTTGTGGTCGGCACTCAACAAGCCCTAACTGCAGCTGTCAAGGCACCTTTTCAGTCATACGGAAAAGACATGCACTACTCCTTTAGAGCGTGTTTTTTCCGTACGCGCTGTGTCCTCTGGTGTTTATCACCACCCATATAGGATTTCTAATGGTGCTTTCAGACCGAAAACGCTGAAACGCAGCAGCCCAGCTTACCAGACGCGCATTCTCTAGTTTTCAGACGCAGAGGCTTGCACCGCCAAACGACGCACGAACACAAGCACGCCCACCTCACTACACTTCCGCCGGAAGCGTGAGGCGTATGGGCGGGCTTTCCATATTCACAACAACTCAACAAGATGGCGGATCAGGCGAGGCAGCAAGAGTTCTTGAACAACGGCGTTCACGACGGCGTGTCTGGGTTCACGATATCCTCCAGAGACGGTCAGAGTATGGCGAGTTCCACCATTTGTTACAAGAGCTGCGGCTGGATGAGGTGCGATTTCAGCGGTACTTCCGTCTCACGGTGGCCCGGTTTGATGACCTGTTGGGCCGCGTAGGTGCACGAATCTCTCACCAAGACACCAACTACAGACGTTTCATCTCTCCTGCAGAGCGCCTTTCCATCTGCCTACGGTCAGTAATTGTGTATGTGAGTGTGTGTCTTTGTCTCTGTGTGTGTGCTCGGTCTGTTTGTGTGTGTCTTTGTCTCTGTGTGTGTCTTTATAAGTAAGTAATGTCTATTCAGTGACGTGCGGTGAGGTTTGTGATTGGGGAGGCACTGACTTTAAAAGTCAGATTTACAATCATTATTCAAATAAAATAGCATTTAATCACCAATGCAATGACATCCACAAACTTTATATACTGTAAAGATAAGAGAACCAGCTTCTTTTAATAATCTCACAACAAATCTAGCTGCTGACTCTGCTCCGCATCAAACAACATCTTTAAGAAGCGCAGGTGCGAGAGACGCGAGGAGAGAGAGACGCGAGGAGAGAGGAGCAGAGAGAGACAGAGAGGAGCAGAGAGACGGAGACGCGAGGAGCAGAGAGAGACGGAGACGCGAGGAGAGAGAGACGCGAGGAGAGAGAGACGCGAGGAGAGAGGAGCAGAGAGAGACAGAGAGGAGCAGAGAGAGACAGAGAGCAGAGAGAGACGGAGACGCGAGAGAGAGAGACAGAGAGAGAGCAGAGAGAGACAGAGAGGAGCAGAGAGAGACAGAGAGGAGAGAGAGAGACGGAGACGCGAGGAGAGAGAGACGCGAGGAGAGAGAGACGCGAGGAACATAAACAATAATTTAAACAAGTTGCAGAACTCTTGAGCAGTGTTTGAATCAGTGTTTTTCGGAAAAGCACTACTTTGCCGGTATCTGTCAATGTTCAACATAAAACACAGATTAACAAACTCCTCCCCCGCAGCCGGACTAACCTCGTAAGTCCAGTGGTGGTCTCCCAGTCTATATTAATTCTTTCTTTGTTTGAAAGTCCAATTGAGAAAAAAAATCTTCATTCAAATCATCCATTTTCCAGCAAAAGAAATAGCATTTTGGGCTGATTGTTTGTTAGCAACTCTGGTATGAACTTTATGCTCACTATCACCCCTAGCGGTGAGGCACAGATACCGCCTGCCTCACGCCAAGCTTTTTCCTTGTGTGTTCATCTACGATCAAAAGACTTAAACTAAATATAAATTGTACACACATACGTGCAATACACTACTAAACACTAAGAGGAGTTTAAAAAATGTTTTTAAAGCAGGATATTTGAAACAAACGGTGATATATCAACTGCACGAGCTGAGTGCACTCAGACACACACACACACACTGTGAGGGAGCGGTCTGGGGTGAGGCACGCAGGAGCGCTGCCTCACCTCGTCTCTTTGAATAGGAATAACGGGATTTCGGCGATTTTGACTTCAGAAATGATCAAAACTGATGGGAACCGTGCCGAATATACATTAAAAGCATAGGACAGTGGATATAAATTATATATTTAAACTAAAATAATTATTAGTTTCCAATAATGGCAGGTGAGGCTCTGCCTCCCCTGCCTCCCCTGACTGCACGTCCCTGTGTCTATTTATATAGCGCATTCTACAGACCAAGGTCACCCAAAGCGCTTTACAATGTTCAGAGTTCAGATATTGTTCCAATCATTCCACACATGGTGAGGGTGGAAGCGAGTCTGTCTGTGTGTGTTTATTTCTGTCTGTGTTTCCTTGTCTCTCTCTGTGTGTCTGTGTGTGTGTGTCTGTGTCTATTCTTCATGTATATAGCGCCTTTCACAGACCAGTCACAAAGCACCTGTCTATTGTTATGGGACATTTGTCTCTCACTCCATGTGCACATTCAATTAATGTCTTCTTTTTATTTTATCAGGTTCCTTGCCACTGGGGATTCGTATACTACCATCGGGAGCAGCTTCAGGGTCGGTGTGTCCACTGTCTCCAAAGTCGTCCCCGAGGTAGTTACGGCCATCTGGGACTCTCTGGTGGAGGAGTTCATGGCGGTTCCCACCACAGACGACTGGCGCTCCATTGCAGGGGAGTTCGAGAGGCGTTGGAACTTTCCTCTGTGCTGTGGTGCCGTGGATGGTAAACATGTGCGCATGAAGGCCCCTCCGAACGCTGGCTCCTTGTACTACAACTACAAGGGTTACCACTCCCTGGTGCTCCTCGCTGTTGTGGACGCCCAGTACCGCTTTTGCGTGGTTGACGTTGGGGGATATGGCAGGAACAGCGACGGGGGGATCCTGGGCAACTCTGCCTTTGGTACGGCCCTGCGGGAAGGAACTCACCGGCTGCCTCCTGACCAGTGCCTTCCAGGCGCTGACCACAGAGGGCCCCAGCCCTATGTCTTTGTGGCCGATGAAGCGTTCCCACTGCAGCGGCACATGATGCGTCCCTATTCCCTGAAAGAAACTGACTGCATTTCTGTTCTTTGTCACCATTTTGTTAGCGCTAATAAATTTTTGCCTTACTTGAAGTGTTGTTTCTGTTTAATGTATGTTTTAATTTAAAATGCTTTAGGTAAACACTTACAGCTAACGAGACGTGAAGTCAAGTTAAAAGTTGTTCATAGTACCTAGTTTTGTTTTGAAACGTTAGACATTTAGCTTTGGAATGGAATGGTTCACTAGTGGAAAATAAAGTACCACATACTTTGATTAGTCCATTCGTACCTTTTCTCGTGCACAGAGTCATAGAGAATATTGTGCATGAGAAATACTCTGTTTAACACACACCACATTAAAGATAGAGTATGAATTTTAAATATTAGAAACTGCGATCATGTAAATAAGCTTTATGTAGGTGAGTTCAGAATATTATTTTGGTTCCCTAGTACTCCAATTGATATTACTAAAACCCTTACTGTTTGTGCGAGTATGGCAGATATTAACATTGGGCCCCTCAACATTTGTTATCGTCATATAAAGACATTCCTCTGTACTTTAATTTGGTAACATGTTAGTACGCGCCTTATATTACCTGAGCTTTGGAGAATTCTACAATGTGAAGTTGCTGTTCCCTTATCCTTACTTGCTTAATCATAACTCAGTGTAATTAAACTGTTTAAAACGACCCTTGATTTAGGGCCGTTTTCACGCCATCTAGTGACCAATGTAGCATACAACAGTAAACAACCGTAGCATATCACAGAGACAAGAGAAAGTAATGCAAACATTGAACAAACCTTGTTCCCTCATCAACCAGGTGCTAAGGGCTGAAACAAACTATAGAACATTTTTGTACTCGCCTTATACATTCTCAGAGCTGTGGAGAATTCTACAATGTCAATATGCCAATATATATGCTGTAAAGGAGGGGCCAAAGTAAATTTTGTATCTGCTCATTTATTCTGTAATGTATGGTTCTTCTACAACTACGCCTCTTAATGACAAAATTAAAAAGAACCTAGGAAATGTATCTACATAGACACAAGAGATTCACACAACACTTTTATTTACATATATACAATTGCATGGAGTGAGGTCACATGGCTATCCCTGCACATTGGATGGTGGCGCATTTTCCTTTTCTGCAAGTTCCTTGTAGATGATGTTCGAAAACCTCCGTTTGATTCTGTAACGGGCATGGGGCTCCAATTTCCCCAATAGAGGGACCAGACAGGAAAATATACGCCGTGTAGTGGCGTGATTACGTCAGTGGTGTGCGTGCTCTCTGATTGGTCGCTGCACGAACATCTCGAGGAAAAGTTGAGCGGAATCCATCTCCTGTGGGCGTTCATTGTCCGCTCCTTCTCCCCCCCTTTGACTTTCCCGCCAAGTCCGTGCGTTTCCACTGGGCGGTCCGTGCGTGTGTGCCGAGAGGTCCGTGCAATGCGACGCTGAAACGCGACTCCCCATTGACTTTGCATTGAACGCAGACGCAACGCCTGTCCCGGTCTGAAAGCACCATAAGTGTCTAACATTTGAAGGGGGGGAATGTGGCATTACAGCCTGCAGTTGGGCTCTATGCTACTCCCTCTCCTCCTCGTTTTGTATTGGTTAATTGTCCCAATTCAATTAAAGGGACACGTGAACTTTCACTCGTCCTCTGAACACCCGCTCTTTCTTCCTGGTTTCCCGTGTTTACATTGTTAGTTCCCACTCTCATGTTGAATCAAAATTAAATATGAGATTTTGGTTTCATGGATGGTGCTGCTGTCATGGGCCCACTTATGTGTTGCGGTGACTTGGACTGTGTACTGCTCACCGGGCCGACTTTCAGACAGGGTCATGTGTGTGAATGGCTACAGCGCCAACCCAGGTGTGTAACAAAACAATGTTAGGTTTTAGGACAAAGATACAGTAACTATATAATGCAGATATGTCCCGAGTCCGGCTCCAGAGTCCAGTGTGTGTGGTTTGATCCCGCGGACACCACAGGCTGCTGTTTTTCTGTTTTTGTCAGCAACTAAAAGTGTTAGGTTCACGTCAACTTGGATAAAATCTGTTTTGGGTGTAAATATGTGACGCACTATTTGGCCCAAAGAGGAAGAAAGCGGCTCTACTTCTTTCATCTGTTCATCTCATGGATCTATTATAATAACCTTTAATCTGCGACACTTCACTGAGATAGTAGTTGGTAGAGCATTGGCCTTAAGGCCTGAAGGTTGTGGGTTCAATTCCCACCTCTACACATTCTCCACCGACTCCCACTGATGACTGCTGTCGTTGTGTCCTTGGGCAAGACACTTAACCCCACTTTGCCCAAAGCCCCCGCTGAAAGATCAAGGCTATGCTCACACTCAGACAGCAGCCGCCCTCCTGTGGACTCACCACCTGCAGAGGGTCAGTGAGGGGCTGGTGCTATGAGACTTGGGTGGCATCTCTGACTGCCACCCCCCTGACCCAGAAATGGATTAAAGGGTAGAAAATGGATGGATGGATGAACTTCACTGAGACTGCTCCAGAACTACAGGGACAATGGAACTGGACTTACTCAAAAGATGATCTGGAAACACGTTATTCCCATGATAAAAGGCGTAACACGGACCCCCCCTCTGCGAGTACAGTGCTGCTAACTCTCCGTTTACTTCTGTAGGCTAAATAATTAGGGTCTGATTCTGGATCAAGGACATAGGGCTCGATGTGACGGATTGTCATGTTTGGAAAAAGTTTATTCTTATGTCTGAAATAACTATGTACCGATGTTTTTTTAAATTTGTCTTTATTTTTTTATTTACAAAAAGACAAATATACATATACATTGATCCATAAAATGACAAAGACAATAACCAAAGTATGTACATCAGTATTTACTTATATAGAAATAAGTATACCGGTGATAAACAACTCAGAGCGTGATGCTACGTCACCGTGCGGGCGGGGGGAGATGGGCTCACCGAGGCAGAGGAGCAGACTGATCTCTGGATCAGCTCGTTTGAGTCGAGGTGACGTCACTTCTATGCAAGAGATGGCTCTAATCTCACAAGTTTTGAGTGTTGTGTGGTGTATCACACACATTATTATCACACTTGTGTATAGGATTGACAGTGAAACATGAAAAAAAGCGTAATATAGGACCTTTAAGCCCAAGTGGGCTAAAAATTACATGCCCAAATATTATATGTCATATACAAAATCTACTCTCAGCCCAAAAAGTCAAATAATGACTCACATGGCTCTTAAATATGCAAAATAAAAATAAATAATAAAAAAATAGTTGTGGCGTGTTCTGTTTGATCTGTTCAGAACATTTCACTTTGGTGCAAAACCAACAAGCATTGTTAATGCAATTGAAAAAATTGGTACCTGAGCTTTAATTATGTGAGTTTTTGTTGTGCTTCAGAGACCCGCACTTCTAACCAGTTGGGTCCTGAATGCGGGTCTATGGTTCTATTTGCGCGTCTATGGTCTGCTCTCGGCATCACGTTACAGATGTGCGTTCGCTAAGCTTTTGCCTAAGCGGCTGTTGTTAACAAGTGGCCACAGCTGCCCCGGGCTCAGAGCGGAGGATGTGAATCCCGTTTGAATACGTAATGCAAACAACAGAAAGTGCCCGCGGTCACACATTTCACAGAAATTACTTTTTCGGAAATCACAGATTTTTTTTAAATTCCTGGTTTATCCTGATGCATCTCATTGGTCCAGAGAATTTAACTCTGAATGAAGAGAAGTGGTCAATAAAAGATAAGCAGAAGTGTCCGCTCCCGGCTCTAGATGAAGTAATGTGTTCCCGGTCTGAATGGGTCAAAGTAATACATCACTTGCCAGATTGGTCCCAAATTTTTAGTTGCTCTGGGCAAGTGGACAACCGTTGATGTGGAGCCCTGCATCTGCATTCACCTCTTCGTCTTCGGGGCAAATACTGTAGTTTCATATTTACATACAAAAACACAAAACAAAGGAAGGTTGCTCACCCATCATTTACTGTATAACCTGTGGGTGTTTAACCACACCCACAGGTTAAAAATCTCCAACTTGCGACTGAGATTTAATTCCCTTGAAAAAGTTCTTTGGATGGACAACAAAACGTTGGGAAAACCTGCTAGCTGAAGTACAGATGATGGGTGAGCAACCTTCCTTTGTTTTGACTAATCCATGTACTGTACTACTGAGAGCTTCTACTCAAACTTACAACAGCACAGACTATGGGTGGTTGACCCAGGACCATACTAATTATTTGCAGTTGCATGCGCTGTATGGAGGACCGTGGCTCAGATTCAGATTCAGATTCAGTTTATTTGCCATTTGCAGTAAAAAATAAACACATTGGAATACATTAGCAAAAAGTCTCCAGTGTGCACAGACAAATACAGACATAAAACAACATTAAAAGACAGAAATAAAACAAATAAAACAGTAAACAAATGTCACTGTGAAATCGATCGACTAAAACGGTTTCAAAACGAGTGCAAATCATTAAAGTGCTCTGTTCACACTGATAACAGCTTGTGGATAAAAACTGTTAGCGTAACGAGATGTTCTGCATCTCAGAGAGCGATATCTTCTGCCAGAGGGAAG